ATAAACTTTTATGATTAAGCTTATTTTAAACACAATCTAAACATAAATATTCTTCATTGTCATGATAAAAGTATAGAAATATTTCATGTTCACATTTAGAGCATAATTATACTTCTTTACAACATTCAACTAATTAAGAAGATGGTGGATCAATAGTATGTAATTTTCTATTTTCTTAATCAAAAAAGTTCTAAAGTTCTAATTAAATTCTTTCAATAGTCATTTAAGATAGAGATTTTTCATGAATATATAAATCTAACATTAAATTTTTATATGGAATAACAGTTCTATAATTAATTTCCTTGTTTAATTTATGTCTTTCACTCATAGCTTCAAGTGTCATATCATCTAAAGCAACTTGATTCCAAGCAGTATTAATAGTTTAACCTAATGATTTAACCCAATGTAAACAACCTGCACCTAATATAACAACATCACCTTTCTTTTATAATGTATATCTAAATGGTATTCCATATTTTAAAAAGAATTCTGGTTCTTTAAACCATAATCCTTCATTTCTGAATATATCAGTATCATATAATTCTTATACTTTTTATCTTAATTTCTAAACATTCTCATTATCAACTGTAATCCAAACACAATCTGCTGGACCATGATTTATATTTATTGCATTTACACTTAAATTCTCTTAATGTCCACCTGTCCATACTCCTTCTGTTTTTATATATATTTAAGGTATATTTACACCATCAATTTCTTATCTTAAATAACTTAAACCATCATTCTCTCCTTATGGTCTTAAACATTTTGGTAAAAACTATTTTAAATGATTTATTTCTTTATCCCAACCTTACATATTTACATTTACTGCAAATAATCTTTAATCTGCTTAAAGTCCTTCCTTTTTTATAAATTTCTATGGATCATTAAGATAATCTACATAATCCATTATTTTCATTCCTTCTAATTATTAATTTATTTTGCATGGTAAAAATGAATCATATCCAGGTTATTATACTCTAATATCTATTGTTTAATTTCCATGATTTTATTTTAGAGCTTCAAAATTAAAAAATATATTTATCATCTCTAAAGCTTTTTGATCCATTGTTAAAATGCTTATTTAATGTTTCAACCAAGATAATGCTTTCTCTTCATATATTTTTAACATTTCACTATAATTATAGTAATATGGCTTCCCTATACAAGAACCATCCACCATTGATTTATATTCAAACACTATTACTTTACTTTAATAAAAACTAACCCAATCATCCTCTTTTAAATATCCAGGTAAATCTCTTTGACAATAAACCTTTATCTATATTTATATTTAATACTTTCACGAATCCTCCATCTCTCATAACTTAATCATATACTTGTTAACCATTAGCATAAAGTAGATTTCTCTCTTGTATAGAAAGTGGCAAATTATCCAATAAATATTTTTGCATTCTAAAATTTATCCTACTAAAAAATTAAATGTTATAATTATTAAAATATTTTCAAATTGATAACATTACATACTTATCTCATCCTTATAATAATTTACTCATTTTATATAATTGCTCTACACAATATCTTTATTTCTATTATTTTTATTTTTAACAATTATTTTAGAGAAAGACCTTCCTATTTTTATTTGTAAAATATACCATTTCTTTTGGATTTAATATTTCAATAATTATGAAATTTCTTCATCATCAAACATATGAAATTACTTTGTTTCATAAATAAAATAAATAATAATAACTCAAGTCCAAATTTCATTCTTTCACAGAAATTTAAAAAAATAATCAACATTCTTCAGATTATATATTTATTAGATTATCGAATTTCAAAAATAATCAATTAGTACATCATATAAAAAAGTTTAATAAAAACTATTTATATTTATACGTTTAGTTTAATGTATTTGAAAAAAAAACAATAAATTAATACTCGAGTTATTTCTATACTCTTAATTAAAAATTAAATTTCGTAATTCTTAATGAATTATTTATTGAAATTACATTATAATATTATTCTTCTAAAAAATAAGATAATATCACAATGATATCGTTATTACGATTTTAAAGATATTTAATTTTTCAATTATCTCAATAAAATGCTTTTTTAATTAACTGAAATTTAGATAATAAATTATCGAATAAAAAAATTATGTAAATTATTTATTTTTAATATGTTTGAATTTTCTAAATTATGTTATTCAAAATAGCTGATCATTATTTAAAAAATAGTTATACATAATAAAACAAACAAAAATTAAAATAGGATAATTTTTTTTAAAAATTGAATTTCTTTTCAACACCCAAACATGTTGAGATTCATTAGAAAATGATGATTACTAAAAATAATATTTATTTAATATAACTTGATTGATTGATTGATTTAAATCTTAATAATATTTCTTATCAATTTTAAAAAACAATAAAACTCGTCTTTTTAATCATACATTATAATTTATTTGAAAAAAAGCAAATAATTCAAAGTAATTACAAAGAATAAGATAATATAAAGTTAGATACAAAAAGAAAATATACACAAAAACTATTCACAAATAATGAGTTCATACTTGATAATCTGAATTTAATCTAAATCTGACTTTCTTTAAACCATTTTACAATTTGAAAGTATAGTCTGATATTTCTTCAAATTAATGTTTAATTGGTGATAGACTCTTTGTTTAATTATCAACAGACTCTTTTTCTCGTTTTTCATAAAATGCTTCCATTGAGTTCAGTGATCTGACATATGCTTCTTTACTAATCAAAGTGCTTGTATGTAATAAAGTTTTAGTCCATTCCTTAGTTGTAGCTTAAGAACCAACATAACTAAATTATTTCTAAGCTATTTATGATTAATTTTTCAATTTAAGATCATCTTTAGTTTTAGGAGTCCAAGTAAGAAGTTCCCCATATTTTTTACATAAAACATCATTCTCCTCACTATCAAACATTATATTACTAATTGAAGATTCCATTTAAAGATTTCAATAAATTCTGTTTTTTTAAGTGAAATTTATTTATTAAAAGTGGAAAACAAAACATAAAATCTATTAATAATTTCAAAAAGTGGGTTCAGTAATAATTGTAATCCAATCCTTAACTTCTATATTTAAGTTTGAAAAAATGTTATAATATTTAGAACAAATATTCATTTAATTTTGATAAACATAACTAAATTAGGTTAATTAACTTATTTGATTGTTAAGAGTAATAATATTAAAGAATAAATAGAAAATAAAACTCATAATAAATATGAAAATAATCGGAATAGATTAGAATAGCTAGTTTTATAATAATTTTTCTATAAAATTCTATATATATATTAAAATATTAATATCTATGAAAAATTTATATATTGTTGCATTGTTGAGTGTTTCACTATTAACATTGTAATTGTACAGTTCAAATTAAGAGATAGATGAATATTCAAAATGGAAATAGATTCATAAAAAGTAATATTAAGGAACAGAGGACTCATATAGAAAGTAAATATTCCACCAGAATTTATAAATTGTGAATGATCACAATGCAAGATATAATTAAGGTTTAGAAAGTTTTTAGATTGAAACAAACTAATTTGCTGACTTAACATTTGATGAATTCTCATCACTTTATTTATATTCTTCATACCCAGATCAAGATATTATAAATATTAAATATGAGAAAAATCAATAAAAATAAACAAAAAGGGCTGAAGTTCTTGATAATCATGATTGGTCAACTATTAATGGTTATTCTAAATCATACAATTAGGGTAGATGTTTAGGATCTTGGGCTTTTGCTGTAGCTGGTTCAATAGAAATTGCCAGATATTTAGGTGTTTATGAATAGATTTCAGCTTAATATTTGATAAATTGTGTTTAATAACAAAATTCTTGTTTAGAAGGTTCAGTATAAAATACTTGGGATTGGGTTACAAATAATACTAACTTTGTTGATTTGGAAGAATCTGTGCCATATACAGGAATAAAAGGTGATTGCAATTAATCAATTGATAACATTTAGTTGTTAAATGATTATGTAATGAAACTTCCAGATTCTTTTGATACAGAAGAAGATTACTATGAAGCATTAGAATTGAATGCTGTTGTGTAATTTATTTATAATAATTATTATTAGATCTCCTCTATCAGTTTCCAATATTTATTTCTAATTATATAAGTCTGGTGTTTATAATAAAGAATGTGAAGAAAACTATAATTATGATGCATTAGTCATTGGATATGATGCAAGAACAAATTAACCTGATGGTCCATTTTATAAATTGAAAATGTCTTGGAGTTCTAATTATGGAGAAAATGGATATGTTAGAGTTCAAATGCCTAGCAAATGTATCAAAAAAATGTAATCATACCCAAATCGCAGTTGATATAATTATATAATCATTCCAAAAATAATAATTTATTATGATAATTGAATTTCTATCATTTTTTTATCCATTATTTAAAACATATATTAAATAATTCATAAAATTAATAATTACAGGTTAGAAGATAGTAAGTAATAATTAAAATTCAAAAACATTCTAATCACTTTTCAAATTCTTCAATTAATTCAGAGACTATGTTTATTAAAGTAGTTTATTTTATTTAATATGCTTAGACTAAAATTCTTATTAAAATAGCAAAATCATTTTCGTCAAATATTTTATACTATATTGCTAATTATCTAATCCATTTTTTTATTGGATATTATAATCCATGCAAATTTTTAATAAAATTATTCCAATCTACTTTAGTTTTTGTACTTTCTGGTATAAATTTATTTAAATCTATATTTGGTGGGGGTAATAATTTTGAATAGAACATCTTTTCTTAATTTGACTTTGATTTCATACTATTTAATTTATTTTGAGGTGAATTAATATTAATTGGTGATGGTAATCTTCTAAAGAAATATGATGGTTCTTTGTTATTTCTATCAGTTAAACATTATTTAATAGTTTATAGATTCTTTTTGTGTATTTCCATATTGAAATCAGATATATTAGGTATTTTATAATTTGGATTCTTTTTGTCAAATTAATTTGTAAGATGTAAATTGATTTGTCTATCTTTAATTGATTGTAAACATAATCGATGTCCCCATAATTATGATACAATAATAGATCGACCTCCCACATTTCTAGTGTCGGGAGTAAATTGCATACGTTAATAAATAATATTAATAAATAATGTCTAATATTTTATTCATATTTATATTGTCATCATAATCTCATTATATTCATGATTTGTACACTAATAAGGTCTTTTCAATTAGCTAGAAGATTCTTTAGCCAAAATCAGAGGATCTAATTGCTGTGATCAAATATTAATCTTATCTCAAAATGTCTATCAAAGGTTACAAAATATTATGATTTGACATAATGATCATTTTCTTCATAACATAATTTCCAAATGGATTGACAGATAAGTTCACAAATGTGTTACTAATAAAGAAATAAATATAAAAATAATACAATCCATTAAGTTGTGACTTAGATATAAGAATGGAGATAATTTGCTATTTAACTTCATTAGTAGATGCCTCAACAACCTTTTCTACTGTATTACTAGCATATTTATTCATACACAATTTTTCAAAGTTAGAGAGTACAAAATTAACAACAAATGGTTAATAATTAGAATTCTTGATGGCAAATTATAAGATATGATTTCCAAACTCTTGTTAACAAAGATTTTATTAATGTAATAAACAAGTGTTCATTATCTTATCAGTTTGAGTTGGAGAAAACAATTCAAGAGTTTTTAACAATATTTTACATCCATATTGAGATGAACATAAAAATAAAGTTGAGTCTTCAATTGGTTATAAGAAAAACTCTATTTTATCTCTTTGTAAAACTTCCAAACATTTAAGTATTACATAATTGCCGCTTGAATCATAAAGTAATGATTTTATTTAGAGTCTAATTGAGTCAATGAATTAATTTTATAAACTCTCATTATTTTAAATGATTTCAATTATCTTTTAGATAACTCTACATCCAAAGTTATTTTTAGATAATTCATAAGCATGTGGTCTAATTTTATTAAATAATCTCAACTATTGAATTGCACTTCCTAAAAGATATTTATAATTTATAATAAATACCTTTTTCGAATATTTTCTACATCACATAATTTCCAAAAACATCCTTTGAAAATTAAACACAAGATCTTTCAACTTTATTAAAAATCAATTCCTTTTAATCAGGTTTACCATTTTCAAATATCTTCTAAACTTTTCTAGACAATACTTGATTCCCACACATATTATCCTATTAAAATAGACATATAATCTTACAAGATCATATGTCAATTGCATATCATCATTTATTTCATTCAAAGGCAGTCTCTCTTATTAACACCCAGTAAAACTCAATCCATTCTATGGCTATTAATAAGTATATCCAAATTAATAAATCCCATGTGGTCTTATTACTCCTGGAGAATATGGTACTTAATAATCTACTAGCCGATTATGGTATTTATTCTAATATCCATAGTGCTCATTTCCTAACTTTCTGCAATTGATTGAACTTTCTTAAGTTGAAAATGAATGTCCATCAAAACTAATTGATACACTCTGTTTGTCATCTTATCTTGACAATTTCAAATGATTTTATGGAAATTAAGGATAAATAGCCTTTGTAGACATTGGACTTTAGACTTGATCAGATCCTAATGACATATGCTCGAATGATCGATTAAAACTATCGAAATATTGTTTCTCTGATGTTGAAACCTAATATACTTTAATTATAATCTTACATTTTCAATAATACTATCGCTTTCAAACCCTTAATTACGCAAAGGACTGTTATTATTGGAAAAAACTTCTTCGTAATCATCATCTAACTTAATAAAAATATTACTTCTTAAAATAGATCCTAACAAATCATCTTCGGCTTCATATTCTTTTGCTGACATTTTTTAATGATTGATATAAATATTACTTAAATTTTATGAAATCAAGATAATATAAATACCAAATATTTAGTTATTTATTTCATCAATCTCATAATTATATATTGAACCTTTTTCTCTATGTCAGAATAATTTATTAATGTTTGCTATTCTCTAATTCTCTCCTTAGAAATAACTCAAACAAAACAAACAAATTTAGAACATAATAAAATAAAAACTTGTTGTTATTCTATTGAAATTTTAATTCACTTAAATATAATATATTCAATAATTGTATTTATCATGCTTTAAAATTACTTTAAAAATAGACTATCATAACTTTGAAGCATTTAAAGATTTTTTATATAAACACAAATTAGGAATATAAAAATTTAATTGTTTTTATTATGTAACCATATTTCTTACCAGGTGACCAATAGTTTGCATTTCAATTAGACTCTGATATCCAAAGTAAAGAATTTAGAGATTTCTTAAAGAATACATGCCATATTAAAATTACAATGAATTAACCTATTTATCCTAGTTCTCTTATCCTTCCCAATTCCCTGGATACTCTGTAGATTGTTTTCCAGATAATGAAGCAATACATTAACAAAAATAAAAAAAAAGTAAAAAGATTAAGTAAGCATTAATCCACTATTTTAAGAAATAATGATTCTATAGGATTACTTCCAAAAACTCTAGAATTCACAAAATAAGTGATTGAAGAGCCTACTCATTCTCAAATTTAAAAAGATTAAATGTATTTACTCTTTATTTATATATAGTCAAAAATAAATCACTCCTTATTCGATTTTCCATTGTATTTAAGGAGCTCCTATTCCAAAATTACAATCAGATATTATATCAAATTAAGAAGCTTAAGGATCATAAGAAGGATCTCAATAAACTTAAAAATAAAAAGTATAACATCAACAAACTAAGAAACCAAAAAAAGAACACATTAACACTGGACATTGGTCAACTGAAGAACATACAACTTACATAGGCTTTCTTTAATAATATGAAAGTATTATGACTTCTTCTATGATGAAAAAAACTTCAAAAATTTTCAAATAAATGAGTGAACTCATTGGAACAAGAACTCCTAGTCAATGTAGAAGTCACCATTAAAAATTTAATCCTTATGCTTTAAGAGGTGAAAATGGTAAAAGATTACCTCGTACTGAAAGAAGTAGAGCTGGTAGAAAAAAGAAGAATCCATCATGTGATATTCCTAAAGCAGGTTTAAAATTTCTATTAATATAATAGTTGATCTCAATATTTAATAGAATCATATTGATTAAGAATAATTAATGATTATGTATGATAAACATTTGATTCATCATATACCTTATGAATAATGGAATCCATATTATGATATCCACTCAAATATTAAAAAAGAAGAAGATTAAGATCATGAATTATAACATAGTTAACAAATTCAATCATTACTTCATAATTAATTAGAATACGAAGATTTCGTTAGACTTAATTATCAAAAACACTAAATTAATATCGATTTTATTGAAGGACATAATTTTATTCAAAATGAATATTGAACAACTATGATTATTAAAATTGTATAATATATATATTTTTAGTAATTTTTCCATTTACACTAAATTAATTTACTTTCAAATTGTTGATTTATGAAGGAAAAAAATATAACAAACATTCCCAAATTTAAGAAGAAATTAATGACACAATTTATAGAGTTTTCTCTTTAGTTTAGAATTTTGTTTGAAGATGATATCATTTAAATACCTCCACTCATATTTTCATTTACCATAATATTATCATACCTTTAAGAAATTAGTTTTCTCTTTGAAAATTATGATTTAACTGATAATGGCTCCTTTAGTTTTATAAGATGTTTAATCATCATTTCAAAATTCACTAGACCTTATTAAATTCTAGACGAAAAATTTTTTAGATTCTCATACACAATACCATTTGTAATTAATCTTATTTATTATTTGTTGATGTTTAAATTATTTATCACTTATAAGTTGGAAAAATCAAGAAACCTAAAACTACTAGAAATGTTTTATTAATAAAATAGATTCTTTATAATTTTAATGACAATTATGACTTATATATAAGCATTTCTCTTTCACCTCATTTTTGTTAATTAAATAGAATTAACTGTGATTTCAATATCTTATAATTCTATATTAAATGATATCAATATTGGAAATTTAGTATTTGCTATTATAACCCTTATTATCGTAATCATAAATATGATTGTATAAATGATATGTAATCTTGAATTTAATTAAATATCAAAACAAAATTTTAGTGTGCTGCAATAAGGTTTCTGTTTACATTGGCAATAGATGTCAATATTACTTATTATTTTAATCAATTAATTAAATACAGATTTTAGAATTAAATTTTATTTAATCTTTACTTTGTTAATCTTAAAACTAATATTTTCTGTTTAATCATAACTATTGTATTTTATTTCATTGTTTAAAAAAGCATATATTGAATTTATTGGTTTAACAGCATAATTTACTTTTCTAATTATTTTATTAATTTTTTAAATTCAATAAAATGATTTTAATAATAAAGATTCCTTGTTATTTATAATCTCATATCCATTACTTATATAAATTGTCTTAAATTCCTTTTAAGCATTTCATGAAAGAATTATAACAAATAGAAAAAACACTCTAAATCCTTATGAGCTACAATATAAAATAGCAGAGATTTTCTTAAGATATGGAGTAATTTGTTGCTCTTAAATAAAAAATAAATAATAAATGGCATATATTTATAATTTTTATATTATTCATAAAGAAACTTGTTCATCCAATTTATGTTAATGTTGTTCTAGTAATTTAACATTTGAATAGATTATAACATTATTTTTAAAGGAATAGATACAATAATTTGGATAAGTGATAAACGAATTAAAGGATTAACCTTTTCGTTAAAGTATGTTCTTACGTTATTTATCTTATATCAGTTATTTGGGACATAATACTAAAGCATTCTAATAATCTAATATTTAGACATATAATGAGAGCGAAATTAGGTATTAAATTTAATACTCTTTAGTTCAAGATTAAGTTTATATGGAAATTAAAGAAGTGAAACATAAAAAGTTGAATCAAGTCATAGTTTAGAAAAGAAAAGTTATTCATAATAAAGATAAAGAAATGACTTAGAAAATGATGAATTTATAAGAATTAAGATTATAAATTTAAGCTTTATTAATCAAATTAAACTTAAATTACTTTAAGATTATATAAAAAAGTCGATGAACAACGGCTTGAGAAAATAAAGCATAATGTAAGAAAATCTTGAACATGCTGTAAATTTATTTTTAACGTCAGAAACAGCTAATTAAAGATTAAAAGAAAAAATAATTACATCTTTAAATAGAAAGAGACAATATTTTAATAATATTTTATCGAATACAGGATCTATATTTTCAAATTCTAAAAATTTACTTATTAAATTTAAGAAAATAGAAAATGAATTATTAAAATTATATGATTAATTTCCAAGTAGAAAAATGCAAGCTTTAAATACATTTCTATAAGCAGAATTAATGAACAATTATTTTTCAGCTTATAAATTGAATACAGTTGCATCTATTTCAGATGAAAAATTACTTAAAATGTAATCATAAATATCTATAGATTTATTTTCAAGTAAATTAGATTATATTATATTTGGTTTCGATTAAAAATCTCATTATTTATAAATATAATCAACATCAAATCTTATCCATCAATTTTTTGGATATACATAGGAATAATTTAAATAAATGAATTTTATTGAAGCAATTTTACCTTAAGGTTTTGAATTAATCCATCAAAAATTAATTTAAAATTTTCTTTAAACAGGAGAATCAAAATTTTATAAATAAATTAATTTAAGTTTTTGTAGAACAACAAATAAATGTATAAAACCAATAGATTTCTTTTTTGATATCAATTTATCAAATTTTGAAGATTTAAAATTTGTTGCCTTTCTTTAGGATACTTAAATTTCTTCAGCTTTTATTTTATGTTGTGAAAATAATAGAATACAATGTATGACCAAAAACATTGGATAAAAATTAGGTTATGAATAAAAATATAATTATGATTTAGTTGATTTGTTATATAAATAACAAATTAATAAGTTATTTCCAAGATTTAATAATATTTATGAATCATTCTTAACAAAAGCTTCTATTATTTAAAAGTATTAATAAGAATAAAATAATTTTGATGATAAATAAACAAATTATGATGAAAGTGATTCTTAAATTTAAATGATTGTTCCAAATGTTCAAATATTTGAAAAGAAAACACAAATAAATTGGGATTAGAATGATCATATTAGTTAATTAACTGCTGATGTTGTCTTTCATTTAAGAAATATCAAATAAGAATTGTTTTCTTATTTAATTGTAGAAATAAGAGATGCAAAGAAATTTATTTAGACAGAATTTTCAACTCCTTTTTAAACCGAAATACCTTTAAGTACCAATAATAACTTAGAATATCTAGCATAATTAACAGATATGGATAATAATTTTGATATAATAGAAGATTAAGAAAGTTTTTGTATAAATCCTCCAAAAGCTTTAGAACTTTTAGAAAACTATGAAAAAGATACCTATCATTTTGGATAAAGATTAAAAATTAATTAAAATGTAAATAACTCTAATTCTTAACTTATTTATCCAAATATTTCTATTGCATTAGCCAGTCCAAAGGATAGTGCTTCAAGATTAATTGATGAAAAGTAAGATGTTTCTTTACAACAAATAAATAACACAGTTTAAAAAAACAATAAAAATAAATAACACTACTTTTCAGCTTTAGATTAAAAAGAGGATTATGAATCTAGCCATTTTATAAGTAGTATCAAAGAAAATAAATAAATGAATAAAAATTTAGAATAATAAATATAAATAGAATAAATTGATAAAGACTTACAAGATAACATTAAATAACAAATGCAAATTAAAAATTAAATTAATGATTCTAGTTTGATATAATAAATTGAAGATGTTTCTGATTCAAGTTCATTAGCAGGGATTAAAAAATCTAAATTTTCTAAAAGATATGAATTAATTTAAAAAATTATAAGTTCCAAAAAGTTTTCTCTTAATTTTTTGAATATGAAATATATGTTAACCTTAATGTTTCTTAATTTTTTAGTATTTGGATCAATAGAAACATTTTACTCTAATTCAGACTTACTTCAATTCTTAAAAGAATTGGATTTACTTTAAATAAAAGCTAACATAATTGGTCCAATTGACAACTATATAGTTGGATAAAATGCTGTAACAAACTATGCTACTTTATATTAAGAAAACTATTTAACAAGAGAAGAAGCTTTTTAAAAAGCTATATATGCAAATAATGAAATTAATTATACTTTTTATGAATTAAAGACCAGCTTTGAAAATTAATTATAAAATCCATATCTTGACCCTTTTTTTGAAGATAGATATGTTACTGTAAAAATGGCAGATTATCCAAACACAATAGAATATACCATTAGATTGAGAGAAGCAATTCAGTTAGAATTAGAGGCTTCATTAAATTTTATAAAGACAGATTTTTTATTTAATTAGAACATAGATTATACCTAAGGGCATTTTACTTATTTATTTAAGAACTTTATACCATTAAGATAATTATGTTAAGAATTGAATTAAGAAATGCTCTTGTATTCTACAACGAGAGCTTCTTTGGTTTCTTAAAATTGGTATTAATTATTGATCCCAATAGTAATTATTGGTGGATTGTTATTGATAGTTTGCATATTGTTTTATAAATATTATTTATAGCAATATGATCAGTTTTTAGAATTATTTTCTTATTTAGATATTGTTTGGTTATAAAGAGATATAGATCGATACAGAGGATATGCAAGTCTATTAATGAAGGATTCAGATGTTTTATTTAAATATTAATTTGATCTAGATGCAAAGGAAATATTTTTAATTAATGAAGAAATGAAAAAAGATAAGATTGCATAAAATCAAACATATTAAAGAGATAAATAAAATACATAAGGATTTGTAGGGATATAATAAAAGATGTAATAATTACCTTCAATTTTTTCATTTGCTACTATATATGGGATTTGTTTTGTATTTTGTTTTATATCTAATTCTTTGGCTTAAAATTATTATACAAAATATCCTGAGTCTACTAGATTTTTTAATCTTTTATCTGATCTTAGTATGGCTAGCAGTGGAGTTTTTTCAATGAGAGAAATTAGTTATACAATAAAAGCAGAAGTTTCTCATATATATTTCTTCTCAGATAAAAATGCAACAGAATTTATAAATGTATTCTTAGAACATATCAAAATAATAGATAACTTTTTGGAAGTATTCTAAAATTTTGATTCTTCTGGATATATTACATCTGATCATTTTATTTCTGATTTTTATAATTTGATGGCTGAAGATATATGTACTTATTTACCAGAAGTATTAATTATATAATTTTTAGTATAAAAGAGAAAGTTCTTAATAACATTGCGATTCAGCATTAGATGGAGTAATGCGTAGAGGTATGTTAGAAACCTTAAATAAAGTGAGAAGTAACATTTACAATGAATATGAATCATCAAACCATTTTTAAGTTGAGCTAATAGAGTTAGAATCAGATCTAGAAATTGGATTAATATCTTATGATGATTTAAATGCATTAAGAGATTAATTTTAAGTGTAATTGACTGATACAACTAATGAATTAATTTCTGAGTTATCTGTAAAAATTAATTATATTTTATTAGTTAATTAATATTTCATTTATTGTGTTTATTTTAATAAGTATTTTTACATTATTAACACTTGTTGAATAATACTTTAAATGGGAATTCAACTTAGTCAAGAATTTTGTGATTCTACTACCATAAACATCTTTATTTTTAGACATTTAACTTGATAGAAATTTAAGATAGATGGTTGTATAAGAAGATTTAATATGATTAATTGTTCAATAATAAAATTAGCATATAAATTTATAGTTTAATCTCAATAATTTATATATATAAGGTTTTATTATTTTATTCTTAAATCATATGAAATTTTCAATCCCATCTAATCTTCTCATATATTCTTAAGATTTTTAAACAAGAACATTATAGTTATATAAGCAAAATAAATTAAAACTTAATTATTTTCACTTGTAGTTCTATTTATCATCAATTAATCAATTTATTTTAGTTATTACGAATTATTCTTATATTGTTTTTAGAAAGTTTAATAAGATTTTATGATATATTGGATAAGTCAAACTTTCTCTCTTTGGTTAAAATACTCTTCTTGTTATAATATTTATTTATATTCTGTTCAAAATAAATATGAAATCAAATTATTATTTTTATTTAATGATAATTTTATTATTTGAAAGTCACATATTATTAGTTTATTTTATTGCTTAAACTTCTTCATTTTTATTAGTTTTTAATGATATGCTCTTAATGATAATTCCTTATTTATAATATATATCTATTAAATCACTTTTTACTATATAGAAAAAACAATTAATAAAAACAATAAAAAATTGATTTATATACATGTAGGATAGAGACATAAATATGGGTGATTTTAATGGATAAATAGGTTAAGGTGGTTCTACTTAATTTAATCAGTTTGAAATAGTGAGTAATTAAAATTCTGGATTAATCTCTATGGAAATAAATCAATAGTAAATTTATTACTCCGATTCTACTTCAATTAATTTCTCTAATTATGTTTGTAAATAACAAAATTCATAATCTCAAGAATTTGGAAAAGGTAATAGTTAATATCTATATGGTGATTGTCTAAATTTTGTCGAGGTTGGTGTAGTGTCTCAAAAACAAATAAATGAGAATCTGGAATCTCAACAATCAAATTAAATACCTTAATAAGCAAATGAAACATCTTAAACAAATTAAGTACCTCAAACATAAATTGTAATACCTCAAAAAACAAATTATACATCTTAAATAGATTAAAAAGATATGAAATTATATGAAAGATATTATGAGAATGAAATATGTCCTCATTTGTTACCAATGAAAGAATATTTTTTATAAACAGATGACGTAAATGTATTATTTAAATATAGCCAAATAATAAAGTTTAGGAATACATAAGTAATCAACAGGAAGTTGNTATAAGGTTTTATTATTTTATTCTTAAATCATATGAAATTTTCAATCCCATCTAATCTTCTCATATATTCTTAAGATTTTTAAACAAGAACATTATAGTTATATAAGCAAAATAAATTAAAACTTAATTATTTTCACTTGTAGTTCTATTTATCATCAATTAATCAATTTATTTTAGTTATTACGAATTATTCTTATATTGTTTTTAGAAAGTTTAATAAGATTTTATGATATATTGGATAAGTCAAACTTTCTCTCTTTGGTTAAAATACTCTTCTTGTTATAATATTTATTTATATTCTGTTCAAAATAAATATGAAATCAAATTATTATTTTTATTTAATGATAATTTTATTATTTGAAAGTCACATATTATTAGTTTATTTTATTGCTTAAACTTCTTCATTTTTATTAGTTTTTAATGATATGCTCTTAATGATAATTCCTTATTTATAATATATATCTATTAAATCACTTTTTACTATATAGAAAAAACAATTAATAAAAACAATAAAAAATTGATTTATATACATGTAGGATAGAGACATAAATATGGGTGATTTTAATGGATAAATAGGTTAAGGTGGTTCTACTTAATTTAATCAGTTTGAAATAGTGAGTAATTAAAATTCTGGATTAATCTCTATGGAAATAAATCAATAGTAAATTTATTACTCCGATTCTACTTCAATTAATTTCTCTAATTATGTTTGTAAATAACAAAATTCATAATCTCAAGAATTTGGAAAAGGTAATAGTTAATATCTATATGGTGATTGTCTAAATTTTGTCGAGGTTGGTGTAGTGTCTCAAAAACAAATAAATGAGAATCTGGAATCTCAACAATCAAATTAAATACCTTAATAAGCAAATGAAACATCTTAAACAAATTAAGTACCTCAAACATAAATTGTAATACCTCAAAAAACAAATTATACATCTTAAATAGATTAAAAAGATATGAAATTATATGAAAGATATTATGAGAATGAAATATGTCCTCATTTGTTACCAATGAAAGAATATTTTTTATAAACAGATGACGTAAATGTATTATTTAAATATAGCCAAATAATAAAGTTTAGGAATACATAAGTAATCAACAGGAAGTTGAAATAAGTAAAGAGGAATTATAAGAACTTTATGATGCATAAAGTTAAGAATTTAAAATGAAAATTGCCTAATTTAGTGAAAATAAATTAATGTAAAATTTAAGTTTTACTTAAAAAATTTATGGGAAGCAATAGAAATCTATTAGAATAAACAAAATTCAAGATAAAATCGACCAAACATTAAAATTGTGTCAGTAATTTACTAATAGAAGATATTCTCAAATTGTCTTATCATTTTAATTGTTAGATAATTTTGAAGATTGCTAAGAATTTTTGCAAAATTTGGATTTGCCTTAAGAAAAACCTATTTTAAGAAAATTAAATTAATTAATTGGAAATGAATAAAAAGATATAGAGAATGGAATCATTAATGAATTATAAAAATCAGATTAAAAAATAATTGATTTTTTTAAAAATGATAGAAGTCTTTAAATAAAAGACTATTCACTAAATCAAATATTACTTAAAATTATAGAAGAAAATAACTATATGTATGATATTAAGAAGGTATTTCTAAATTATATGATAGTTGGATAAATAAAATTAAGAAAAGAGCAAGAGTTCTTTTGCAGAAAATAGAAATAAAATTAGTGAAATAAATAATTAAAAGGAAAATTTGATTTAATAATATTAAAGTAAAATTTTTGCTAAATTATAGCGGGCTAAATTGATGAAAAAGAGTTCAATAAACAATTAGAAAATAAATAAATTGAGAAATAAGAGCTTAATAAAACTGGTAAGAGGTTATTCCTTGAATTAATGATTATTGAAAATGGGTCTTGTTAAATTGATTTTCATGATTATATAATCTCAGAAATTGAAAATATTTTAGATGATGTTTTTGATAAAATAGAAGCATATAAGATAAGTCTTAAACTATAATAGATAAAATTATAAATAATAATAGGCGAAGGTTTTATTATTAAATAATATTATAGGATTAAATTCTAAAAATTATGAACATATCATCAATCCTATGATATAACATTATATATAATAGTACCTCTAACAAAAAATAGAAATAAAAGAAGGAAAAATTGATGTTATAGTTTGAGTCTTTTTCTTTAATAAATTGATTATAATTCATTGTAATATCTAAAGTATTGTTTAGAATATAATTGAAAGTCAAATTTATACAAGCGTAATTAATTATCATAAGGAGTAATATTTTTTATTCTAGATTTAACCTTTTTATATTTCATTTACTATTGGACTTTTGATATTTTTTATAAAACTTCTAATTTATAATATTCATCATTTGCTAAAAGTTTAGATAAAATGCATATATATATTTTTCTTTAATGAAATACTCAAATTATTATTTTATTGTAAGAATTAAAATATAATTAATCATCTTCTTAGATAAATCTAACTCTATTAATCATTAAAATGAGGAGATTTCTATTATCAAAACCAAAGTGTTAATATCAAGCTAATTCTTAATTTCTGTGATTTATTTATATCTAATATTTTTTTTTAATTAAGAAATCTCATTTTTCAAAATTTCTAAAATCAAGAAATTATTTTAAGATAAAAGATGGATAAATGTTTAAATAAATTTTAAGATATAAATGTTGAAAAAAATAAATTTGATTTGTTAAGTATAAATTTAAGATGGATTATTATGAAGAATTATATAACGAGAAAAAAAGTTGAATAATATAGTAGTTATAAGTTAATAAACAATTTTAATGATGTTTTAGAAAATAGTTTTATACAATAAAAAGAGGTATTACAAATGTAATAAATAAAAAAAAGGATGAGAAAAGTAGATTTTTTGTAATTTCATAAGAGGTTAATTATAGACTCTGTTAGAAAGAGTATTTAAATAAATTCAAGTGTATAAATTAAGGGGAAATAAAAGAGATGTAAAAAAAGTTTGGAAATGAAATTATAATTAATAATAATAAAAATAATGTGCTTACCTATTTAACAGATTCCCCCATCTACAGAAGGAACGAAAAAAGCAGTATCAATGTTAAAAGTGCTAGGTATAAGTTAATTTATAGTTGGCTTGATTAAATTATTTGTTTTGCAATCATTTTAAGGATTTTATGATTTCTTTACTATATTCATCCTATTTATGGCATGGGGATAATTGAATTATTGTAATTGTGTGATTGCTATATTCTACTTTTTATAAAATGTATAGAAATCATATATTATTTAGTTATTGATGATTTTTATATTTTTTGGTATGAATGTTGAATTGGACGAAGAATTTTTCAAACCTACAGATAAGGGTGTTACAAATTTTATTTTATTTTTTTATTATCTTGCTGCATGTTATGTAGCATTTTTAGCTTATAAAGAATTAAAAATATTTCGATATGACTAAATGGGAGGATTAATATAAACAAATTAATAGAATGATTTGGAATAAAATAACAATCAACAATAATATAATTAATAATAAGCATATTAAAATATACCAACTTAGGGATAAGGTTAATAATAAGATTAGAGAGGATAATTTTAAGCTTTTACAGGAAGAGGAGTATAAATAGGATGAAATATATAGTTGTAATATATAGTTAACTATATATAAACATATTAATTATTTTCATTTACATGATAGATGGACAAAATTATATTCATTTTTGGTAACTTCTTCTTCATTTTCGTCAGTTCTCATTCTTGATGATATCGAATTGAAGAAGTAACTATTTTAATATTGTTTTTTAATCAAGAACTTCTTTTTACTCTATTACTATAATTACATTTCTATTTAAGTTTTTATAAATTTTTATTTTCTAGTAGTAGAGAATTCACTATCAGTTCGAGGAAGTGGTTTTGTAGGTTTTGGCTTTTCTCTTGTTCCAATCTCTAAAAAGTCAAGATTGATATTTTTTTCTATTTCTCTTTTAGCCTCTGTTAAATCATTAAAATTTTTTTCATAAGACAATAGTTATTAAATAAAGTTTTTGTTTTTTTATTCTGATAATTAAATCCATTATTATTTAATTTAAGGTATTTTATCTAAAATAGCTTCAAAATGCTCTACTTTCAATTAATATAATTCTGATTAATCAGTATTTGAATAAACTGAATGAGTTCTACTAATATGATTTTACATTAATAATTCCATCTCTCCAAACATTTAACCACTTGTTATATATTTTATTGTTATAAGTTTTTTCATTGATTTATAATAGTTATTTCCAAATTTTTTCTTTTGATATCTAGCTTCTATTATTTCTGATAATGTCTTTTATTTATGATTCATCCCCAATAAAATCTTCTCAAAATCCCCCATAAACATTTCATTTAAATCTATTGTAGATGTTAAGACTGTTTTCACAATTTTAAATTCACCTTTCTTTATTATATACACATAATCTAATGATCCACCTTCCTTATATACACAAGCATTCATTGAATATTTCTTTATAAATGCCTTATCATAAAATGCTTTTATATCTTGAAATTTCCAATTATGAAACAAATCTAAATTAGCGAATTCTTCAAAATATGTCTTTTTCATTAAGTGTTTAACATTATTCAAAATAGTTAAATAACTTTCTCTCTCTAAATATGCTAAATGACTATTTTCTAGAGTTCTACATGATGCAGTTCTTGTTGCTTCCACATCCATTCCTCTCTCCCCAAAAGTATCTCCATTTGAAAGTTACTTAATTTCATGATCATAGATAGATGCTTAAAGATCATTTGGATTGAAATCCTTTAAAACCTATACTCTCCCACTTATTATTATATAAAATTTATCTCCAATATCACCTTCTTTAAATACAAAATGTCCTGCAGGTAAATACTTATATTACAAAGACTTACAACATTATTCATGTAGTAAATCAGACTCAAGATTATTAAAAAATTCTATTGATCTAGTTGCTGATCTCAACATAAATACATCTGTTGCTGTTCTCATCTCACAAGGCTTTTATAATACATAAACCATCACATCGATTAAATCTTTATTGCTCAATTTTATTATCATTCTTACTTTGATCCTGTTAAACTCTATCTTATATCAAACTTTTATAGCACAGTTGAAGCCCTTCTTACTTGATCTGCATTAAATATCAATCTTCTCATTATTTTTAATCTTTATATGAAAAATATACTTTCTATTTTTATTACTATTTCTAATTTATACCAAACACTAATTATATAAATTATTAAAAACCATTAAATCTAACTTAATCTTTTATCCAAAATTTATCATATTATTATTTTTATATATTTTATCACTCCTATACTTTTCACTTCTAAATAAAAGATTTCTATCTCTTTATATTTATTTTAATCATAAATAAATTAAAAAATGTATAATCAATTTTTTAAATATCCATAAATATTAAATCATTATATTTTTTTTAATATTACCGCATTTGTTGGACTCAGTTAATGATTAAAATGTATTACCCAAGATACAATCACATTTTTATTTTCAATTATATGATAATTTTTTAATATTTAACCTAATATAATTTTAGTTTCTAATTAAGCCATTTAAGATCCTATACAATTTCTGGGTCCTGCTGAAAATGGCATATAAATAAAATTATTATCTTCTTTTATTGGTTTATCTTACATCCATCTAGTATAATCAAATTTCCCAGCTTAATCAAAATGTTTTTCTGATTAATTTTACAAAAAGTAATCTATACAAATTAACCATCCTTTTTTTATTAATTTTTATTATTACCTTTTTTTATTTTTAAATCCATTAAATTATGATCCTATGAAGCTACACGAATGATTGGTCTCATAGCAGGATTTTTTAATCTCAATACTTCATTAATAAATGCTTATAATCTTTTCAAATTATTAATTTAATTTTCTTATATGAAATTTGAAGGACAAAATTAATTTATTTCACTTCTGATTTCTTCTTAAGCTTATGGATTACAAGCAAAAAAATATAGACAATGATATAATAATACTGCTGTTGTATCTGTCCCTGCAAATTACAATGTTATAAATTCTTAAATTATTTGATCAAATGTCTCTTCTTATTATTGTTTATTATTTATTTTAAGATACTCACTCACCAATACATTTAGAAAATTATCATTTTCACTTATCTTCTTTTATTCATCATCTAAATTTTAAAAATAATTAATTCTTTATTATACTAAATTTCCTACTATTGATCTTATTATATCTACTCTATGTAGTAATTTTACTTCTTCTTTTGTAGGTAAAATTTTCCAAGCTTTTGTACCAAATATAAGTCTTTTTACAGATTAGATTGAAGATTTAAATCTCAAAAAACCCATCTCATTCATTATATTAGCAATCTCAACTTATAATTCTGTGTTATTAACATAAATTTAATCTGTTTGAATTCCAAAAAAACTCTTAATAACAATAAGGCCAGTGATAGACTACAAAGATGATAAAATATTTTCATTTGAAAAATTACTTAATTTATTTTTTGTTATTTCATTTATCATTGGAACTTTTTACTTCAATGAATCAAATTCAAATAATTTTGATAATAGTAGTCTTTATTTTTTCCATTATTCACCTTTTGAAAAAACAAGCCCTTTTGATAATAAACCTCTAATATTTAATATATTATAGATATACTTATGACAAACAGGATCTACTTTTTAATAGAAATGATGATTCTAAAGAGCTGCTTTTTGATATAAAGGATCTGCAATAGAAATTCTTATTATCCAAAGCATATTGGTTGTAAAAAATTTATATTAGTATTTATTATAGGCTGTTTTCTACTTATTAAAAATATCGTTTTCATTCTTGTTTTCTTTTGTTTCTTTTAATTGATCATATATTTCCTTTCCTAAAAAATTAAAAGAAATTTTGCAATCATTTCCAAATTGAAGTTTTAGCTTTATCATCTCTATTATTGGTTTAATAGCAATAAAATATAATATGATAGCTATCAATACGATTGTTAAGATTGCAAAATAAGCAAAACTTATCATAATTAATATCATAAAATTATGAAAATTCACAGGTTAATTATTATAAAATAAAAATTTAATTCTCCAAAATTCTGAAATTATTAGAGAGGTAAGATTATTTATCCATTTTATTTTTTAAATTAATTTTTAGAATTAATCTTAAAATTAAGAAAAAAAAGTAATGATAAGTTTTTTATAATTTCTATTATCTGTATAAATAAAATAAATAAATGAATAGCAATAGAATCAGAATTTGTGAATTTAAAAATCAATGTTAGATAGAAGGTTGCTCTAATTTACATTCTTTTGACTAAAACTACTTTTATAAGGTTTAGATGGAAAAAGCAAAACATTAAATAGTATTAAAATTTAATATTAAGAAATGTGAAAAAAACTGTGTAGATTTTGAATCATGTTTGGATTTACACGAAAATGAAAGATTATTTATTTAATGTTAAAAGAATTGTTAAGACCCACAATGTATATTTACTCATGAAACAAATGTTTTATAAAATGAAGAAAAAATATAGAAAGCAAATGAATATAGAGAATAGGGAAATGAATTATATAAATAAGGAGATTATTAGAAGGCAATATAAGCTTTTGATGAGGCAATTGTAATTCATACATTTTATGAAGAAATATAATAATACAATGTCTGTCTTTTATTCAAATAAAGCATTATGCTATAAGAAATTAAAAGACTGGAGCAAAGTCAATGAGATATCAAAACAAGCCCTATAAATAGATGAATATAATTTAAGAGCAAAATACCTTGAAACCATTTCCAGTATAGAACTCTAGAAAACAGAGCCAAACTCATCAATATTAGTAATACTAAGAAATAATTTGCAAATTCTTCAATTTAGTATATATTTTTTTGAACTATTACAGTTGAATTAGAAGCTGAAAATAAATAAATGCAATCATTAGTAAATCTTAGCAAAGAGAAAAATAAAATTTCAATTATTATTGAACAATTGAATAAGTCAGAAGAGGATCTTAAAATTATTAAATTTGTTGAAAATTCAGAGATATCAGAATAACAAAAATAAAATCTAATTTCATTTATTTGGTCTAAAATTGTACCATAACAAGTTTTTTTACAAAAGCCAGAACCAGAAGAAGAAGCTCATGATTATTTAAATTGTCCTATTACATTTGAAAATTTTATTGATCCTGTATTAACTTGTGGAGGATAAACTTATGAAAGATAGGCTCTTGAGTATCATACAACTAAAAATGGCTATTTCGATCCTTGTACTAGAATGGCATTGAAACCTAACTACATTTCAAATTTGTAAATATAATAAGCTGTCCAAGACTTTTAAAATCGAAATAAATTTCATTTGTAAACGAACGAAGCCATTTCATTCGAATGATCTCAATTATAATTATTATAATGTGATTTATTTTATTAAGTAAATATTAATATATAGCTAATTATTATACATAATTTATAACCAATTTCAAAGTGTTTTCGATTATTATATTGATGATAGGGCATTTTCAATTAGTTCATGCTATTAATTTAACTGATTTAAAAGACTAATTTATTATTATTATTTTCTAATCATTTTTTAATATTTTTTAATTTCTTTCTTATTTTTTTCAACTTATAAATTATTAGGACCGTATTTTGAAATTAATCTAGATTACAATTCAATTTTGAGTCTTTCAATTTCAAATTATTATTGTTATATTTATTGTTTTTAGTGTTCTAATTATTTTTATTTTTCTAATTTTTAAGCAAGTTTGTTTTCAAATTCCTCTATCATATCATCTACAACATTTGATTAAGTTTAATGAAATAAAAATTGAGCATAATTTGCTTATTGTACTTCATTTACATCAATCGTTTAAGTAAATTTATCAATTAATGGTTTTTGTTTTTTTTAAGGTTTAGGTTTGTTTTATTAAGGAAATATTAATTCTAAGAATTTTTTGTTATTTTCTTTTAATTAATCAAGAGTATTTTGCAATTAATTCTAAATTTAAAGCATTCTTTTTAATTATATTAATAAAAATTAAATATTTGTTATAATATTGTTCATGTTTTTTATATATCTATTATTAAGACATAAAATAAATTTAAAAATTAGATCTATATTTTTTTAAGCTTTGATTTGAATATTAGGTAATATTAATTAATTGTTACAAATTTTTAATAATAATTTTTTTAAATAGTTGTTAAAAAGTATAATGGCGAATAGAAAGAAGACAAAAGACAATAACAATAACTAATCTTTTTAAGTAGACAACAATGAAAAGATGCCAAGTTTTATGCATTCTTTATTTGATTCTGAGGAAAAGAGCAAAATTGTAGAATAATCTAATGAAGGAAGCAAGAAGTCTGAAAAAAAAAAAGAAGAAAGAATATCAGCAATTTAAGTTTAAAAGGCAAGAGATAAGTTATAAAAGAGGAATAAACCTATGTCAAAAGTATTATAAGAGATTAGATAACTATAAAATTCAGGTGTTTTAGTTTGCCGCCGAGCAGGATTTTAAAGATTTGTTAGATAGACAGGTCTAAAAGTATCTGAAAAACTTGGTTTTAAAGATTTTAGATATTCAAGTAAATCCTTAGAATGTTTATAAACATTAACTGAATAATATATGGTTGATTTATTTGAGGATTCAGTATAATGTACATTTCATGCAAAAAGAGTAACATTAATGGCAAAGGATTTAAATTTAACAGCAAGAATAAGAGGAATCGAATAGCCACTTAATGAAATCAGAAATCTAAAATGATGATTAAATATAACTATTATAAAAATAATTACTAAATTTTATAACTAAATTCTGATAGTCATTTTATGTATAAGTACTTAATAAATATTCTTAAGAGAGCAAATTAAATTAAAAATGAAAATGTATCAAGATAGAATGATAAAGAGAAAAGTAATGAATAAATTTGAAATATTATATTTTAAATAAAGAGGGAATAAAGATTAAAGAATGATTTAAATAAAATAGATATTAAAAAGTATAATATAATATGATTAATGACGAATTATTGATGTGCTTCTAAAAGAATATTATAAAATTGAAATTGTAAATTATATAATGCAAGATTGTCATAAATCATAAAAGATAACAATATGTATGGTAGGATTACCAGCAAGAGGGAAGACATATATTTCTAGGAAACTTCATAGATATTTGAATTGGTTGGGTTATAATTGCAAAGTTTTCAATATTGGAAATTATAGAAGAGAGATTTGTGGGACAGAATGTGATAAAAGCTTCTTTGATTCAAAAAATGAAAAAGTATATTAAGAATATAATTAGGCAACAAAAGCAAGAAATGAATGTGCTCAGATGGCATTAAATGATTTGATTGGTTTTTTAAATAGTGATGGAGAAATTGCTATTTTTGATGGGACTAATACAACTAAAGAGAGGAGAAAAATGGTTTAATCTTCATTATTATAATAATGTTAAAATGTTTAAACTCTTTGGATAGAATCAATTTGTGATGACGCAGAAGTCATTCAAAATAATATTAGATTAACAAAACTTAATAATCCAGATTATGTTACAATGAATCCTGAAGATGCAACTAAGGATTTTTTAGGAAGAATTAAAATGTATGAAGAAGTATATCAAAAGATAGAACTTGATGAAAATTTATCATTTATTAAATTAATAAATATTGGTGAAGATGTATCATATTGACTGATAATTAAAAGATTTAAATTCATAAAGTGAAAGGATATTTACTATCAAAGATTATATCATACTTGATGAATCTCCATATATATCCAAGACCTATTTACTTAACTAGACATGGAGGTAGTTCATTTAATTAAGAAAACAGAGTTGGAGGAGATTGTGATTTATCTTAATAAGGAATACAATATTCAGAAAAATTAGGTCATTTTTTACTTGAAGAATTTCCTACATAAGAATAAAGGAATTAAATTCATTGCTTAACTTCTACTATGAAAAGAGCTACACATACAACTGAAATTGTTTGTAACATTCTAAAAATTAACTATTTATAATTAAAGACATTAGATGAAATTAATGTTGGAATTTGTGATAGTTTAACTTATACTTAAATTGCAATTCAATTTCCTGAAGATTTTTCCGTATCTTTTTTATTCTACTTAATTAGGAAAGAAAAGTTAATAAATTAACTTATAGATATCCAAGAGGAGAATCCTATTTAGATTTGATAAGTAGAATTGAACCCATTATTTATGAGATTGAAAGATCTAGAGAACCTGTATTAGTTATTGGACATCAAGCTATTTTAAGATGTCTTTATGCTTATTTCCATAGAAATGAAATATCAGAAGTACCTTAATTAGAAATTCCTATTCATGTAGTCATAAAGTTAACTCCAGCAGCTTATTATTGTGAAGAAATTAGAATTAAAATTGACCCAGAGACTGGAGAAAGAAAATTAATAGAAGAAGATCTTCAAATTACAAGAATTAATATTTTAACTAAAAAAAAGAGCTACATCTTATTATGATCATATAATTTATTTTATTGTAACACTCTGTAACTTCATTAAATTATTTAGTAATCATTATTATTAAGGCATTCTTTTATTATTTATTCTTTATTATTTATTCTTTATTCTACTTATCAAAATAATTATCTTCCCCATCTATCTTTAATAATGAGAATTCTTTTATAATAATGAAGATTTGAAAGTTAATTATTTTTTAGTTAAAGTTCATTAAAAAGATAGAAGATTAATATTTTATTTAATATTAGATTTTTTTTAATATCTTTGACATTTAAATTACAATACTAATGTTAAAAAAAACTAAAAAATTTATTCCTTCGACTTTATTACTATTTGATAAAATTAAGAGATTTCATAAAAGATTAGATAATAGTTATCAATTTATAGCTGTTAAAGATTTTATTCATATTTTTTTATAGAATAGTCTCCAATAAATTTGGGATGTAGATTTTCGATGTTATAAAATGTTATTGATATATCATTTTTAAGTCATTTAATAAACTTTAATAATATTCTGTAGTAATTAAAATTGTATTAAAAATATTGAATTGAAAATTAGAGAAGAATGATTTATACAATGAATTCATTTACTATTATTGAATGAATAATATCAAAATGCTCCCTTGAGTTATGATTTAACATAATCGGTGAATCTTGGTTGATTTAATAAATCTAAAGCTTAATGGGCTGCATTCAATTCTTTATTGTATTCTGCAACAGTGGCATTATAGACATCAGTACAGAAAGCATAGTCATCATTTTCAGCTTATAATTATCCATTCAAAGTATCTAAATCAGCATGTAATTCATCAATTAAATCAAGGGTTTAATCAATCTTGTCTATAAATGAATAGTATAAATAGAATACTAGCATTAGCTTCAATTTCAGCAGTCTTAACAATAACAGCTCTTTAGAATTCAGCGTGTTCTTAGTTTAATTAGATAACTCTTGCTTCGAAATCTTTTTATGCTTCAGCTTCATCAGCAGTAAGTTAATTGAGTGAATCAACTAATTATACTCTCAAATTATTGAAAGCAGTAAGGATCTAAAATATATTTGATTTATTACTTCTTTAAGAGCACCTTGATCAGCAAAGTTTGCTTCAACTGCAATTTCAATAAGAGTCTTAATGAAGGTTTAGAATGTACTATGTCTCTTAAGGGATTATTGAATTTTAGTCAAATTCTTTTAGACCTTTTAGATTTAAACAAGGGATGGTTATTCTAATTGACTAAGTAATTATAATGATTCATCAATAGCACTGATAGCTTCATTATGTTCAGCAACTAAAGATTCAAATTCAGCATGATCATTAGCTCTTTAGACTGTTGCTTCATTAAGTGTCTTTCTGTTATAAGCAATGTTTTCATGTAATTATTCAAGTTAAGCAGCAAATCTATCTCTTTATGGGATTAAGACATTATCATAGAAATCATGAGCATTAAAGACCTCTAAATTTCATATGATTTACATACTTACCTCTTTCTTTATCTTAGATTTCTTATGAAAGTCTATTTACTTCTCTATTGTGAACATCTGTTCTTCTTGCAAATTAATGATGGACTTCTGCCAATTCCTCATCTAATTCGTCAATCTATATGAATTTATGAAATAGGCATTACAAGTTTAGCAATTTCAGTGTTTAATTCTGAAAGGATACCTCCTGTTGTTAAATGGAGTTCACCAAAGTTCAAAATGAAATTTCCCCAACCAGATTATTTGATTTAGGCAAAAGCTTTTTGGTCGTGGCTTGTCCAAACTGAGTTAGTAACATCTATTGCTGTTACACTAAGGATAAGCAATGTGCAGACTGCTAATTTATACATTTATTGTTATTAATAATGAAGCCAACACCAGATAATTAAGTCTTAAAAAATCCAAAAACGAATTTTATTTTTTTTGTATTAATTTGATTATTATTATATATTCATTCTTAGTATAGTAAATCTGTTAATTAAATTGATAAATATATAAATAATCAAGTCAGAGAATACGTATCTTTTCGATTAACAGTGTTTAATTATATTAGTTTATAAATGTTATTGTTTGTAGATTTTTATTAATATTCTATTCTGGCGATTCCATTTTTTTTATTTCTTAAAACTAATAAACCTTAATTAAAATATTATACCTGTCCAATTAATTAAAGTCCATTATTATTATTGTAATTACCAATTCCTCTAATTAATCCTTTATGAAATTAACCTTAGTAATAACTACCATCACTCCATATAAATATTCCGTCTCCTTCAAATTTATTATTTTTAAAGAATCCTTCATATCTAAAAAATTTTTTAAAAGATTTTATACTTGCATCCATCAGGAAACATTTATATCCCTCTTCCATGTTTTCTACCTTCCCAAAATTATCCAAAATAAGTAGTACCATCACTTTTTATCTCCTAACCCTCTCCTTATAGTTGATTATTTACCCATATTCCTAAAATAAATTACAAATATTTTACCTTTTACAACTTTTTTTTCAGATTTAAACATACCAAAACCAATTGTCCTGCCTTATGAGAATTAAGCCTCAAAACTATGATATTATTATAATAATTACATGTCTCCGTTAGAATAAAACATAGTGCACACACCTTCCAGTAAGTCATTTTACCAAGTCCTAAGAAAACCTTAATATTTATTTATACCCTTTCACTAAGTTTCCTATTTTAGGCCATAGTTGAATTCCTACTCCATGTTTTAAACTCTACTCCATCATTCCATAGTAAATACTTTCATCACTTTATTTAGAAAGTTAGAAGTTTTAGCTGGGTTTGAAATTTTCTAATTTTATTTTTTTCTGAGCTGACAATCCACTCACAATCTCAATCAATCGAGAATCTAAAACTGGACTTTCATTTCTTGAAGTATCATCATCAGCTACCAATTAATTTAAGTCTTACTTTCACTCAAAACCAAAGATGCAAATTTCTAAACGAAATTTTCCTATGATATCTATTAATTCATGTATGTTTAATTATTGAGATATTATAATTAATGAAAAAAACAGAAAACATACTCTTACATTAATTTAATACGGCAGAAATGTCACTAAAAATGATTTTTCAGAAATTCAGATCCTTCCTCTATGCAATACTGTAATCACTTACAAGTATTGAAATTATGTCTCAATTATCATCTACTCTTTTTTCTCTAATTTCTGAAATAGATTCAAAAACTATTATCCACTCCTATTATTTATTACATTAATTCTCATTATGGTTTACCATAATTTTTTAATTATTATTATTTAAATAATTTTCTTCGAAAGAAACTTCTATTTAATGATTCTAAAATCCTTCATAAGTAATTCATGATTATTTTGTCTAAAAAAAATAATTAATCGCTCTCTGTGTTAAAAATAAACATTCACGACTTTATTTCAAATCAATTTTTTAAAGAACTAAAAATAGAATTATATTAAAGATATATTTCAATCTTGAAAATTGTTTAATAATTAAATCTGCTTTTTATATCTCATATCAAATTTAATATTTCAATATTTTTAAATTATTCCAGAATATTTAAGAATTCTCAAATTCAAAAATCTTTCTAATATAAATCAGTTTTAGTACTTTTTTACTTTAAAATTTTAGTTAATTTATTTTTCATAAAAGAAAATTCAATAAATTTCAATGGTTTATACAAATAAATACATTTTTAGAATTATAAGAATATTATTTATTTAAAAAAAAAAAATTATTCATTCACTAAATTCTTAATTTTAAATTTAAACTCTTTATTTATCAAGTAATCATCAAATATTTAAAGATATTATTTATTTATCATCTTTGAAGCACCTTATAATTTTAAATATATAATTTTCTAGAAAATGCTAATATTCTCTGGAATTTTATAAAAAATGAAATTAAAATATTTTAATATTATTATTTTTATAACAAAAAATGAAAAATAATTTGTTTTAATTCATTTATATTATATATAGATTTTTATCCCATTACATATGATCAATTATGGTAGATGAAAATTAAATTAACTAAAAATAAATTTATATATATTAAGAATTTTAAATCATTCCGGAGTTAATAATAATTTTTCTTGGTTTATTTTATGATTCAATCTATGCCTTGAAAAATCCTGTTTTAATTTTTCTGTTTAATTTGTATTTGGCAAAGCTTTGTAAAATCTTTCACAATCTTCACATTGATGAGCATCCAATTTTTATCGTTCTTTTCTATTTTTTATGACTTCTCTAAATATCTTTTCTTATGGAACCTCAACTTCAGTTTAAATTGAAAATTTCTTTTTATCATCATTTGTATTCAATAATTATTATTTTTTGGATGATTGAGTTTATTTTTCTTCAAATATTTCAAAAAAATTTGGTTTTAAAAATTTAGCTGATTTTGGTTGATTATCAATAAGAAGTAAATCATTATCATTTTACTATTTTTTTTATTCCACCAAACTACCTATCATTTTCATAAGAGCCTAAAAAACATTTGCTTAAGTATTGTGTAAAATTGATATATGGCAAAATAGTTGAAACACAGAATTATAAGTGAAATCTAATTGATTAGCCTAATTTAGTAAATTTTTATACAAATATTATGTCAAGATGTTTTTACAAAGTGGAATAGATGGATTTCTCTTTTTCCATAAATTCTTGAAATTAGGAGGTGAAAAACATTTTTTATTTTTAAATTTCATATTATTAATATTATTCGGAGTAAAATCTAATATTTATTATAAAACATTTCTTAAATTTATATATATACATCTAAAAAATATATATTTAAAGTTATTCTTAATTTTTAATTGTTCTAATTCCTTTAAAAATTTCGAATATGTTTAGCAATTAATTTATTATGAAATTTATATTATATTAAAAAAAAAATTTTAAGATTACATTTTATGGAAAATTTTACTTACAATAAACTATTTTATTAAAAATATTACTAATAGCTTAAAAAATCTTTTAAATTGAAAATCTGATATTAATTTCAATTTTACACATGAATATGAATAGACATGAAAAAAATATTATCATCTAATTAATTTGTTAAAATTCTCCTAAAATTTTTGATTTTATATATGTGAAAGGCGAGGTTCAAATATATATAATTTAAATATATATACTTCTATATCTAGATTCTATTAGTTTTTTATAACAAAGAATAGAAAGCTAATCTATTTAAATAAGATTTGAAAATAAGGCCACTAAAAATTTACTTAAGAAAAGTTAGTATTATATAAATAATTTTAGGTTTAGTAAAAAATTTTGCTTTGAAAATTATTGATTGACTAAATAGTTTTCTAATTACAAGTAAATATTGGGTTTGGAAGATTTAAGTAAATGATAAATATAATAATGTAAAGATTGATTTGATTAAAAATATTAAATACCTATAAAAAGATGATAAGTTTTTGAATTTTGTAAGAGATAGGTTTGTGTGTAATTTCTTGAATTTAGTTATGATTCTAATTTGTAAAATAGATCATAAATTAGAAAAAGGTCTAATTTAGTAATTTAAAATGATGTGAAAGGATAGTAAAATGTTCTTGTTAAGTTTAATGAGTTTTAGTAAATATAGTTTGTGAATATTAGTTAAAAAATGCTGAAGGATTGTTAAAATAATGTGATTCATTATATTAATAATGTCATATTCACAAGTTCAATTTAGTGACATGTAATCAACGTTCATTAGCAACTATATGGAGATGGAAGAGCCTGTACAAGAGAAAGAATAGTAGGGGAATTGGTGCCAACGTACATTTGGTCCACTGAAAAAAGGTGGAATAAGAATGAGTATAATCAGTTTACTCGCTCCATGCTTAGGTGTAGGGATGTTAGGTTTACCATGTATATAAATTGATTGTATTTAAGATAGAGCTAAAGAATAGGGACTTATAATAGAATTAGTGCTAATTGCACTTTGTGGAATAATCTCATGTATATCAATGCACATTTTGAGTTGGAGTGCAGGTGACTTATAATGTTCATCTTTCAGCGAATTGATATAAATGAGTTTAGGAAATAAGATGAAGAGACTTTTTGAAATATTAACTATCTGTTAATGTTTATTGGGAATAACATAAATCTAGATCTCTTTTCAATTATTTATTTATGAACTTTTCAAATATTTTGAGATCACAATTGACTAGAGAGAATTGGCTATCATAACATAACTATTATTCATTATTCCAAACCTTTTAATTTCTTTTCAAAAGACTCTTTATAGATTAAGATATTTTTCATTAATTGGAGTAATATCTGTTATTTATATAACCATTCTTACATCACTTGATTATTTTATAAGAGGTTAATATAAAGATAACATTACACTCAAATTGATAGATATAGATTTTAATATTTTTACAACTTTTGCAATGACCTTCTTCTGTTATTTATGTCATTTATTTATATTTCCAATTAGAAAAGAATTACACAATCCAACTATCTAGCGTTAATCTAAAATATGGAAAAGATAATGTTTAATATGTTACATAATTTATTCATTAATTTGCATTTGTGGATATTTAAGATTTGGAGATGATACTTAGACTTGGGTTATCAATAACTATCATGGAGATTTCTTTTTTATTGGAAAATTAGGAATGTCATTTGCTTTATTCTTTGCGGTTCCTTTAAATATATTAGCATGTAGATAGATTATTCATGATATGCTATTATCAGATGAAATGGAATATTAACTTAAACATAGAAGTTTAAGAATCTAAGCTCAAGATGGTAAAATCACTTTTGAAGTTGATAGTGTTGATTCTTTTAGATCTAAAATTCATATCTATTCTACATTAATACTTCAATTTGGTAGTGCTATACTTGCTCTCATTTTACCTAATATTAAGTAATTTCATTATTATCATATTTAAAGCCGCTACATCACTTTATTAGGAGGACTTTTAGGTACAACTATGGTCTGTCTGATTCCGGTCTTGATCTATTTGAGAGAATACAGAGATAAATTGAATTACTACATAGTTATTTTAGAGATTATGGGAGTTGTATTTGGTTGGATAGGAGCTCTATATGGTTAATTTTGATATCAATTTATTTAGTTTTTCATCATAATGATATTTCAATACAATTATATTTTTTATTCTATATAATTTATTTTACTTGAAGAATGAATTATGAAGTTAAAATAGTTGGAGTAGAGATCCATTTTGATAATGTTTTCTACATTTTGAGAATCATAAATACACAAACTTCTGGACATAGGGATATTAGAATCAAATTTAGTTAATTATAAGAATTGCATTCTTCTTTAATGTAGAATATCCAAAATTTTGATTATGATGTATATTTAATACTTATATATAAGTTTCCCTTATTTCCTAATAAATAGACTGAAAATAAAGAACAAATATTATCAGAATATTTTAAATATCTAATTTATAGACCACCACATTTTAACAAACCATTGGAAGCATTATTACGTGATGGAGCAGATATATTTCGATTAAAAGAACTAACAAAAGAAATATCAAGTAAACAAGATCTTTTAAAATTGATCGAACCCGAAAAAATTCTTTATAAATCACTTTTTGGTAAGTCCACCCTTTGTAAATTTTAAGGAAAAAAAGTAATTTTACATAAATTCTACGTTCTTAAAGGAGTTTAAAGTGATGAATTGTTTAAAAACTATTTAAAAACTCATTTATTATTCACCGATTTCACTTATATATGTCAAGTAATTCACATTTTCTTTTTACATGCCAAATTTAATTTAATTGATAGCATATTTTCAAATACTAAATAACCTAGAACTTGTAAAAAGTAGCATTTTTAACAAGTTTTCTCAGAAATGTGTAAGTAGAATTTAGTTAAATTATTCTCTATTGAAGTTTATGAAGGATAAAACCTAGAAGAAATTATTAAAGAGAAAAAAATGAAAAAGACTCCATTCACATAATATGAACTTTTACTTTTAATCTAAAATTTATTAGAAGCATTAATTTTCTTGCATAATAACGAGTGTTATCCTAATAGAGTAACTGCAACAGATATTATTATCAATAAAGAAAAAGTTAAATTAACAGGAATAAATGAACCTAATGAAAAATATAAAGAAAGATTTATAGTAGAGGGATATGCTTTAAGATCTGATAAAGAATTTGATTAAATTTATATTCCACCTGAAAGGATGGATTCCTTTTAAATTAATCCAGAATTAACAAACACTTGGTAATTTGGAATTTGTATATTGAAGGCAGCTCTCCTATACACAAATAGAGAGTTAAATGGAATATATTAATAAAATTTTGTTAAGGAGTTAATTTAAAAAATAAAAAACAAATACGGGTAATGAAATTTATTGTTAATTTAGATAAGTGAGGAAATAGCCAAAATTATAAAACTAAGTTTGAAAGAATCATTGTCTTCTCGAGCCGAGATCAAATATCTTTATACCTTAGCAACTTAAAATTCTATTATACCATTTTAGAGTGTTTTTTTGAATCAAACTCAAGAAGAATCTTCGAAATTTTTCAGGATTAATTGTCTAGACTAAAATGAATAATCAAGACTTAAAGATCAACTTTAAAAATCTACAACTATCTCTATTAAAATTAATTTATTTGAATAAGAAGTTGAAACTTAAAAATTCGAAACATTGATGTAATTATTAGGAGATCTTGCAATAATAAAAGATCTCGAAATTATATTGAATAAGTAATATTATTTTTAGGACTAAAATTAGGGCAAAGTTTATTAATATTAATAGTATACTCTGTAGTTTAGCAAACATTACAACTGTGATTAACTTAAACTTAGATATAAAGGGAATAAAAATGAATCAAGATGACATTATATATGGTATATAAATAATAAAATAAATGAATTTGATTAAACGTTTAACAGTTGACTGTTCGAGTATGGATTTTATCAATTTTTTAAAAGCAGAATTAGAAGATACAATAAAAATGATATTTTATTATGATTCATAATTAATTTGATATTTTCATAGCAGATCAACTGATTTAATAGCATTATGTTTAGTCTACTTTCTATTTTTCATTTAATTCAACGTTTAAGTAACAGATTTCATTTATTCCATAACACTTAGCATCTAAAATGATAAATAAATAAGTATACATCTGTTGAGAGTCTCTCAATTCTTTTTGAATCTTCTTCCTCTTCTGATTTTAGACCTTATAATTCTCTAGCTTTATTAAATGGAAACCAAGTCAAATCTTTTTTTTAAATCTTCTCCCAAACATATTATTCAATACCTGTGTAATCTGTTGGGTCTTTGTATTTTAAATAAGCCATAAAGAACATATAATTCCACATATAATGATTTACTTTTATATGATGATCAAAACCTCCCCCCATTGATGAAATGTCTTATAATCTATCAAATGTGGTTTTGAGATTTCCACAAATAAAACACTTATCTTCAATATCTCTTATTTTATTACTTTCCTCCTCTCTTAACGATCCAAAAGTATCAATAATAATACCTGCAACTATATTGACCATAATAATGACTAAAAAGATATTAGATGTATTATCGAATACAAATCTTCCTAATTGATATTTTTCTACTATATTTTCATCTTCTAAATCTGATAAGTATCCTCCAACACCACCATTAGCTTTAAATGTCCAATCAAATGTGAAAAGAAAACAAAAGAGAGTAGATTGACATTTCCCATTATAATCTTCAAAGAAAAATGTGTAAGCAATGAGAGCATACACATATACTAAAATAACAAATAGAACTAATGTTAATCCTAATTATTATTTTGGTTCCCATACTGATCTAATTACATTTTTTAAAGTTGGATATCGTATCAATATTTCTGTCAGATGAAAACTGAAAAAGAATGGATGTAATACTGTACCTATTACTGCCAATGCACCATATGCCAAATAATAAACAACTTCTATTTCTTTCAAAATATAAAAAAGGACAGCCAAAAGCTTGAAGACTTTATAAATTAATTGAATTGGCCAATAAGTGAATTTATCTTCAAAAGGTAATTTTGTTTTCCAAGCTTTCCTTATTATTAAGGGAGCATTTTTAAATAAAAAGAAAGATACAACAAATATTGAACAACAAGCCATTATAGTACCACATATAAGAAAGATATTTCTAGTTTATTAAGGAGAATATTTTTCATTTCTAAACAATCTAAAATCTGTTAATCTATTTCCAGAATCATTTTCTGCAAATGATCCTATTATAAAAAGATTTAATAGTAGAGTAAATAAAAAAGCCAAATCTTTCCATAATTTTACATAATTAGCAAATAAAGCTAAAAATTTTTATCTCTAGAAAATCCTTCTCAATTATTCTTCATGTTCACAAATTTCAATCAATCTTTCTGATTCTTAAACTAAAAATTAAACCTTAGATTTTGTAGATGATCTATCAACATTTTCATGAAATTCAAATTTTTATTCTTAAGGTAGATTATTTGTATAAGGTAGTAAAATAAAATAAACTATTTCAATTTCATTACTTCTAACTACTTCTATTGATGCACTATTTTTATAAAAAAAATCAAATGCTCTTTTAACTAATTTTACTTTTTCTGCTTTTTTTTCTCTTACCTATTTTTCTAATTATTCAGGAGTTTAATTTTAATTAATCATTTATTTATAAGCTTCCTTTTTTATTTAATTCATTAAATCAATCCAACTATTTGCAAAAGACATAACAAAACTTACTAATTAACCAACTATATTATCACCAAATAGTAAATCTTCTAAAGTTCCTTTATCTTATTTCAATTTCTTTCTTGTGTTTGCTCTATACATTTATATAAATTGATTTTCAGCATTTTTATCTGATTCCATATAATAGCACATTAAAAAATAAATATAAAATCCTTTCTAAAGAATTAATTCATAATACTTTTCATCTTTACCTTCTTCATTCTCTTTAGCATTTTCTGGATCTTCTTTGATACGGTCTAAGACTTCAATTTAATATCCTTCTTTACACTACTTATCATATTTATCAAATGATTTCACCAAATGTTTTTATAGAAGTGAAGGTGTTAAATGTCTCATAATTCTTTTAATAATAGGATTAGAATCTGAGATTTCTCTTTTTTCAATTAAAGATAAAATTAAAATTAAACATTTTGTTTACATTCTTTCAATTTACCATCCTTTCAAATCAGATCCTTTTTATTACTTTTAGAATCTACTTGTTTTAAAAGTTTTCATTTTATTATTTTAAGTTTTAGAACTTCTAAGATTTGAAACCAATGTTTAAGCTTTCCCAGATAAATCTTTTTCCTTTCTTTAACCAAATAAATCTGATGCAATCTCAAAAAATTTAGAATCAGCAACAGCTACTTAATTTTCAGAACATGGCCCTTATACCAATTCATTTAATGTATCTAAACATAAAACCATATTTTCATATTATGCTTTATCTTTATAATAATATGTCAATAATAATTCTGCAACTTAATTAATCATATTATAGGAATTCCTAGAATTTGTTTATTAACGAATATAATTTTATAAATCCAAATAATGTCCTTCACAACAATTTTATAGAAATCTTAATACTTAAGTCAAAAGCAATTCAAGTTCTTATTATTATTGTAATTCTTAAATATTTGGTTCATCTGATTACTATTGATAATTTTATTATTAATCTTCAATCTTTTTATCTTTTGCTTTGATAGTAATTTATTTAATTTGAGCTTAAATTACATTATTCAAGCGACTAAAGATAACTTCACTTTTTGGATAAGTTTTAATAAATTCAGAAATAGTTTTTTATACTTTATTATTTCCTCCAGAAAGTAGAGTATTTATAAACATAAGAAAATGTCTAAGCATTTCACTTTCTAAAGTGGTTGATTCACTTATTACTGTTAATACCATTCTAGTCGCTCCTAATTTATTAAATAGATTTTGCATTTCTTCCATTTCATTATTTTCACCTTCTACTGCAATTTCTCCTTCATTTTCTTCTTTAGGTTTACCTTCGATTACTTTTCTTAATACGCTTAATAGAGTTATAATGGCTTTGTTATTTTGATTATTATTTAATGCATAACTTAGAAAATTTATAAATTTTTTAATCAAAACTGTCCTTTCTACTTTTAAAATCTTTTCATTTTTCTCAGGTTTATAATCACTTGAATTTCCAAAATATTATTCAAATTCAAGTATAGCTTCTGATAATTTTTATATTTCTGCTTAAATTTAAATTCTTGTCTTATCTGTTAAACATAAATGATTTATAAATTCATCCCAAGCAAATGCAATTTTTTCTACTTCTTCAGTTTCTACTTCCATCTCTATTATAGGAGGCTCTTCTTTCTATTTTTTATTTTATTATTATAAAACCGTCATTATTCCTATTTTTTATTTCAAATTATTATTATTCTAAAAAATGGTCTTAGGAACAGGATTATCTCCATTACTTTATTAAATCACATTTTAATTTTATAATCCAATATATTCATTTTATTCACTTTATAAATTATCATTTACTCCAGCATTTATATTAAACATTACAGATCTTAAATTATTAAATTCTCCTAAATCTTCCAATTATTTATCTTCTAATTATTTGTCTTAATTTTATAATGAGGCACAACATTTACCCATAGTTATTGTATTAAAAAAAGAAAAAAAACCAATTAAACTTTAAACATGTTTCTTCTTTGATATGTACTTTCCTAATTATATTATTTGTTATTATAATAATTTAGCAAAAGAAAGCAATTATGCAATATCTTTTTATTCTTAATCATGAGCTTCATCATCTTCTTCTACATGTATTGTAACATTTTTACGACTCAAATATGTTGTAAAAAGTGGCAATACTGCTTCTGTTAAAAAATCAAAATATTTAGATTAAAGATGTTCTATAGAAGCTTATTCTAATCTTCTTAATTCAAAATCTATTATTTTCATTATGTCATTTTAAATATCTTTTGCAATATTATGACTCTTTTCACTTGTAATATGAACATTCATTAAAAATATCCATAGATGTTTTTTTATTAAACCAAACCCTTAATCTTATATTGATGGATTTTTTGAAGAAAGAGAATCTTATTTACAAATTAAAGAAATTAAATATTATAAACTAAATTTCTTTTTTAATTTTGCCACATTAATAGTAAAATTGTCTTTTTAATCTCCATCAATCATTTGAATATATGTACATTATAATAATAAATCCAATAGTTTAGCATGATAACGAAATGGTTAATTCATAGGTGGAGGATGAGCTAAATCACTTAAAAAATCAGATTAATGCAATTAAATTTCTCCATCAAATATAAATTCATGTTTTTCTGTGTATAGTAATTCTTCCTTTTCAAGAAAGGTATTCAATACAAGTAGTTGATTATCAAAAATATATTTATTACCTTATTTTATTATTGTTAAAAAGAAATCTAAAAATTAGGCTTTTCTTCCATTCTGATATATCAATTCTACAAATTTATGGAATACTTTATCATTTCTATTTATAGATAATAACATTTTTTGATTATCTTTATAAATTTCACAAATCAATGGTATTTAACCTACTTCTATATGCATAAATTCAAAATTAGATAAACTTTAAGATAGTAATATTTAATTTTCATGATTGTTTCTGCAAAAATTAGTTAAAAATTAAAATGCAAAAATAAATAATTAAGCTAATCTTTATTTTTTTTGAATATTTTTATTATTTTCTAAATGGAAATCTAAAGATTACAATTAATCTCTTATTAAATTTAAGATAGGCACATAGATTTTTAAAGCATTCATTAGATTCTATTTTTCAGGATCTATTTCTTAAGCAGTAGAAACAATTCTAGCTGAAATTTATGTATCCTTAAAAAATCCTTATCTAAAATTATCAATAATCTCAAGTGTTTCATCTAAATCTTCATACTTTGAATTTTTCATAAAATCTGTTAACCAAACTTCAGATCTATCAATTAATTGATTTAATCTATAAACATGTTCACTCAAATATTCATATAATTTACTTTTTATAGGATCACTAATTAATTATAATTTTAATAAATTATTGCATAATTCTTCTCTTTAATTAAATAACCTCATTATTATTGCTAAACATTTTTTTTCTAATTCCTCTTCATGAATTTATGAAAAATTAGTAAATAAAAATGGTAAAACTACTCCAATAGGATTTGAAATTTTATTTATATCCTCTTAAGGTAAATTGAGTGAAAAATATTAATCTAAATCATAAATGAGCATTATATTTTCAGTGAAAATTTTAAATTCTTCAGATTCTAATTTAGTTTCTGCTAATTTATTTAAAAATTTCAAGGCACCTATTCCAAATGCATCTTACTATTCTCTTTTTTCATCAATATCTTTTAAACCAGTTTTAGATATATTTGGAAGCAAACCTAATAAATTTGAATCTGTTTTTCTCTAAACAAATTATTATAGTTTTAATAGATCTATTTCAGTATTTGTCATTCCATAAGATTATTCTTCTTTTTCTTTAGTTAATTTAGTTTGTTAAATTCCATCTTACATTTTTTCTATAATTGATTTTTTAAAAAAAGAAAGGACATTAAGCATTAAATAATTTTATCTCATATCCAAAAATCTATCCATTATATCACATAAAGTTAATTTAATTTTTATTTCTAATTAATTTGATCCTGTTTCTTCTCTTATTAAAATTGTACTTTATAATTCATTCTCTAATTTAATGAATCCTCTCATCAAAGGATTAGTATACATCTATACATCATCAACAATTCCATCATCAATTTATTCTTCATCTTCAGTGTCAGACTTTTATTCATCATCTGATCCAAAAATGTTGTTTAAATTCAAATTCATTGGATTTGCCATATTAATTAAATTTGCTCCTAAATTTAATCCAATTCCTAATGGATTATTATCTTTTCTTTGTTTTCTTTAATTTATTTCATTTTTCTATTATTTGTAAACACTCCTCATCAACTATAATTATTTAAAATCATAAAAAAAAAAATGTATTACAATATCTATAATTTATTTGTAATAATAATTAGGTTCTTTATCTAATAATGTAAATACATCTAATTCTAATACCAATTACATCATTTAACATGAATTATACAACAATTCATTTATTAATAAGCTTTTTTCATCACCCTCAAGTTAATGATAATCTTTATTATTTTCTCCATTTTCTTTTTAATCTAAAGCATGTACAACTTAATTTCTTGCTTCTTGCAAATATCTAAATAAATCTTCTATTAATGGTTTATATAAATCCATATGTTAATTCTCTAAAATCTAATCTATTCCTTTATAAAGGTTACAGTATTTAGGTAATTGAACTCTATTTAAGGGATCATGATCAATATAAAGACTCATTGCTATTTTACATAAAGCAGCTTATAGTACACTATAAGTTTTATTTCCATCATCTTACCATATATTTTAAAATAAGAAATCCTTACTAAAATATTACTCTAATTCTTATTTCCATAAATAATTTCTACCAAAAGAAACATCTGCATAAAATTATAATTATTCATTTATGAAATACATTTCTTTAGGATCATTTTATAATTTAAAAGGAATAATCAATTTACCATCTTTTAATGATATTTTGTCTGGATCTTCTTTATCTTTTATTAATGCTATTTTTTTGTGATTGTGTTTTTTTAATAATTTATAAATTGCTTCTTAATTTTGATTAATTCCTTGATTGTTATAAACACACATTTATCTTAGAAAGGTAAGATAGTCTGCTTTGTGAGATTAATCATCATTTTCTAATAAATTTAAAAAGAATATCAGAAAGTTATTTTGAGCTTTGTGATGTTAAACTTACATTTTTTCTTCTTCTGGTTCAAAGAAATCCTATTCTTTTGGATTATAATCAATCTTCATATTAGCAGATAATTGACTTAGTAATTCTTGATTATTACCAATAATGGATATCATGCATTTAATTGCTTCTGGGATACATCTGCAATGATCTAAGAAATGACCAATTAAATCAAATGTGTATTTTTCATTCTCTTAATTTTGTTTACAGATTGATGTAAGTAAAGTATATATCGATATATTCATATTTATTTTAAAGGCTACATAAGCTAGCATTTCATGTTCTTTTAGCCCTTATTTCTTATTTGATTATTCTGTGTTGCTCATTTTCTCTTACTATTATTGAGAGTCTTACATTTAAATAATCATCATCCTTCTACTCCACATAACCAAATCTTCAGGTTTTAATTATTGAACCAAAATTTTAACTAATAAATCAATATAGTATTATTCCTTTAATAACTTTTATCTAAATTGGTTGATGGTTCCATATTTTTATTCTGGAGTTGAATTATACAAACGATTATTACAAAAGTCATTGATATCTTCAATACATTATTTTGTTGTTTAAATTTTTAATAAATGATCTTTCAAAACTTCTTTATCATTAACATCATTTTCCCATTTTAATCTTGAAACATCATCTAAATAATTCATAAGAGTCTTAACACAACTCAAAACAAATGAGATTTCCCAAACATCATTACTACTACTAGCATATAATTTAAAGACACTCTAATCAGTTTTATGTTATTCCTGATGTAAAACTGGTGTATGTTTTTATGATTTACCGCATTGGATATCTACCCAATAATTATTATTGGTTTCTTAATTTTAATTTTCATGACATATATAAGCATAATTACCTCTTATAACAGATTTTTCTCTTTACTATGAATTTTTTAATTAACTAAAATAAAATAAAGTCTTAGGAGTTCTTTATTTTTCCAAATAAAACTTTTCTTTAATTCCTGCCAAATAAAGTCCTGAAGCAAAATGTTTAAATCGATATTTTTTTTCAAATAATACAATACCTCCTTCTTTATAATCTTCTGCTTCAATAATCCACATAGAATGAGTATCACCTGTATATTCATCATAACTCTCCTTAGTTGATCCACTTAATACATTTAATTCTACATTTTCAACTCCTAACCATTCAACCAAATCAAATGAATGAAAGTTCTTTTAATCTACAGGTTTTCCTTTTCTGGTAGCAGCTATTGTAGTATTAGTTTCACTATGATGAAGCCATATAACATCTCCACATTTTAAACATCCCGATGTCTCTGCAACATAATCAGAATAAACAAATATCCTCCATTATGTTTAGTTTTCTTCATCCAAAGATGCATTAACTTCTCTTTTAATTATATCCTTATCATTCTTATAACTCTAAAGATCTTCATCACTTTTTTATTTTTTTTTAGTTTTTCCATAATTACCCATTTCTTAAGAAGCATGCAAAAATGTTAATTTATTCATTAATGATGTTGCTCTTACTATATATACTATATCACTTGCATAAATTACTTACTCTCCTTCCTTTTAATATTTGTATGCTGGTAAAATTTTGAATAAAGATGCATCACTAGGTAATTCATCTAAAGTAATTTTGTAATTTGAACTCTCTACTCTAGCTTCTTTTTAATGACAAGCTAAAAATTTAGATGATGCCAAATGTAACAATTAAATATGTGATTTATAAGATACTTTATGAGATTTAGACTAACTATAATAATTATCAATTTACTTTTTCGAATGTGTCTAAATTGTATTTGAATTCCTATAACAATTTCTAAGAAAAAGATTGAATCTACTCCTTAGACATAATTGTTTTTTCATCCACTTTCTGCTATTTCAATATACTCTCTAAAATATTTTAAATAGCTGGTTAAGTTTCTTCCTCTTATTCTTCACCTTATAATTCTTTCAAAATTTCTTATTTTGTGTTATTAGTGAATTTAGGAAATATTTAAAATAGTGTGTTAAAATATGGTCTGCTTTTCATTTTGCCTAAACCTTTTACATCCACTACATCGATATGATGCTTATTATAAATGCTTTTAAAAATACAAAGTTCTTTAAATAAACAGAACGTTTCACAAAACCATCTGCTGTAATAAATGAATGGTCATCTTAAACATGAGAAATAGAAATCACTGATCCGTAAGTCAAGTAATTAAGGTCTTCTTATTTCATCTAATTTGATAATTATTATATAAATATTAATTGTAATCAAATTTCATATAAAACAAGTTGATTTCAATATCTAGATTTTGAACTCCCATCTGAGTAGTACTTACATTCCCTTAATTTTTATTCTTGTTCTCTAATGCTTCAAATCTTACTTTTATTAAATTTAGCATATATTTATAGATGTATTATTTTCTTATACATATATAATGAAAACATCCATTCCTCAAAAAGAATTTTTATACAAATAAAGATTAAATTAATCCATTAAGAATAATTCGATAATTTTTATTGTTTTCTCATAATCTCATCCTTAAATTTATATTTTTTTAATCAATTAAATGAAATTATTTTTTTTGTTTTATGTAGGTTTCATTTGATATCGAGAATATAAATTAAATAAATAATTAACTTAAGTAGAGGTCAATTGTGATAATTTAATTAATTTAGTTACAACAATAACTGGTATTAATTAACATAATCATAAGTAAATTATTTTGATTTTTTTTTAGAATAATTTCAAACTTCAGTTACTCTTCCTATTCTAATTTCAATTTCATTTTTATTCTCTTATACTTTTAAATTATTAAATGTAATTCTTCTGTTATTATTGTACAATAAACCTTTATTCACTGAAATTTAAGATCTGCAATATAAATTTGGTTTATATGTTCAAAATCTTCGTAATATCAGCCAGTTTTAAAGTCTGGTTTAAGGATCTTGAAGTCGATTAACTATTATATTACCATAAATTTCAATGACGCAGTAATAGAAATAGTGGTGCGTGAAATCTTTCTATTAATTTTATTGTCTACAACTATTTGGATAGTGTTATGAATGATAGTTTGTATATAAAACTTCTTAGATGAATTATTCTTCTTCAAAATTCAGACTTAATTTATTATGTATTGAGAGATTGATAAAAATAAGGGTAATTAATTTTAATCATATTAATCTCTTTATATTCCATATTTTGTTAAGTATCTGAATTTTATAAATAAATGATTTATTCCAAAAATGTTTAATGATAATGTTTTTTCATTTTAATTTTTATATATTATTTGAGGAGGTTTATAAATTAAAGATTACCAAAAATTGATCTCATTTTATTTAGTCTTTGAATTGAGAATTTAAATATAAAATAGAAATATTGGAAATTTGTAAATTATCAATAATTTAATATTAATTTCTTGCTCAAATAAAATTGAAAATGTAAATATTTAATATAAAATAAAATATTTATAAAATCAAAGCAAAATTAAACAATAATTAATAAAACATAAAAATAAATAAAAATAGTTATTGATGTTTGAAATTGGATAAAGATTAGATGAAGAATAACATTTTTAGAGAATATTTTAACTTTAGTTTGATGAATATTTATTTGAATAATTTTGAATATAAAATGATTAATTATTAAACAAAATTATGAACCCGTTTTTGAGATAATTAAATTAAAAAAAAAATGAGAGCACTCATCACAATTTGCCTAGTTGCTGCTGTATTTGCTGCAGATACAAACAAATTTGCTGTCCTCCTCTAAACAGGTACAAGAGGAAATGATGCTGTTGAATCAGTATATAACCTTTTGAGAGATCTCAAGACAGAGAATGTTTAAGTCTAAGCTGCTGCAGACAAAAAGAATAATACTGATGAAGGTAAGTTAATCTATATAATATCTTTTTAGAAATCTTTTCATAAGTAATTGGTGACTTGACAAATGTCGCCTCCCTCAATAAATAATAATGGGAAGCTCTTGGTGCAGTTAGAGTTGATGTTGAAGCCTAAGTTAGAGTATGATTATTTAATAATTTCTAAAAGGATGGATATTAATGGTTAACTTGGGCTGAATCTAGACTTGCTGAAATTGAAAGAAGAAATGCATAACTCTAAGATTAAAGATGTTGGGCCAATGGACTTTTTGTCAGATCCCTTGCTGATCATGCTGATGCCGTAGCAATTGTTTAACTTTTACAATAAGACGTTGCTGGATTCCTCACAAATAATGCTGGAGTTGAACTCGTTGAAAAAGCCTAAACAATAGCTGACAAATTGTCTGCTTATAGTCATCTTTTCTAATAAGATGCCCTCTAGAAATTCTAATCACTTGCTGAAGTTAAAAGAGAAGGAACAACTGGAGAATAAGTTCTTTCCATTTTATAAGATTTATAAGGAGAATTAGAATCAACTCTTGCTACACTCCAAGAATAAGAAATCCATGCTGCTTTTGCTCTTGCAAAATACGTATCAGACACAAATGCTGAAGTTGCATGGTTGAATTCAGAACATGAAAGAAGAACAAATCTTGTTGAAAAATTAGAAACCGTATATTATTCTCTCTATTCATTTAGTAACTCCCAGCAGTCTTAGCTTAATAAGCCAAAGCTCTTAAATTATGGAAAGATTCATTAAATGCTGTTGCTGGTGCTACTGCTGATTTAGAAGAAAAGAGAGAATTCTATGCTTCAGAAACTGCTAGAAGATAAGGTAACTATTTATATTTAATTATTTTTAGAGGAAAATGCTATCATTGATGTCGTTATCCAACTCTTCAAAGATTAAGTCAGATCATTAGCTTCATAAACATCCCTTAATAGACATTGATGGGATTATTCATATAAGAATTTATCTTATTTCATTCATTCCTTTTTTTTGCTTTTCTAATAAAATAAGCAAAATCAAGAAAAGTTTCTTAATTCTTATATTATATACACTATCGAGTTTAAAATATTAAAATTGTACAAATATCTCTCATTTTTTTAATCTCTATAAACTTTTCTTTAAAAAATTTTGTTTTTTCAATAGTTGACTATTTATTTAATTAATATTTCTATCTGGGGATGATTCATTCGAGAGGAATCTATCGAATTTTTGTTTATATTCCTTCTACTTGTTCATATATTAAAAGAATGAATTTTGAGTTGAATTTTTAGATAAAGATGATGGCTTATTATTTGTTTTGAAGAAGAATGTTTAATTTGCTTAATTATTAAATGTTGATTTAGTAGTTTAGGCTTATATATCAAATTTATTAATAGTAGCCTTATCTAATTCATGAGAAGGAGGAAGTATTTCAAAACTGCTTTTTTAAATTATTTACTGTTTTGGAGGTAGAGTATTTTCGAATTATAAATATGGTGTATAAGTAGGAACATATGGTACTCTAGGTTAATAATCATTAATATCTTTAATGGAACTCATTGTCTCTTTTCGTTAATCTAATACATATTTGAGCTCCAGAAAATTCTTAAATAATGAATCAACTTTAACATTCTTCTAAAAATATTCTTTTGGTGGATATGTTAAATTATGTTATTCTACTATGTTTTATCTATGTGATCTTTATATTTTAGTTTCTAATTTTTATTCACCATCTGACTCAAGTTGTTTGAGTCTTTGCATAAAATTCATTTCTCCTAATTATGATTTCATAATTGGATGATTTATTATTTTTGGTTTTTCAAATCCTAAACTACTTCTATGTAAGGCTTATGCTAAAGAAGGAGAAATTGAATTTATATCAATTTTCATCCTTCTTATAGGAGGTGATTTGTATTATTATTTAACTTAATAATAAGTTTCTTCTTCTACTTTTGGAAGTTTCTTGTGTTTAGTTGGAGGTTTAAATATTCCTGAAAGAGTCTAGGCAAATTCTGATCCTTCATCACTTTCTAATTTTGTGAATTCCAATGGACGACCAAAAAATTTTGTTGGTTTTACATATTGAGGTGTAGGCACTGTTTTTTTTGTATAGTCCAAGAATTTGTCTGTAAAATACTTTTTCAGATTGGTTTCAATATATTAATCAGATACAATAACTCCATTAAGAGTGAAAGTTATAATATGATAACAATCTAAATGAATCCTTTCAATATTCTTAGTACTTAATTCATTAAGACCATATTAATAATAATATGCCTTTTAAGCAATGTATGAAGCACAGAATATTAAAAGATTGAGATTTTCAACTTTAGGATTTTGTACAACTTTCATAAGAGCGATATAAGCACTCTTAAGTTTATCATTGTTTTATTATTTGGCTTAAAAGGCTATCAGACGATTGAAACATTCTTCAGTAAAATTTTGAAACTGATCTGTATAAATAGCATCTATAGGCTTTGTTATTAGAATACCAGAATTGATAAAATCTAAAATAGCTTATTTCATAAAAATAATATGTAAAAACATTTAGACTTAGTGTAATTAATGACTTAGCCAAAACTTGAAGCTTCAAATCCTTGGTTGATAGGAGGAATCTTCAGAACACAGCTATAGAATGTACTTTATAACAAAGAAGAATTTAAAGACATAGATAATGAATTTACTAATTTTGGAAGATTTTGCAATGATGTTCTTTATTAATTAAGTGTTGATTCAGAATTGAATCCTCCAAAATTAATAAAATAAGATGTTTATGGGAATGTAATTGATAAACTGGTTTTGAGTGAAGGTTGGAGAAAAGAAAAGGAATATGCAGCAAAAGTATTGAACTGATCTAAATAGTGTGGAATTGTAGCTATGGCATATGAGACTAAACATGGTATTTGGAATAGACTACTTTAATTATTGAGATTGTAAATGTATTAACCTGTTTCTGGATTATTTGTAAGATAATAATTGATTCTTAAATAAATAGGGATGTCCTTTGGCAATGACAGATGGTGCAGCTTATTTATTAAAATAATGGTTAAGCAATCCAACAACTTAATGTTAAGAAACAATCAATTTAGTCAAATAAGGATTCGAAAATTTGACATCAAGAGATCCTTTAAAATTTTGGACTTCAGGATAATGGATGACTGAAAAAGATGGTGGTTCTGATGTTAATAATTCAACTACTACAATAGCTATACATCAAGGTGGAAATAAATATAAATTGTATGGCTATAAATGGTTTTCATCAGCAACTGATAGTGAAATGACGTATTATTATTATTTAATTGTTAGATTGGCATTGGCAAGGGTTGTTCCAGAAAATAAAATTGAAGAATTTAAGAAATTTCCTTTATCTTTATTCATTATGAGAGTAAAGAAGGATGATGGAACTTTAAATAATATAAAGATAATGACAATGAAAGATAAAATGGGCACTAGACAATTACCAACAGCTGAATTATTACTTTAGGGAAGTGAGGCATTTCTTATAAGTGAAGAAGGCAAGGGTGTTAAAGCAATTAGTCATATGTTAAATGTAACAAGATTGTATAATGCATCTTCAGCAGTTGGATCAATGAATAGACTCTACTCAATAGTAGTCAACTATTCAGTAAAGAGAAAAGCTTTTGGAAAGGTTTTGATAGAGAAACCGGCTCATTAAGCTATGCTAACTAAATTCAATCTTAATGTTAGAGCTTGTAGTTTATTCTATTTCAAAGTTGCCTAATTATTCTCTAAAATTTAGAATAATGTGGCTACTAAAGATGAGGAAGAAATGTTTAGAATTCTAACTCCATTATTGAAATTATATACTGCTAAAATCTGTATGTATTGGATGAGTGAAGGAATTGAAGCTTTAGGTGCATTAGGATATATGGAAAATAGTTATATTCCAGTAATGTTAAGAGATGCTTAAGTACTTACAATATGGGAAGGTACAACAAATGTTTTATGTTTGGATTTCTTACGGGCTCTAAAATCAAATGATAAGAATGATTCTCTTTAAAAATTAGATATATATGCAAGATTTCATACTCATGTCATGATGACTTAATTATCAGCAGATACATAATTACCAGAAACTAGAAAATCTTTCATTCCTTACATTGCCAAAATGACTATTAATCATAACGGAGTTGTGGCTGAATTATCAAATATTTTAAAAGGAAATGTTAAGTACTCAGAAATGAGAATTAGAGATCTATGCTTTATGTATCTATATTATTATTTAATTAGATTATGTGAAGCATTTATAGGAGGATAAATGTTAGAATTGATTTCAAAAAATGGAAGAGAAGAAGATATTCTTACTTTTGAATTGTGGGTTGAGTAAATGTAATAATATACAACTACTTGGTCCATTACACCAAAAGCTTTTGAAGTGCTTGTTAACCAAAATATGGTCAAACCCAAATTATGATATATTAATACATTTCTTAATATATATCAATCAAAAGGGGAATAATCATATTCTGCCTTATTATGCATAACCAATTGATCTCCAACAAAATAAAAACTGTCTGATTTTGTTTAAAATGGATTGTTTATCATTTCTTATCTCTTTAAATTTTATACTATTAATTCTTACCATTGCTTCATCTATCTCTGGAATCGTATATATGTGTTCCCAAGTATTTGTTGAGTTCGGTATGCAAAAGGGAAATTAGAATTCATAGCTCCTTAATAGATGTTCTCTAAAATAATGTCGCTCTATTATTGTAAAGTTTTTGACTGGTTTATCTCCAACAGAAAAAGTCAATTATGCACCTACAGTCTTTAATTCAAAAAATTAAGGTCCAAAATGATATTTTATCCTCCTAGCCTCATCTTGATATTCAGGTGGTAAATTTTCTAATATAAATTAATATTAACTATATACCTATTGATTCTTCATCTTAATCTCGTTCTACTTCAAATAATGTCTACCCTGAATCCATATCTCTTATTCTAAATTTCAAGAATTAAATATTGTAAGTGTTTGCATTCACTGGACACAAAAAACTAATTTATATCTATCAAATACTCTTGTGTGATTCCATTCAAACTTCTAACATAAGCAGGTGTCACTTATTACATTTGATTTTTTTATTATATTATATTATTTACTATTTAACATATCATTTAAAACTAATTCATTATAATCTAGCCATCTCTATTGACTCTGTCTTTAATTCTAAACTAAAACCTACCCATTTTAAACGCCTTACCAAACTTAAATAACAATATAAATATGAATCTAATAATCCTATCAAACTTCCAAATCCAAATGAAATTATTGGCCAAATTCTAGCATCAACTTTAAATTGATTTATCATTGCTGGCTAACCTATTATTATTTTATATTTACCATTCCCCAACACACTGCTACCAAAAATGGATACAAAAACAATAAAAATATTTATTTATTTTCAGCTATACATTTACTACCAAGATTATCATATAATTCCTTTATTACCAAAGTAAAGATAACTGCATTATAAACAAAAGTTGTCCATATTGGTACATCTTGAAAAACCAAAATTAAATATTTTATTTCTGACTTATTTGAATTAAATGAACACATGCTCATTGGAAATATTGCTGAAACACCGTATGCATCAAAGGCAAATGGTCTTGATCACTTCATAATGATAGTTATTTACAATAATGACATTAATAAAGGAAATAAAAATCCTATCGTCAAATAAGCCATTCTATGATATTTTCGATCTCCATATTTTACAGTTCTATAAAGATTATTTGCAATTAAAGTTGTCCATATTGTGCTAGATAATAAAGAGAATTGTAATAAGGTAGCTTAACCATAACATATAATGGGATAAGCAATTAATTAAAATTCTGATTAGTCTATTATCAAAAAAGCCACTGCTGAGGAAAATAATAACACCTATTATATCAAATCATATATTATGATATGTATAACTATCTTTAATTGATCTGTTCTCAATTCATTAAATTTCAAATAACAAAATATTACAAAAGAGCATCCAATTATTGAAAGGCTTCCCAAAACTAATATTTCAATTGCTATAAATAATTAAGGCATCGAATTAATTATTAATAATTAATATAGTATTGCCAAATTGAAACTTGCATTACAATATCAAGTCAATCAATTTTGTATATATAAATAATTATTTTTTTTAATTAAAATTGATGAACCCTAATTACAGGGAAATTTTAAAATAGATAATGGATTTCAAATAAGAAGGAACGAGAGCATTGATATCAGGCTTGCTTGTTAAGTTAGTAATTTATTCATCAATGAATAGATTATTGGACTCTTTTTTACATGGCCAATTTTGTAATCTTACCATGAAATCTTAATTGGATATAAGGATCTTAATCACTAATACATTATCTATATCAGTTATGCACTTATGATATTTATAATGAATCTATTCATACCTCATAGTGATTTCTTCTTAAAGAAATTAGGGCCTTAAGCTTTAATATGCATCTTTGTTTGTTTAACAGGAATTTCTTTTATGTTGATAGCAATATTTGATTAAGTATATATTTACATAGATTAAAAAGAATTGGCTCCTCCATGTTTTGCTCCAGTTATTTATTATTGCACCATCTATTGGAATTTTGTATTCTACACCATTTCTCACAACATGGAGATACTTTGTTAAATAGAAATGTATTTGTTTTATTTACAAATTTCATAGAACACTTGAATTCCATATTCTAAATCTTCATTGGATTAGGTGCCTTCTTTGGATTGCTAATCTTTCAATCAAATTAAGAAAATCAACTAGAATTATATTTTGATAATAATTAGTAGTTTTGTGGAGAATGTTTTAATCTTCAAACTAGGCGATCTCTTAGAGAACTGACGATTTGGGCTTTTATTTTAGGAATTAGTGCTGTTTTATTAGTTAAATAACCCGATGGAGATGTTGCTGATAGTGTAGTAGATTACGATCTTTTAGCATTTGCTCATTTAGATCTAAAATAATAATAACATAGTCAACATTCTTCAAATGAAAATGATTAATCATTCGATTAACCAATTACATTTACCTAATCCTTGTCCACTAAACCATTTTAAATAATGTCAATTTTAGTAGTATCATCATCTCTTTTACCATACTTGATTTTCTGTTAATATTAGAGAATTCAGTCTGCTTTAGGCATATCTTATACGAAATCTTAGTTCACTTTTTCAATATCCATAATATTTTATGGATTTATGAGATTGATATATAATTATTTTATATCTGATTGGCCATATAAACTTGTGATAAAAAGATTAGGTTAAGCAAATGTATTTAAAAGTTATTATATATTTAGATGGTCTTAATTTTAACATTTGTAGCTTCACTTTGGTTTGAAAATACTTTTTTAATAAACATTTTGTGTTCTATTTATACTGTTAGTTTAGCCATTTTGTTCTCTGTGATTAGTAGTTCAATCCCTAAAATATTTGGATCAATGGCAAGTTAAGGCGTATTTTCTTTTATGTTGGCAATTATGGGTTTGAGTGCTATAATATCAAATAGTATTTCATATTATTTTCCAGAAGAGGTAGATTATTAAATATGTTTAGAGCACAAAAATGATGTTGTTCTACTTTTCCATAAAAGTATTTCTTGGTTAAATGTTTGTGTATCGAGTTGCTAAATGATTCTAATAAAAATATATAAAATAATATTGAGAATTAAATACTAACTGATTGCAATATATATATAATTCAAAATAAATGTATTACACTCCATCTAGACCAGGTGAGAATGATAAATTTCCAACTCGTCATTAAAAACCTCCAGGTTAGAATCCTTAGTATCTTCAAAAATTACCAGAAGATCCTCGTAGAGTTGATGATTATCATGGACATCCTTAAGAACGTCCACCACCTCAATAAAAACCTATGTATTAGGAATAAGGTCCAGAAAGAGGTCCAATACCTCAAAGACCTTAAGATCGACCCCTTCCTCCATATGGTAAGATGCCTAAAGGATTTGAACGACCTCCTCCTGGTTTCAATCCTCAGTTCCCTCCTCCTCCACCTCCTGATAGATATAATCATGGTCCATATGAGCCAGGCTATCCTGATGATAGATATTATAGACCAATATCTGCTCCATATGGTAGTCCATATGGTCCAAGGTAATAACCATATGGAGAACCATCTCCTTAAGGTTTGAGAGGACCTACAAGAGCATATGATCCAAGAAGAATAGGACCACCTCAAGATTTTAGAGGACCTCCACCTCCACCTGATTATAGAGGTTTGCCTCCACCTGATTTCAGAGATGTTCCTCCTGAATTTAGAGGAATTCCTCCACCAGAATATCGAAGAACACCACCTCTTAGCTATTAAGGACCTGAATATAGAAGAGGAATACCAGAACCAATGGGATATCGAGGTGATTATAATAGAGATGTTGCATCAAGAGGTGGACCACCACCAGAATATAGAGGTGGACCACCACCAGATTATAGAGGTGGACCTCCTCATGATTATAGAGGTTTACCTCCTCAAGAATTTAGAGGTGGGCCAGCTCCTGATTTCAGGAAACCACCTCCTCATGATTATAGAGGTATGCCTAACCCACCTCCTGAATATAGAGGAATGCCTCCTACTAATTATAGAGGTCCTCCTCCTCCACCTGATTATGGTAGAGGTATAGATCCAAGAGGATTGCCTCCTTAAGAAATGAGAGGATTACCTCCAGGTGAATATAGAAGAGCTCCTGGATATCCTTAAAGAGGAGCACCTTCAAATGAATTCTATAGAGGAGATTATCCTCCTTAATATCAAAGAGGTGGAGATCAAGGATACAGAGGAGGACCTGGTGGAAGGGAATTTGAACCAAGACGACCTTTATCACCTTAAGCTTAAAGAAGGGATCATGGATACAATTAATTTAGTTCACCATAATAAAGAATTAAGCAAGCTTGATTTATTATATTAATATAATTATACTTTTGATTGAACATGTTTAACATGACTTAATTATGTAGAATTATTAAATTCAAAAAATTATATTAAAAAAAGAGACTCTATATAAAATAGAAGGGATGCTGAAGCTATAAGAGCAAAAAAGAGTTTGTTAGAAATAGATGAAGGACATCTGTAGAAATAATTAATTATATAATAATATTGTGTAAAATGAGTATAAATAAAGAGCTCGATCCGTTTTTAAATTAATATTAAAAATGTAAAAAATAGCTCTCTTAGCTTTGGTTCTTGCTGTGACCGCTGCCAAGTTCGTTGACACCCACACAACATTAGCTTAAATCAACTCTGACCCATTCGGCCATGTTGTATTGAGTGCCATCAAGGCTCATCTTTAAGCCTCAACACCAGCCAATGAAGTTAATATGTTATTAAATGGTGTTGGTGCTGGACTTGTTTAAGACTAAAATGACCATGATCATGCTTTTGAACTTGATACCACAACAAACAACAGAGTTGATTCTATTTTATTAATCTTTAGATCGTTGAGGATTTGGAAAAGGAAATTTTGTATCACTAAAACTAAATTACCTCAAATACTTAATTGAGAGATGACACAATCGAAGCACTTGCTGTATCTGAAGAAGACATCAGAGTCACCATTTAAGATATCGCTAACAATGAAGCCACTTATGCTAGAGAAGAAGCCACAAGAAACTAATAACACGAAACCTTTGTCTCTAAAGTTGCTGCTATTGATGATGTGATTGATGCTATTGATGAAGCCGCTAAATTGATCCAACACTTGAGCCTTGGAGCATCATTTGCTTAATTAAAGACCAAATATGACACACTCCACAAAAAACTTTCAGATAATACATCACACACTGCTTTATTACAAGTATGATTGACAAATCTACTTTAAATAGCCAGTCATCACTGCTCTTACTGAATTAGCAACCCATGGAGTTAACTAAAAGGCATTGACAAAGATTGCTTAACTCTTAAGTGAAATTAGATAATAATTAGTCTAAGAAAAGGCTGCCAAGACTGTATGAAATTATTCTAATTATTAAGGATGTTGAAGAAAGATAAGCTGCTCATTGGGCTGAATTCTCAGTTCATTTGTCTAATGAACACACTAGATTGGTTGAAAGAAAAGCTTAATTAGAAGTTTAAATTTAAGAATAAAAAGACACAATTGAAGATGCTTAATCATGGATTGAATTCCATACTCTTGAATTAGAAAACAGTGAAGAGAGACTTGCTGGATAATAAGCTTGGTATGCAGTATAATCAGAAATTTATGAAACCTAAACTGCTGAAAGGTAAATCAAATAAATATATATTATTATAGAACTGCCTAATAAGAAATTGTTGACAGACTTTAAGAGCATATTAGTGAGAAGTTATCCACCACTGCTCAATTTATTGCCAGCAGAAATTGATTTGATTATCAATACATCAATAAATAATAATTGGATAACATATGACAGATTAAATTCTTCTATTCGATGAAAATGATGATGATTTAGTAGCTGATTATGGATTTGAATCTTAATAAATGGAAGAAAAGAATACATTCTAACTTAAGCCATTCTAAATTGCAAATTTCCCTCTTGATTAGAATCTTATCTAATTTGCAATTAATGACCATTGTATAGTTTTTACAACAGATAAAAAAAAAATATATAGATGGAAATTTGTAAATGAAGATGGATGTGTAGAATTACCAATCAAAACATAATTCGAAGGAGATTTTTCAGATTAGATTATGAAATTAAGTGGATAAGTAGGTAAATAAATTGGAGGTGCTGTTCTCAATACAGTATCTAAAGTAACTAAACCACTCTTTAATGCATCAATGAAAAGGTCAAGAAGAGGAGATTCTGAAGAAGGAAAATTAGATCGCATATTCTTAGAACCAAAAGGCAATCATATTATTATTGCCTCAAATAAAGGTGATGTTTATCATGCTTGTCGAGATGAAAATGAAGTTCGTCTTTTAGAAGGTATAGACAATTATAGTATTCGTTTTTTATTATGGGGTGATGTATAGTTATATTCATTCTAAAATTCTATTGTTGTAGCTTCAAACAATAAAATCTATTCATATTCTCTTAATTTTAATAGTGATAAACTTATGCATTCAGAAATCTTGGGCAAAAGCATCTTATAAATACCAGAAATTGAAAAAATAGTTGATGTAAAAAAAGTAGTAAAAAATACAATTTATATGATTATAATACTTACAGATAAACATATCTATATATTGAATGGTACTAAAGATCTTAATAAACTATTTTTAAAATATTAAGAAGCTTCTGATTTATTTCTAAAATCTAGAATTTCTCTTAAAGAAAAATCTTATACTCCAAAAATATTTATTTAATAATCTTCCATTTTGTGGACTAATGGAAATAATATTCTACTCTCTAATTTTACAGCTCAAATAGAAAATTAAACTTTCTAAAATGCTAAAAAATTAAAAAATTTTAAACGAACTTCAAATGAAGAGGTTAAATTGGAATAATTATATGGAATAGGACTTACAAAATATCATTACTATCTTTTAACATTTGATGCTTTAACTATTATAAATCTTCTATCTATGACAGTTGTTGCATTTTTTGAAATTAATATAAATTCCTCAGGAAAAGCGATAGGAATGTTATATGATTAGGGCACTGATTGTTTTTGGATTTGGTGTACAAATGAAATTTTTAGAATCAGTGTTGAATTCGAAGATAAAGATGCTTGGGAATAATTATTAGAACTCAAATCTTTTGAAGAAGCTTTAGAAGTTAACTAAAAATATAATTCTCCATTTTATGGTTAGGTATTATATATATTTTATATCTTAAGATTTCTGGAAAGTATGCAGATATCCTCTTTAATTAAGCTTTATAATTAGATCCATACAAAACTCCAAATAATGAAACTATTTAGAATGGAATTTCAGAAAATACTTTTATGAGAAATAGACACAACAAAGGAACTATTAAAGATGGTTTCTTTGATGATAAAGAGGAAAAAATTTTAATTTCAACTGAAATTGTTGAAATGAAATAAGATTTATATCGTAAAGCCGCATTATTTTACTTTGGTAGTAATAAATCATATGAGTAAATAATGTTACAATACGAAATGGGAGAAATCAATTATAATCGAGATGGTTTGATAGGTATTTCTTTTAATTAATTATATTATAGAAAACTATCTTAAACCTATGGTTGATTTATTAGATAAAGATTTAAAATAAGTAGTATTCAAAAAAATATTAGAACTTCTTATGTTATCTATCACAAATTAAGGAATAATAAAGGCATTTCTAGACTAATATAAAGCAGATTTAGAGGTAGATTCTGTTATACCTACTTTAAAAGTTCATGGTTTAACATATTTAGAAACTTATTTTATTGAATTAAAATAAGATCATAAAACTGTTGTTTAAAATCTTTTAATTTAAGAGGATTATAAATCAGTTTAAGAAAAACTTTCATCTTTAAATGATAATGATTTATTAATCAATCTAGTTTATAAATACTCATATGTTATTATGAAATATAACACATAATAAACATTAGATTTATTTAAAAAAATTGATAATTTGGATGCTCAAAAAATGCTTTCAATTTTATTAGATGTTCCACTTAAAAGTAAAGATTTGGCAGTTTAATTTATGTAATATTGTATATTTGTAAAAACTCGAAAAATAACAGACATAAATTTTAATAATCTATATTTATAATACTTGGCAGATTTAGGAAAGGTTGAGTAAATTATGTATTATATTAATGAACAAATTAATCAAAGTGAAAAAGGACACAAAATTAAATTTGATTTAAATTATGCTTCTTAATTATTTGTGAAGACTAATTTATTATAACCCTATGTTTATATATTATAAATGTTAGGTGATTATGAAAATGCCATTAAAAAAGCTATAGAAATAGATCTTATTGATGATGCTAAAAATATTGCTTTAAAATGTGAAGATAATAATAAACAAAGATAACTTTGGATTCTATAAATTAAATTAATGTTGGAAAAAGGTGGTAAATATGTTAAATAAATTGTTCAATTAACAAGAGAAATTCCTTTAATTAAAGCATAAGATATTCTTCCTTATTTAACATAAAATATTAAGTTAGATGATTTCAAAGATGAAATTTGTGAAACTTTAGAAGAATATCATGATTAAGTGGAATAACAATAAAATGAACTTGAAGGATACATAAAATCAAATGAAAATTTGAAAAAACTATTACTACAAACAAGTAATAGGTATATCTTTGTATCTTAAAAAACAAAATGTGAAAACTGCTTTAGAAAACTGTTTTAAGAAGACTATATCATTTTTGAGTGTTTACATGGTTTTCATAGGGAGTGCATACTTTAATATATAAAAAGTAATCCAACTATTTTGGAATCAAAAACCTATTAAAGTTTACTTTATCTAGAAAAGTAATTAAATGATATTGAAAAACAATAAATTCTAACAAATTAAAGTAAACCTGAAGAATCAATATTTGGATTCTTTATTGCTACCAATTAAGTAACATTGAATAATCAAAGAAATGCAAGAAATGAATAATAAAAGAAATATTAATCCGAACTTAATGATATTTTATCTAAAGATTGTCCTGTATGTGGTAATTTTATATTTGAACAAATTCTTTTGCCATTAGACAATGATGAATATGTCGAAGAGTCTTGGTTTATTTGATTATTTTTTTTAATTTAATTTAATTAAATTTTTAAAAGCATTTTGTAAAAGTAAATCTCTTATTATGAACCAATAAAAGTTGTCCAAATATTTTGATCTTTTTCTCAATACACCTATTTCTTATAGGGGAATCCATCAATCTGTTGATTTAATGAAATTATAAGAGCTCAATCTAATTCTAAAGAACTTTATCGGACTTTTATTTCCTAAATATATAAATTACCAAATGAATTTAAGAAGATTTATTTTCTGATATATAATTATGAGATGCAGTTAATATAGAAAATAATAAATTATGTAAAAATGGAAATATTGAGTTAATTTAAAAAAATATTTCAATCCATAAAACCAGATAATTTATTATATGAAATTAACTTCTAATCATATGAAAGAGGAAATATTTGAATTTTTTGGTAAAACAATATTAGAGTGATTTTTGAAATGAAAAATTAAAATTTTTAAGTTATCATAAAATATTTAAATATTCTATTTTATTTTTTCATTATTAGAGTATTTATTTATTGATAAATCTATAAATTTAAACATATAAACTCATTCAGCATAAATGATATCAGAATTTTTATCTAATTTATTCCATAATTATGATATATATCCATATTTATCTTCTTTAAATCTTTGTTCTCTTTGCTTAAACCAATTTATAGATATTAATTTTCTATTTGAATTTAGTATAAGAAAATCTCTAGCTAAAGTTGAACTATCCTTTTAATCGTAAGAATTTGTTAAATAATGAAAAGATCCATCACATTCTATTATAACATTTAGACTAGGTATCCAATAATCGTATGAATAAAATCCATCATTAAATTCTTTATTGTATTAAATACCTTTAGATTGAAGAAAATCTTCAACATCACTATTTATTTCATTAGTTCTTCCAGAAGGAGTATTATTTTAATTAAATATGGCCATAATATTTTCTTCTTAAAATAATTAAATGGAAAAACAATTCAATATTGCTTAACAAATTTTAGTTTAATTTATAGATTCTTATGGGAATGCAATTTAAGCATATCCAAATTTTCTCATAGCTTCTACAGCTTAATCTATTAAAGGTTGAATATAATGTGTTTATTTTATAAGGGTGTTCATATTTTCTTTAGTTGGATTCAATCTAAATTATTCCATAATGTTATGAATTTAAAAATACAAAAGAGATTGTAAATAATAAGGAAGGAATTCTTTTTCCATTTACATTTTTTTATGAATTTATAACATTCTCTTAACTAATTTTTCTCCCACTCCTACTTTACATAATTGACAAAACAAAACTTTAATATATGCAAATTCAATTTTTTCTTCTCTCCATTTAATTTTATTTGCCAATATCTCTTCTATAAAAAATGCTTCTTCTTAAGGAAAATAATTTGTCTTAAATAAAAACTAAAATTAATCTTAATTTTTACAGATGATAATTATGAATAAAATTCAGGATTCTCTGAAAATTCTTTCTCTATATTTAATTAAGTTCGAACTCTTTAGAGAATAAATTTAGATACTTCCATAGCCAATTATTTTTCATTTAAATAAGAGATTAATTAATTATATTTTACAAATTGCAAATAATGAAGTATTGCATATAAATGTTTCAATAAGGTATTTGGTTTATTAATGAGAATCTAAAATACAAAAGTTTAATAATCTTATTTTAGACTTTAATTATCACTTTTTCTTAATATAAATCCCATGGCTTTACAAAATCTGGATAATGAAATGTTGGAGAATTTTTTACATTCATTGCGATCTTTAACAATTTCAACATATTCTTTTAATTATTCTTCTATTAATTAAGAAAATTCAGCCAGATTAAAATTCTTACTTATCAAAGGGATGGAGGAAATGAAATTCGATACTGAATATTGTTTCTAATATAGAATGTAATTTTAACTGATTTTAATATTTCTTAAGCATTATTTAATAAAATATTCTTCAAGTCTTCTATTTTATATTACTCTAATTCTTATTTTATTTCTTCATAAGAACTTGATTCAAAATAATTAGGAATTAAGTAAAAATGTTTTGATTATAATATCATTAAGTCTCTTTCAGCTTTTTTGATTTAATTTATACTTTGTAATACGATATCCAAATAAACCTATCATTTACAAATTAATTATTACTAATTATTCAAATTTTTATGGTTAGATGGCTTTACACATTTATGGGAGTTTAGTAACTGCAAATTGCATCTTGGAAAGAAAATTTATCATAATTAGAAATAATTAAAAATTTATTTATTTATTTAACATTTATATGAATTATAATCAATCAAGCGTTACTTCTTAACTTAAAACTTAAACTAGATGTTTATTTCTTGCTAATTATTCTTTTGAAAATATTAATAGTGAAAGTTTGACTCCAATAATAATATTTAGAAATTGTTTAGAAATCCCATAAATAATGAGTAAAAATACAATCAAAATGGCTATAAGAATTAAAGTGGCCATTAAAATAGCCTAAGCTCTTGAATTCTCATTAAAGATATTAAAATTAATAAAAATATTATCTCTGTTGAAATTAAATTAAGGAAACACAAAACCATAGGCTATTATAATATCTAAAAAATCTTGATCTTTTAAAATTTACATAAATTCCTGATTATTATCATAATCTGATTTCATGGTTCTTAATACATTTTGTGAATTAATCAAATATTTAGAATACCCTTATTATAATATATAAGGACAAGTATAACCTAATTAAATCATTGGAAGTATTGTATTCATTTCACAAATGTCATTATTTACAATATATGTAAGTGAATATGTATCATGTTCATCATCATAGGGTAATTCAAATAAATATCTATGTTCATAATTAGTATATAGATCATCATATAATTGAAATTTTTTCTCATCTACTTAATAAGATGGATTAGCATATTGTTATATAAAATGAATTAAACGATTACTAAATGCAATTTGAGTAAGTCCTAAATATTATATGTCATTATGAAAATTAATAACTTATGAAACTTAATTTTTAAATAATTCATAATAAGGTATGAAATAAATTAATTCTAATGCACCTAATAGAATTATCAAAAAAAATTATCTAATCCAAAATTATTTTTTTAATCGATGATCAGCAATTCTTTATTCTTATTTTAGAGATTACTAAGCAGTTTTATCTAATTTTAATAGATTATATTTCATATGTGATAATTCATCAACCTCTAATATTATTTAAATTTCATAATTTTAATCTATTAATTATTGATACAAATTTTAAAATAAAAAGTGAGTTCTAATAATAGCAACTCTCCATTTAGCAATATTTATCTCGGCAATAAGAATTAAAAAAGCAGCTATAAGACAAGAACTTAAACCTACAATTACATAAACAGATGCAATATTCAAAGAATTATTTTAACTTTTGCTCATTTCTTCATTAGTTTAATTAATTAAATTAGTAGCTAATTCAAAATAAGTTGGATAATTGAATGAAAAGTAACTTTCTTCCATATTGGAGAGATTAAATTCTGAATATTAAAACTCAACAACCTCTGTTATTCTATGAAATAATAATGGTAATCTATATACTAAGAAATCTCTGGTATTAAAACAAGATTTTACTTAATTTCCATAATCATTAAATGTATGAAGAATGCAAATTGGTACATTTTCTAAATTTTATAAGATTTCTGGATTAATAAATTCTCTATCATTATAATTCCTAATTTAAGAGATATAATCATCAGTAGAATTACTAATAAAAAATTAAGGAGCTTTAAATTGGTGATCATTTGCTAATAAATGAATGGATATTTCCATTAAATTAATATTTTATAAAAAGGTTATAGAAAATTAACCACCAGCTGATTTTAGAAAAATATTACGAATATCTTCATTAATAGCTAAAATACTTAATACAACAATTATTATTAAAAATATAGTGTATATAAGTGCAACAAATATAATACTATATATTTGATTTGGACTTGATTAAAGCATTCCATTAATAATGTGATTTATAAGACCTTTTTAAGATTCAGTACTTTTGACTGAAGAAGATTATTATTGAAGGGTAAGTTTATGATTAGATTTCTTTTTCATAGCAGTAGGTACAATTTTTTATTATTTATTTAAGTTTTGATATTTATTTATTCTAATTTAAGATTTTATCCATTCTGTCTATTCTTTCATTTATTAATCTGTTAAATCTTTAATAGAAACTTACATCTCCATTTCTACTTTGAATTATATTGGTGATTCTACATCATCATCTTCCTTAATAGCTAAATATTAATTTATTTGTGTTTCTCCATTATTTAACTAATTTTATATTAATTATTAATTTTCTATTTTGCTATTTCTATTGCTCAATTCATCATTAATTCTTAAAGGTGAAATCAATAAATCTTAAGTTTAAAATGAATTTGCAATTATAGATGAATGATTATTTGAATTAAGAAACATTTTTTAATCTTATTCTTATTTAAAAAATTAATGAAGTGATATACTTTAAGGATCCTATTAAATATGAATACTTTCATTGCTAATAGCAAAATTTTTATCATTCATTTCATCTTCATAAGAAGGACTCTTTCCACTATTAGTTTTAGTAAATTAATAAGTTTCTGGGATTATTGATTTAAAAGTGGTATAACTAGTTATATAACTTTCAGATTAGACATTATTTAGAATCATTACTTATTTTAGCATTAATTCTAAAGTCATCATTTTAATTTCAAGTTCTTTTATCTCGTTGGATTAAAAAATATTAAGAGTTTCATATTATAATTTATTATCATCATAAGATGAGTTACAAAATTTATATATTGCAACAAATAAACTACATTTTTTAGGATGTTTAAGGAAATATTTATAAAAGGAAATTTAATTTATATTATTTGAATGTATCTTCTTAAAACTATAATCTGATTTCATTAAATTAACTTTAGGTATAAGAATAAATCCATCACATAATTCATTGATATTTTAAGAAATAGGAATGCAAATCTTCAAATTTAAATTGATTTTATGATCAAGATTTAAAATTCTATTTAATTAAAGTAAATTAATAGCTTATTCTGAATATGAATATACAGTTCCATTAGAATTTAACAAGATTTTACCACAATTATCTTCTTATTTGTATCCCATAATTGTCATAAAAGTTAGACATTCCATATTCTAACCTAATCTTACTAGACTATCTATCTCCTTCATATAACCTTTATTTGTAGTTATATAAAATTTTTATATTCCATTATTTAACAATCTTGGTTTCCCTTCTTCAATTAACCTTTTCAAAAATGTTTCATGAACCTCTCTAACTGGACTAGGTAATATTTTATCAATATAGTGTCCAATTAATTCTGATTATATTTCAGTTTCTAATATCATATTAAATATATTACCTTCCATTAATTTCGGAAATAGTATAGAATGATTCAGCATAATTAAACCATTATCATATTTACATTATACAAAACAGCATTACATACTATTTAAATTATTCCATAAATTATCAATTTTCAAATTCTATAAAATTAATATGGATTAAATCTGTTTTAATTTCTCCTATTAAAATGTAACTAAATTGTATAATGTATATCCTAAACTCTTTGTTACAATTGAATAGGGATTCAAATTTAATATGTGATTCAATAATCTCTCACATTTTGAAACTTATTGAATGTAAGAAAACATCTTATCATGATATAAGTAATACAGTGGGTTTTAATATTATAATGTCAAAAATGTAAAGATTTATTGTCTTTAATTTAGTAATTTAACTATTAAGTATCCTAATTTTTCAATCAAATTACAATAATTAAAATAAATCTGGCTATTGATTCTTACTCCAGCAATTTTTTCCAGTAGTTTTCCATAAAACATTTCACGATGACCCTTAATTCGAAATTGATTTGGCAACAAAGTTAAACCATAAATTTTAGTTGTTTTGAGTTTTTAGCTTCTTAAAAGAGTTTCAAACAATTTGTCATTTCGATATTAAGTCTCTATTCTACTCAATAATAATAACTTAGATATAAGAATTTCTTTACATATTCGGATGAATTTTTTAGATAAGATAAATTGTACAACCTTAAAATTTCACCTAAGATTTAATTTAAATTTTATTTTAGAACTTGATCAGATGATTTCCATGTTTATTCTTAAGTAAATTAAAAGTTCTATGTACAAAAACAATTTGTTCTATTACATTCTTTAGAATGAGCAACCAATATCTATGAAAGGTAGAATAATCCGGCACTTAATCCCAACTAATAAGTGAATTAGAAAAGTATTATTTATTTTAATTAAAATGGAGTTTTGGATAGAGAACTTCTTATTTCATTATGGATAAAAAGATCTATAATTTTTAACGAAAGACATATTATGATGGGAATCATAAAAAGTAAGCATTCCCATGAAATATAAAGGTAAATTATTAAAATTATCAGTCTATTCATAGAAATTAAAGCAATAATCTTAAATTTCAACAAATTTGGGGATGTAACTAATGCAATCCCAAATGTTTATATTATGATAATTGAATCATAAATCATAATAAAGATATTGTATGCTAACTGACTTTGATGATGAATCGAAAAAGCAATTAAAATCATTATAAATTTAAATATTCTCAAGAGCTTGTATATTTATATTTCTTCAATAATTTCAGTATATGATAAAAAGAGAATCGCCAAAATAGCAATTAGTAAAATATTGCATAAGTCAATAATTTCCATCTCTTAGGATTAAATAAATAGAGGTAGGGCAATATAAAAATGGTGATGATACCACAGTCGAAATATTCTTGCCTTCTAAAAAAATTATGCTAAAATTATGAAAGCCAAAATGAAAGTGCAATTAATTATTATTGAATAAAGTGGATCAATATATAAGGCGATTCCAAATGCTTCAAGTGTTATTAAGATTTAAATTAATATTTCTTCATAATAATTTTTCTGGTTAATAAATAATAGTATCTACATTAAAATAAATAATATAAGTTATCTCATGTTTTAACTAGTTACATTTCAATTTTGATGAAGAAATATATATTTATATAAATTCTTATGCAAAATTAATAATTTTGTGAGGGAAGAAAAATAGACTTGGGTTGGTTAACAGATGCTAAGGATGATTATTAGACACTTCTAATTAAATCTTTTAGATAATAATTTAAAGAAGAACAATAGAATGTTGCTAATAAGGAACTAATTACAGATGAAATGATTATGACTCTTTGTTTAAGCATAGATTAAAAGAAAGAAGAATTAGTAATGTAAAAGAAGAGTAGTGTCACAGGTGGTTATTTAGATAGATTAGTAAGATTTGACAAGCATATACTTTAATAACTTAAGGATCATAAGCCTGTAAAATCATTCCCTCTTTATTAAAAAGTATATGTTGAAACCAAAGCTGCTGATTAAAAGACTTGGTTTAATAAAAATGGTGATATGGCAAGATTATTATTAGAATTTGAAAAAGGTCATTCTGGTGTTTACATATACAGAAAAGATAAAAATTAAGCAATTAAATGGTAAAGGTATTTGATAGTTGAAAAATTATTGTAAGTGAAACCAAAATTAGTTGCAAGATGTTTTGAATATTGTTATTAGGAATATGAAGATAAATTTATATCTACTTGGTCATTACAATTTGCTTAACTTTTAGGAACTTATACAACATAAATGAATCAAATGAAAAAGTAAACAGCAAAATTAGATGAAAACTTTTTGATTTCATTAGATAGATAAGTAATGAATTATCATATAAAAAAATGGTAAGCAAAGAGTGAGAAATAATATAAAGATGAATAAGATTAATAAGAGAAATTGAAATTATTATCATTAAAAGAATAAGAATAATTGAAAGCTACTGAAAAATAAAGAGAATTAGAAAGATAAGCAAAAGAAAAGAGAAGATTAGAGTTACTAGAATAGATGGTAACTTATTTAAGACCAAAAAATTAAGAGATTAAACGATTTTATAAATATTGGTAGGATAGAGCAATACATATTCATCATAATAATCCAAAGAAATTTTCTATAAAATTTATTAGTATGTATATGTAAAGTAATACATAATTAATAAGACCATAATTAGAAGTAAGATTTGTATCAGAAGTATCATTATAAAAATTTATAATAGAGGACAGAGAATACTAAAGATATTGAAAATTAAAAACTATTAGATGGTTTACAATATAATATTGATTTAAATCCTTATTTTACAACTCGTTTACTAACTTAGATGAGTTAATAAAGAAGAAGAGATTATACAAATTGGATTTTTAAAGATGGTTTACTTGGATTGTGTGGTAATACATAAATAACAATTGAGAATTTAGGATTCAAAGATTTTTTAGATCTTTAAGTTATAGATACAATAAGTATATATAATATAATTATTATATAAGAAACTAATACAGCTTCAAAAGTTCTTAGAATATAATTATAGGATTTAGTATAATTTCTTTATGAAGGTCGATCATTTTGGGTCTAATTAGAATTCGGGCCTTCAAAAATCTTTGTTGAAATGGATGTACTTGAACATTCAAATATAGATCCTATTTTCTTAGATAGATTAAAATTCATTCAATTGAATAGTATTCTTAGAAAAATAATTGTAAAAATGATAGAACAAAGAACTCCAGTAATTAAATCTTATTCTAATGTTAGACTCCAATAGTAGAAACTGTTAGATATAGTTTGGAAGTTGAGAGATATAGTGAAGAAATTCAAAATCTATATTAACGATTTTATATAGAGAATATTTGTTTATAGCCTCATTGTTTTCCAACAGGTTGGTTTCAATCTTTAGATGGAATGGATAGAGTTGTTAAACCTATCACAGGAATTTTGAAAAGAAATTTCTAAGAATTTGTAGATAATGGAGAAAATGTGAAAATTTATCAACAATTAAAATAAATTCAAAATTTAAATCTACCTTTAGAAAAAGATGTTATTGATTTTATGAGCAAATTAACTGTTATTTAAGCAAATTAACATAAATAATGTCAAGACATGTTAACAACTTTTTTGATTTATTGTAATGTTAGAGGAATATAATTAAATGTTTCAATACTAAATACATTATTTACAATAGCTAGTAAATTCATTTGTATTAGTTATTGTCATTTTTTTTATAAATTATCAAATCCTGTTTTTGGTAATAAATTTGAGTCAGAAGCTCAAGCTTTTTGGCTTTTTGTTTCATTTTTAGATTTAATGAGAAACATTCATTATCCAATAACAAAAGATGATGCTGTATTTTCTCCTTAAGAGATAGTACTTTAATTTTTGGAATATCAACATAATAATCTGATTAAACATTGTAAAGTTTATGATATTGCAATTGAGAATATAATTTATGAAATATTAATTAGTTTTTACACTAATATTGTTTAATCTTTGCCATTATATAATATTTGGAGTTTAATAATAAGAAAGATATCAACAAATAAATATGTTTATCTTATAGTTTTGATAGTATTTATAGAGGAATTAGGTGATAAATTATTGCTTTGTTAAAATACATAGGATTTTAAAAATGCCCTTTCATTACAAGGTAATAATAAATGAATGAGAGATTTTAGCTTAGCTTATGGATATTCTTTAATTAGAAGCCACTTATTCAAGTTGTGAATCCACTTTAAATAGAATACTAAGTTCTGATTAATCAATACCTTAATCAATTGAGCACTCTAATATACATGAACCTTTGATATAGGATCAATGATTTATTAACAAAATATTTAATTAATTAAATACAGTCTTATATAAATACAATATTTGCAATACTCTTATATAATTTATAAATTAATCATCATTTTTTATTTCTATTCTTTTCTTAAATCTATTAAATCTTATCATATAATAATTCAATATCATTTTGATCTATTAATTTTGGTTATTAAGCCCAATCTCCAACTAAATATTCAACCCTTCCAATCATTTTTGTTCTTAATTCTCTATATTAAGTCTCATTCAATTTAGTTGGTAGTTTTCCTCCCATCTTCATTATTGTTCCTTTCTTACCAACAAATAAAGTTTCAATTGGTTCGATCTCTTCAACTTTTCCTTCGAGATGTAAAGATTCTGCAACAGTTAATTACTATGCTAAATTTTATATTTCTGGTAATTCTGGGTTGAATCTATATAATTAATTATAATGATTACTTTAATTCTTATATTACATCATCTCTCTCATTCTGAACTCCTAAAATAAGTTCTGCTCTTAAAGATTCTAATAATTTTTTTTATGCATTGAAACTCATTTATAAATATTCCTTAAATTCATTTTCAGATAATATTAAATCTGGATTGTAAATTTCATTTAAAGTTTCTTAGACTAATTCTTAAAACCATTATTCAATAGGTTAATAGCTAATCCATTTCTTTCTTAGCACTTTTTCTAAATCTTCTTTTTCTTATTAAAGTTCTTCTGGTGTAATATCAACTTATCTTTCTGCAATTAAATCCAATTATTTAAGTTAATGATTAAGACCTATGATTAATTTCTTTTATTTCTGTGCTTTTAATCTTTATATTTTACCATAAATCTCAATTTCTTTTTTAGTTGCTAAAAGTAAATCATCTCTAAAATAAACTCTTCTCATAACTTAACCTCTTCTGAATTTTGGAATATTTTCTCTATAATAAGTACTCATTTAATTTTATTTAGTTTCTAAGGCCCCATAAACATCATCAGGAGTAGTTTAACTAACTGTTTTCTCCTCTAATCCAGCAAGTTAATTTTCATAGTTTTTTTTTATTTATAAACTTAAACGATTTGTATATATTGCTTTTGATTTAAAACTTGGCCATCTAGTTGATTAGAGTGTTAAAATGTAATCCAATAATTTATCTGATTCAACCAAAGTCTTTTATCTATATATGTTGTATAATGTTGCTGCTGCTCTTAATTTATCATTTAAATAATCCAATAACCTTTCAAATTATTTAAAATTCTATAATTAAAATCCAAATTCTTATTAAAATTTTAATGATTAAACATCATAATTTCCTCCCTATTTGAATAAACAATAAATCTCTTCTAACTTACATAATAAAATATAAGAAAAAGAAAACATTAAATTGCTTTCAATTACTTTAAAAGAATCAAACGTCAAAGCTTCATTTATTTAATCATCAATAACTGCTAATTCATTTAAATTATTTAATTTTTTAGCTCTCATTCTATAAATTTAAATCAATATTTATTCGAATATATTTTATATTGGTCTAAATTCATCTGGACATCTATAAAAATCTGTCATAATTATCTTTAAATTTTCATTATGTGAAATTAATCCTTCTAAATTAGTTGGTATCTCTTCCTTTTATTTAAGCTTATCAATTTCTTATTTAAATTAATCTAAAAGTTCCTCTTTATTAACCTACTATATTGTTTCTTTTTATAAATTAATATTAATTTCATCTTTATTTTCTTTTAATTGATCTAAAATTTCTTTAACTTCCTTTCCTTCTAAGTATTCCTATATATTACTAAATTAATTTTATTATGTGACATTTTAAATAACATTTTTATAGAACTTATCAATTTACTAACTAAATTCTTAATAGAGATCTCCATATCTAGTTTCATATAATTTAGATCTTGTAATTTTAGCTCTAATAATTTATTCATTTATTTCTCTATCAACTATTTATGATACTTTTTCTGGTAATTCATTTTCATATAAAGATTTTCTATCATCTTTAGGGAAAATGAGTAATCTTTACATTGATTTATTCCATGCTTATTATTTTTTAATAGCCTCTATTTCATCAAATTCTTCTGTTAATTTATGATTCAAAATAGAGTTTCTTACTAATGAAAATAATTCTCTTTTTGGTTTAACAGATGCAATTCTAGCAACATTAGCATAACCATTAAATTTAGCTTAATTTGCTTTTTCAAAAAAGATTTTCATAGATTCATCTAAAAGAGTTCCAAAATCTTTAATATTATTTAAATATGTTTATCTTTCTTCTAAAAATTTCAAAAGATTTTCTTCATATCCTACTATACTTTTTAAACTATCAATTTTCATTTTGACATCTCTTTTTAAATCAGCAATTTCTGCTCTCATTTTTCTTAAATCTGAAACTCTAATAGATCCATCTAACATATGTTAATTATTTTTCATAAATGAAGCTACATCAATTTCTTAATTAGCTCTATCAATTAATCCTTTTCTAAGATTTTGTTCATTTAAAAATAGTCTAATATTCTCTGGATATTCAACATAAAAATCTTTAACAGGTTCAAGTGCATTTGGTAAATAATCAATTGAAGGAGATATATGATTGAAAAATGAATCAATATTTTCAACTTTCTCTTATTTCTCCATTAATCCACTATTAGCCAAATTTGAAGCTACATTAAATTCAGACAAAAGACAATCTCTCCATTATTATTTCTATGCTTATCTCAATAATTTAAAAGTAAGTTCAAGTGATAATCTTGGTTAAGCTTCTAATTCCTATAATATTTCTTTAGCAAATTCATTTTTTTCTGATTTTAATCTCTCCATAATTTCTTAAACACTATCCCCACTAAAACATCGAGCAATTAATGCCTTATTTAATTTAACTAAATTTTCTCTTGATATTATTCCCATTTCTTCTAAATTTTCAATATTCAATGCTTTAAATTAAAAATATGGATTAGCAATTGTTTATTTTCGTCTTTCATTTTTCTTTATAAGATTTTCTTCTTAAAACCTTTTTAATTTATATAACATTTCTTATGCTACTAATTATGCATCTTCATTTATCATTCTCACTCTTGTTTCTTAACTTAATTTCCTCAAGAATTACTTTTAACCATATTTGAAAGTGATAAGTTAATTTTTAACTTATTTTGGGTATGTTTTCAAAGTAGTATGTTTTGTGTATTATTATATTGTCTAATTAATAAAATCGATAGCTTTATTTTTATCTCTTAAATTTCCATAAATTAATTCTGTATTCAATGCTTCTTCATTCTTTAACCATCTACCAGTCAATGCATAAAATAGACCTAATTAATCTGGTAATCTTGATAAATGATATGTAGCACTAATTTATTTACATATATCCTTACCCTGCATGAGGTACAAAACCTCTATTAACATCATTAAATCTTATTCCTCCTTTTTAATCAAAGAATTAAAATGGAGTTGAACATGCTAATGCTGCCATTGATCCACTAGCTTCTCCTGTTATTAAAGGCATTAATATTTTATTGTATTTTCCAAAAAAGACTGCCATATTTTATATTTATCTAATATATTCTATCCTTTCTTTTTAAGATAAGTGTTACAAATCTAAATCATATCAAAATCGCATACATTTCAAATCTGTTCCTTTAGATTAGCAATCTAACCAAATAATACTCACTGTCTCATCTAAATCATAACTTTCTAAAAATCTATGAATTTGATCTAACATTGTTGGATTTAGTATGTTATGCTTATGATCTTAATTCAATTTAGCAAACACTTATTATCCAAACTGTTCTCCTAATATATGTGATTATTTGATTTCAGCATCGAATCTAACAACATTCTATTATCGAAGTACTTGAGTTGAGATGTACGAATACTTAATTTTAAGCATCATAAATAAAATCTTAATTAATCAAACCAATTATTCAAGACTAATACGCGCTTCCAATATACTCTTCAATAGTTATGGCTTGTATTTATAAAGAAAAGGATAATCTTCATTCAATTTATCTCTCTTTATAGAAGTTTAACCAATATATCGAGTCTTTTTTTTCTTTTTATTATTTTACATTGTGCTCTTTCTTTAACTTACAATTGCTAAATCAATATCAATCAATGATCCAGCTCTATCTTAACGATATGTATTTGGTGTTTTCTTTCTTGAAACAAGTAACGAAACCTATACAATATCTGATTTTAATGGTTAAGGCCTTTAATCATAACGAAATACTGGTTAATATGATTATATTTAAGATTCTAAATCAATAACGCCTGATTCCTTTTAAATTTATCTAACATATTATATTATTATTTTAATTACTATTATAAAACAAAAGTGTCTTCTAAATCTTTTGGTTACAATTTTGGAATTCTGTCACAATTTCGTCCAAATTTCAATCCTTTTATTTCACTATTCATTTTTAAATCCATTTTTGGTTAAAATGATGAAAAATGAATTTCTCTAGAATGATGATTCACTTAAGTCAATTCCAAAACTCTTTATTTATCTTTAAATATTCCTCTAAATAATTACATAACTATAAATAATATTCCAATTCTGGATCAAGCTTTATTCCAGCTGTTTCACTAAAAATTAAATTAATATGATCTTTTATTTCCCTTAAGCTCACTCTTTTATCAATCATTTCCTTTAACTCATCTTTTAACATCAATAAGTATCTTCTAGGATCATCATCTCTTCCTATTTTTGGCATAGAAACTGAATGAAATTATACTTTTCTTGTAGTATTCTATCTTTTAAATTTATTATTATTTCTTTTTTCTTCCTCCTCATATTCTAGTTCTTCCTCTGAAGATTCATTAACTGTTTCTCTATTTCCTGTTTTATGTCTACTTTTCCGAACATCTTATTATGTTTATAATTGATTTTCAAATGGTTTATTAATAATTTCTAATTTTTATTATTCTTTTTTTATTTATTTATTGGAATCAATAATTTTGGTAACTGATTTCTAAAATTGTTTAGTTTTCTCTGGACTTTTTGTACTTCTTTTAGATTTTTATGGAGAAAGTTCATTTGATTATTAGGTAATTTAATTATTATTAATTTCGTCTTATTTTGTATCTTGTAACTAATTAACTCTTTTCATTTAATTAATTTGAAGATTTGTTTCTCGAACTTAAGATTTATCTTATCTTGAATGTCTACTATTCCTTATTTATTATTTTCCATCTCCCCCTTATTCATCAGATTTTTAAATATTATTGCTAGATGCTTGTCTTGAATATTTATCAGGGGAGTTTTTTTTGACATTTTCATTTTCAATAAATATTTATTATTACTAAATTCTTTATTCATCGATAGCTTCTTCAATACTATTTATTTTTGATCTTTTATTTTATTTCGAATTATAATTGCTAGTATTTCTTGAAGTTCTAGCTGTTGTATTATTTGATACTGATCCTGGTATTGTTGAAGGAACATTATATCCATAATCTAATTTTACTTAATTTTGAATAGGTTCTTTATGTTTTTTGTTTTCCTTAGAAGACAATGTTCTACTCTAACCTAAGCTCTTCTCTTTATCTAATGTTTCTAGTGTATTTTTTTTCAAATTACTCATATTATCATCTCTTGAAATATTTTCAAGTTCCTCTTATAATTATCTCAATTCATCTTTTTCTTTCTCATAACTAAAAATTTTATCCTTGAATTTTTGTTATGAAATTCTATTTTATTGTACAAATTCATTCAAAAGTTTAATATCATCATTAATACTACTATTAGTATTTTTATTAATCAAGCTAACGCTTGTATTATTATTCCCTATATTTAGGTCTTATTATTCATTATATTAATGTTACCTTATAAAGTTTGAATTACGACTATCATCAATTTTTTCTTTATAAACATTTTCAAATTACTTTGAATCTTTATAATCAATTTTTTAATAAAATTGCATACTATTTTTTTCTTTATCTTTATCATTCTTATCAAAAACTTTATAATCATTTTCATAAGTAGGCTTTATAATGTCTTCAATAGAATTTAATGATTGCTATGACCACTATGATTATAACATTCTTTCTTATCCTTAAGATTAAATTAAGTTTCGATGTGTATTATTTTAGTTACTACTAGTATTATAAGATCTACTATTATTCTCTGAAATCAAACGTATTCTTTTTTATGGTGAAGTACTATTGGCTGGTTTTGACTAAGCCTAATATTATTGTTATTTAGAATACTACAGAAAGGGTTTCTGCTATTAATTTGAATGTAATTTTTATTTTTAATCTTGTTATTTCTATTATTTCGATTAATCACTATTTTAAAAAAACTCCTTTTACCCTACTATATTTTAAAATATATCACTACATTCCTTACTACTAGGAACTTCATATTATTAAGGAAAAGAATCCTCTAAGGAATTTTCCTTGTTTATTAAATCTTTCTGTTCTTCATACTAAACTCTAGCAAGTTATAAAGCATCTTCATGAAAAATGGAATTATTGTTAGATATATTGTTTAATTCTTCTTAAGCAATCTTAGATAAAGTATCAAGTATTGTTTTATGAGTATTTAATTAAATTTAATCTCCAACCTTTATAAGCTCTTTGAATTATTATTCAGTTTAGTTTCTTTCAAAATTTTTTCTTGCTTTCACTAAATTTGAATCTAATCCCACATTAGTTGCTAACTATAGAATTTCTTCAGAAAACAATGTCTTCTCTTATTACCACCTTCTAAATTTAGTTTTAGTATTATTAGATGCTTATGTTTGTTCTCTTTGCCATTCATTTACTGTTTTTTCAAATTCTTTTTAAATCTGATCAACAGAGTTAAAAAGTCTTTTAATTTCTAAAATTTTTACAAAGTTTTCAGCATCTCCTGTGCCTTTTATTCTATCTTATACTATATTCTTGAATGTCACATAATCATAATATCCTAAACTTTAAATTCCTTAATCAGAAATCAACTATATAATTCTGTTAACAAAAACATCCTATAACTGAAATAAGGATTTATCTTTATGTTCTTATCCACCATGTAAATCTAATATTTAATATGTTATAGATTTTCTGTATTCAGGAATTTATCTAGATGGAAAAGGTAGACTAGGAGATTTCACATTTCTAAGAATTTCTTAATAAAACTTTAGATCATCCTTTTACTTTTACATCATCAATCTACAATATTCAGGATTTTGTCTAACTACTTCTGGACTCTATAAGATATTTATCGGAATTGTTTGTTTTAATTTACGTGCTTCCTCTATCCACCATTAATTTATAGCAAAATGTCTAAAAATATGCTTAAAAAAATCCAAATTTAATTCATCTTTGAATCCACCATTGTGTTACTAAATATAATTAATATAATTTCTTATAGGAAATGGAGTGTGAAGTAATGAATCAACTCTCTTAATTTCTTTCTTTTCCCATTTTGGAACCAAATAAACATTTGTATTCCATTAGGATCTTGAATCAACCAAAGGAGGTTTATGCTAACAAAGTCTTAATTCATCTTTTGGAGGTGTTAGAGAAGTTTCCTTCTTTTATTGCTAAAATTTGTGTTTTAGTTTATTATAANTTTTAAAATATATCACTACATTCCTTACTACTAGGAACTTCATATTATTAAGGAAAAGAATCCTCTAAGGAATTTTCCTTGTTTATTAAATCTTTCTGTTCTTCATACTAAACTCTAGCAAGTTATAAAGCATCTTCATGAAAAATGGAATTATTGTTAGATATATTGTTTAATTCTTCTTAAGCAATCTTAGATAAAGTATCAAGTATTGTTTTATGAGTATTTAATTAAATTTAATCTCCAACCTTTATAAGCTCTTTGAATTATTATTCAGTTTAGTTTCTTTCAAAATTTTTTCTTGCTTTCACTAAATTTGAATCTAATCCCACATTAGTTGCTAACTATAGAATTTCTTCAGAAAACAATGTCTTCTCTTATTACCACCTTCTAAATTTAGTTTTAGTATTATTAGATGCTTATGTTTGTTCTCTTTGCCATTCATTTACTGTTTTTTCAAATTCTTTTTAAATCTGATCAACAGAGTTAAAAAGTCTTTTAATTTCTAAAATTTTTACAAAGTTTTCAGCATCTCCTGTGCCTTTTATTCTATCTTATACTATATTCTTGAATGTCACATAATCATAATATCCTAAACTTTAAATTCCTTAATCAGAAATCAACTATATAATTCTGTTAACAAAAACATCCTATAACTGAAATAAGGATTTATCTTTATGTTCTTATCCACCATGTAAATCTAATATTTAATATGTTATAGATTTTCTGTATTCAGGAATTTATCTAGATGGAAAAGGTAGACTAGGAGATTTCACATTTCTAAGAATTTCTTAATAAAACTTTAGATCATCCTTTTACTTTTACATCATCAATCTACAATATTCAGGATTTTGTCTAACTACTTCTGGACTCTATAAGATATTTATCGGAATTGTTTGTTTTAATTTACGTGCTTCCTCTATCCACCATTAATTTATAGCAAAATGTCTAAAAATATGCTTAAAAAAATCCAAATTTAATTCATCTTTGAATCCACCATTGTGTTACTAAATATAATTAATATAATTTCTTATAGGAAATGGAGTGTGAAGTAATGAATCAACTCTCTTAATTTCTTTCTTTTCCCATTTTGGAACCAAATAAACATTTGTATTCCATTAGGATCTTGAATCAACCAAAGGAGGTTTATGCTAACAAAGTCTTAATTCATCTTTTGGAGGTGTTAGAGAAGTTTCCTTCTTTTATTGCTAAAATTTGTGTTTTAGTTTATTATAAAATTACATTTAATATAAAAAACCTTAAAATTTATTAATATGTTATAATAAAAATGCTTTAAAAAATAAATAAACTAAATTTTTATAATTTATATTAATTGTTTGCACGTTTTAACTTTTTATTAGAATAAGTCTAAATTAAAATTTTATTTTACTTTATTGGTTAATGGTAACTAAAGTTTTATGATCACATTCTTCAATTGAGCAAAAAATTTGAGTGAAAGGACAAAATCTTGTCATATTTTCAAATGCTATAATAAATTTATAAATAAGTCTAAAATAAATATAAAATCATCAAGGTTATAATTAATTCATTTAGTCCAATCCCTAAAATCAATCCATTATACTTTATCTATTCCAGAATACTTTATTTTACAGTGATAATGCCTATTTATGAGTCTATTTTTATATTTATAAGAAATTACTTCTTAGTCATCTATATTACATTGTAACTAGACACGGGTTTTTTTGTGGTACTTTCTTATCTATACTTATATAACTCTAAAAATGATATCAATTTATTTTCTTTATTATTTCCAACAGGTATTTGTTCAGCATCTTCCCAAATTGAATGCTCTTCAAATTCTTAATCATTTTCATTGACCAAAAATTATGAATTCCTTGAATGATTTGTTTTTATAACAGGTGAAAATATTGCATCTTATTTAAATTCTTTAAACATTCCTGTATAAATTTCTGTTTATTCAGATTGAACTAAATCCAACTCTGATTTCAAAATTTTATTGCTAGTTGATTATTATAAATCCTATATGTGAGATACAAACACAGTATCACTTTTAATTCTTGAATGCATATAATTCTATATTAAGCTAATATTAGAAAATAAATTTATTTCTTGCCCTAATTTAGACCAAAATATCCTTTTGAAATAAACAAATCAATAAAAAATCTTGTTATTTAAATTAGATTTGGAAATCTTTAACTTTAAATAAAGCAATAAACAAAAAATAAATGATAAAATCTAATGTTAAATAATTATATCATTCATAATTTAACTTTCTTATTAATCTCTTCTCCAGTCATCCAAGATTAAATTTAATTCTAACATTTAATAAAAGTATTAAAATCAATGTTATCTACTATAATCTAAAATCTCTCTTTGTTCACTACAACAAAGGCATTTGGACTATTCGTTTAAATAATTTAAACTAATGCACCAATTTAATCTGGATTTAATTATTTCAGATTATTTGAGAATTCTACCTTTTCGTTATGTGATATGGTTAATTAAGTTTCTTCCTACGCAACTTCTTCGGTAACCTTCTTAATCTTTATTGAGCTTTATGGCAAATTAACTATAGGGAGATAATTCTTAACATATCTTTTAAAGGATTTCTCAAGTTTTTCAGAGAGTTTTGTTATCCACTAAAATAGGATGCATACTTACACAAGAAGGACCATTATATAATTTACAATTATCCCATATTAATTAGATATCATCTAAGCATTCTTCTACAGATTCATACTCTGAATTTTATAGTTTTTTCTAACAAGTACCCAAATCCATAGGTTTTTTTATTACAATTAAATAATCATGTAATCCAAGAGTTTTGTGGTCAACAGGGTATCGAAATTCTAAACTATCATTTGAATCTCTAAGCTATTATAAAATTTGATTTAATTTTTTTAATTCTTCCTTATAAATGGGTGTTTGTGTTTCTTTAATCATTTGAATTATTTTAATTTATTTTCTTCAATTTTATTTTTGGATTAAATTAATTATAAACTAAATTATCATATATTTATTTTGCTAAAAATAATACATTTTTGGTTAATTACAATTTCTCTTTTTTAACATATTATCATTTCAAACTGATGTTTAAATTGACTTTTTGACTTTATTATTTAATTTGATATATGAATTTGATGAAAATTTTATTTAACTTTTTTCAAGTGCCTGGTTAAGCCTGTAATTTATGATTGAAAATTTATCAAAAGGATTAATTATAAAAATAATACTTAAAATAAAATTTGAATATGTTGTTGAATCTGAGAAATAAAGGAATAATCTTTGAACTATTTGTAATTAGATAGAATAGTAGTAAAATAATGATAATATTTATTATTATTTATAAAATAAATTATTTTCAATAATGTCTAAGCAAAATAAAGGATAAAATCAAAATTAAGATGGTTTAACATAAGAATTGGATGCTTAAAGAAGAGACCTTATGAAAGCCATATCAACTCATAAAAATATGAAAGATCGTCTTGATAGAATGTAACTTCTTGAAATAGGAATTTAGGGAGAATGAGAGAGATAAATTTGGAAATGAGAATGTTGAAGTTAAGAGGAAGTTATCTGATGAGAAAAAAGAATTAATAGATTTAATTGAATTTCATAAGAAGGAAAAGGAAGAGTTGAGAGAAGAAAAACAAAAAATAGAATTTGAGTATGGAGTGTTATAAAGAAAAATGGCTGATATTGATGAAGATTATAGTAAGATTAGGTATTTATTGAACTAGAAAAAATGATGGAAAAATAGAGATAACTTTTTGAGGCAGATAAATAACCATTATTAGATAAAATAAAATATTTGGAAGCCAGATTAGAGAAGATAGATAGTTTTCTTTAAACAAAAGCAGATTTAGAAAATGAGAAGGCAAAATTGATAGAAACCTTAGCATAAGAAAGAAAAGATAAATAGAGAGAATTGGCAGATAAAGAGAAAGAGAAAGTTAAGGAAACAGGTAATCAAATAATAATGTATTTATATAGATCAATTAAAGAAAGAAATGCTTCATAAAATACAGGAAACTAAATCATCTTTATTGGCATTAAAAAAAGAATAATTAGAAACAACAACTAGATTAACAGTGTTATAAAATCATTAATTGACTACAGAGTTAGAATATCAATCTAAATAAACAGAAAAATTATTATTTAAAAATTCAAAGTTATCAGAATAAGTAACAAGTTTAAAGAGGGATATAGAAATACATAAATAAGTTGAATAGGAATTAGCTAAGAGATCACATTTCTCTTAGAAACTCATAAAGAAATTGACAGCAAAAATCAAAGAATTAGAAGATTAATAAGAATAATAAAAATTAGAAGAATAGGAATTAAATCCTTAATAGAAGGAAATTCCTTAAGAGGCAGAAAAGATGAAGGAAGCAGAGATAATTTAATTGGAAAAAAAGATAGCAAAATTATAAAATGATAATGATATTTTGAGAAATGAAAACAATCATTTACTTACAAGATTAGATACAATTAGATTTGAGGAGAATAAGTTTGCTAATTTATCAGTAATTTTAGCAAGTAATTTGGAATATTTAAAAAATAATTCGAATGAAGATATGAAGGAAGTAATAGATCTACAAGAATTGTAAATAATATAGTTTATAATTCTTTAGACGAGAAAAGAGTGTAAATGATTGGACATCAAATTAGAAAACAGCAATAATGAGTATACTATTAATGTAAGCTTAACAATATCTGACGAAAAAGAATTTAAATCTCTCAGATACAAATTAAATCAATATTAATAATACAATGGCAGAGAATGTTACCATAGTGGATAATGCAAATAAATCAGTTTAATTACCAAGTATTTTATAAAAATTAAATGCAAAGAAATTAAATAAGATGAGGATTAAACATCTTAATAAGGTTCAAAGAGATTTCAAGGTGTTCCTTTGGATATTAGTACTTAGATAGTGAAGAGTAATTTGAGAGATTGGGGAAAACCAGCAGCATCATAATAGCAATCCAATTAATTATCCCGAAAATATAAGTTAAAATGATTGATAATTTCTTTTTAAAATAATTTATTATTGTTTGAATATTTTACTATGGTTATATAATAATTTTAATAGTGAAGTAAAAGAATATATAATAAATTGAATGATTATCAATAATATTTATTTTGGTTTTTTAAGTGTGATTAAAAATAAAATTTAACGTAAATTAATTTAATATCTGTTTGCTAATACCTATAATACATAAAATGTCAACGAATACAATGAAAATGTTAAAATAACGTAATTTAGATGTAGAAGTATCATGTTTTGAGGATAAATTACAAATATCCCCTTCAAAATAAAATAAGGAAAATTCACATCATATAAAGTCAAAGACTTGTGATATGAGTGATCTTATAAAAATGTTATAAAAAGTAGAGATCTAAAATACTTAAAAAGAAGGTATTAATAAGTAAATAGATTGATAGAATAAATGGAGATAGAATAAGATAGTACTCCAAAGAAGTAAATTCAGCAAGGAAAGACTTGTAGATACATTCCTTTAAGAAGTGGATAGAAATAGACTCTGGAAGAGGAATTCTAATATAGAGAAATAGAGGATGAAAATAAAGAACCTTAGAAAGGAAGTGATTATAAGGATTAAGGAAATGTTTCATTAAAAGATATCTATAAGATGCATGTTTTTGGATAAGGATTATAGAGTGAATAATTACACTGGGAGTCTAAGAACATATTTAGATTTAATGACAACACTCCTTAGAAAAGAAAGATTTTATAAGATATAAATCCATCAGTTTTAGAGACTTATAATAATTTGATTGAATATAGAGAGTAATTTTAAAATAGTATGGATTATTAATACAGTCATAGAAAGATAAGTAAGGTACCATTTAAAGTATTGGATGCTCCTTAATTATAAGATGATTTTTATTTAAATTTGATAGATTGGAGTTCATAGAATGTCTTATCAGTAGCATTATCATCATGTGTTTATTTATGGTCAGCTTATAATAATAGAGTAACTAAATTTTGTGATTTTGGTAATAATGATGTAGTTTGTTCATTAATATGGAATCCAATGGGTAATTAATTGGCAATAGGTACTGGTTCAGGAGAGATTCATATATATGATTAAGAGAAGATGAAAAGAATGTAAATTATAGAAGGACATTCAGCAAGAGTAGGATCATTAGCATGGAGTGGACATGTATAAATAATGTATATATTTTAATAGACTCTTTGTTCTGGATCTAAAGATAGATCAATAATACTTCATGATCCAAGATAGAAAAGATAGACTGGTAAATTTGAAGGACATAAATAAGAAGTTTGTGGTTTGAAATGGTCACCAGATGAATATCAACTAGCATCAGGTGGAAATGATAATAAATTATTTGTATGGAGAATTGGTTCATAGATTCCATTAGCTAAATTCAGTTAACATTAAGCTGCTGTTAAAGCAATTGCATGGTCTCCTCATAGACATGGATTATTATCATCAGGTGGTGGAACTGCTGATAGAACTATTAGATTCTTTAATACTCTAACTACTTAATAATTAGATTGGATAGACACTGGATCTTAAGTATGTAATCTGATGTTCAGTAAAAATGTTAATGAATTTGTTTCTACTCATGGTTATAGTATGAATCAAATAGTCTGTTGGAAATATCCTTCATTATAAAAAGTATTCATTTCTATATTCATGTTAGGTAACTACTCTTCTGGGACATACTTCAAGAGTTCTATTTTTAGCTATGTCTCCAGATGGAGAAACTATTGTAACTGGTGCTGGAGATGAAACTCTTAGATTCTGGAATGCATTCCCAAAAAAAGAAGAAGCTTAACCAACCAATACTATCTTATTACCTTAAATGATTAGATGATAAGTATTTTTATACTACTTTATATAAATAATAAACATATTTAACTTATCAATATAAAAACCTTTGAATTCCTTAATTAAAGAATTTAGTATTTTGAAGAGTATCTATCATTTATTTCCATTACTTTCCTCCCCAATTTACTGTAATAAATAATGCTGTAGCCTCACCACAAATATTTTTATCTTTATCATAAACTACTGCTTTCAAAAATACTTTTCTTCCTTGAATTTTCTCAACCTCACAACTTATTAGATAGTCTTTATTTGTATGAATTGTTTCTTTGAAGTTCAACTACAAGTTTGCAGTCACTGAAGGAATGAATCCCGTTGCTAAAAAACTTAATTATCCAAATGCATTATCTATCAATGTTGCCAACAATCCACTATGTACATCTTCGTTATTCCCTCTTACTTCTTCTGCTGCATTAAATACAACATGAAGTTAATGATTATTTTCACAACCTTTTATTTCTACATCTCTTGGAAGGTATACTCTAAAAAAATTGAATGCTTTCTCATTTTAAACTATCATATTATGAAGAAAGTGTCTATCTGGAGAATTGTGAAGAAAATCGATTATTTTTGGCTAAGAGTAGTTTTAATCTTGAATAAACTCTTAAAAACTATGATTTTCTTCCTCATCATTTTACCTCTGTAACATCTTAAGGTAGGGTTATGATGCATTTATCATATAACCACAAGCCCAAGCTGCACAAAATGCTATTGATTTTTTCATAAATTGGTTATTTTTAGAATAGATTTGATAAATGATTTACGCTAGGACTTAAAATTTTATAAAATACTAATATTGCGTATTAATATCTAATTAAACAATTTTATCACATATTATAAAATGATGGTTTATTATTATAATATTAAATAAAATAATGTCGAACTTTCATAATAATAACTATTTAATATTAAATCTTCTTATCATCAAAATTCAATAATTAAATTAATGTGGAATATATTAACTCTATTAATAATCTCTAATTATAGGATTTCTCAATTGATTTGGTAGATCACTTTTTATTATTTTTTTAAAGCCATTTTGTGAATAATTTTCTAGACATCATTTCATATTTTTTGATTGTGCAGAAGGTATATCAAAATAGACAAAGATTCTAATTTTTATAAGAACTCCTATAAATAAAAGAGTTGATAATCTATTATTTTTATAATATAGAACACTCTTAACATAAAAAATTTGAAAGGGAATTCAAATATTTGACTATTCAATTAAATTGAATATTAAAAATAAAAAGGAAATTTTTTCTAGATTTTATTTTTAATTTAAAGCAAAAGTGGTCTGACTATATTTTTTAATAATATATTTTATTTATATACTCTCATAAATTTGCTTTGATTCCTAAATTTTTTTTCATTTATTCTCCAACCTTGACTATGAATTCTTCAGTATTTACATACTTGGTTCGTGAAACACTAAATAAATAAAAAAGAATTACTTATTATCATTATGTACAATAATTGCTAAATCCTTAGTCATGATACCATTTTCTACAGTTTAAATTACACTCTACTCTAAAGTAATACAAAATTTATGTAATTCTTTATTATTATCTAATTTGGCTCTATGTAATAGACCTCTAGTCCAAGCAAAAATACTTGCAATAGAATTAGTTGATGTTTCTTTTCCTTATTAATGCATTCTATAATGTCTAGTAACAGTTCCATGAGCAGCTTCTGCTTCTACTGATCCATCTGGACTAACTAAAACACTAGTCATTAAACCTAATGAACCATATCCTTATGCAACAACATCAGATNTATTTTTGGCTAAGAGTAGTTTTAATCTTGAATAAACTCTTAAAAACTATGATTTTCTTCCTCATCATTTTACCTCTGTAACATCTTAAGGTAGGGTTATGATGCATTTATCATATAACCACAAGCCCAAGCTGCACAAAATGCTATTGATTTTTTCATAAATTGGTTATTTTTAGAATAGATTTGATAAATGATTTACGCTAGGACTTAAAATTTTATAAAATACTAATATTGCGTATTAATATCTAATTAAACAATTTTATCACATATTATAAAATGATGGTTTATTATTATAATATTAAATAAAATAATGTCGAACTTTCATAATAATAACTATTTAATATTAAATCTTCTTATCATCAAAATTCAATAATTAAATTAATGTGGAATATATTAACTCTATTAATAATCTCTAATTATAGGATTTCTCAATTGATTTGGTAGATCACTTTTTATTATTTTTTTAAAGCCATTTTGTGAATAATTTTCTAGACATCATTTCATATTTTTTGATTGTGCAGAAGGTATATCAAAATAGACAAAGATTCTAATTTTTATAAGAACTCCTATAAATAAAAGAGTTGATAATCTATTATTTTTATAATATAGAACACTCTTAACATAAAAAATTTGAAAGGGAATTCAAATATTTGACTATTCAATTAAATTGAATATTAAAAATAAAAAGGAAATTTTTTCTAGATTTTATTTTTAATTTAAAGCAAAAGTGGTCTGACTATATTTTTTAATAATATATTTTATTTATATACTCTCATAAATTTGCTTTGATTCCTAAATTTTTTTTCATTTATTCTCCAACCTTGACTATGAATTCTTCAGTATTTACATACTTGGTTCGTGAAACACTAAATAAATAAAAAAGAATTACTTATTATCATTATGTACAATAATTGCTAAATCCTTAGTCATGATACCATTTTCTACAGTTTAAATTACACTCTACTCTAAAGTAATACAAAATTTATGTAATTCTTTATTATTATCTAATTTGGCTCTATGTAATAGACCTCTAGTCCAAGCAAAAATACTTGCAATAGAATTAGTTGATGTTTCTTTTCCTTATTAATGCATTCTATAATGTCTAGTAACAGTTCCATGAGCAGCTTCTGCTTCTACTGATCCATCTGGACTAACTAAAACACTAGTCATTAAACCTAATGAACCATATCCTTATGCAACAACATCAGATTAGACATCTCCATCATAATTTTTGCAAGCCCAAACAAAACCACCTTCACTTTTTATCATATATGCTACCATATCATCTATCAATCTATGTTCATACCATAATTTCTTTTATTCAAAAGTTTATTTATAATATTTATCATAAATTTCTTAAAAAATATCTTTGAATCTCCCATCATATTTCTTTAAAATTGTATTTTTAGTTGATAAATATAAAGGGTAATTACGATCAATAGCATATTTGAAACATGAATGAGCAAAATCAATTATTGATTCATCTGTATTATACATTCCCATTGAAATTCCTTTTCCCTCAAAATCAAATACAGGATATTTTGTAATTTTACCTTATTTATTTGTAAATACCATCTCTAATTTTCCTGGCTCACTTATTAAAAAATCAGTTGCTCTATATTAATCTCCAAAAGCGTGTCTTCCAATTATTATTGGTTCTTTCCATCCTGGTACTAATCTTGGAATATTTTTAATAATAATAGGTTCTCTAAATACTGTTCCATTAAGTATATTTCTGATTGTACCATTTGGAGATTTCCACATTTATTTTAACTTAAATTCCTTTACTCTTGCTTCATCAGGTGTACTATAAGATGAATATTAATTATTCTACATAGTTGCACATTTAATCCCAACTTTATACTTTTTAATTGCATTAGCTGCATCAATAGTAACTTTATCATCAGTCTTATCTCTATTTTCCATTCCAAGATCATAATAATCAATCTTCAAATCCAAAAATGGAAGGATTAAATACTTTTTTATTTGTTACCAAATAATCTATAATTTAGTTATGAATTACTCTAGTCATCTCATCTCCATCTAATTCTACTACAGGATTTTAAACTTGAATCTTCATGACTTTAATACTATTTAATAATATTTATCAATTAATTTATTAACGGAATGAATTTATATACAGGTTCATCCTTTGAAAAGACAATTAACAGAACTACAACACATTAATATCTAGTAAGAAAATATGGAAATAAATCAAATGAATAATATTTCAATTTTGAAGAAATACTTAATCAAATCTAAGATGTTTTTTGTATGAGTTGCGAAAGTTATGTTCCCTCTGAACAAATTAATATTCATACTTAAAATTGTAATGGAGAATGCGATTAATATGAATAAGTAGATTCATTGTAAGCTAAATTATAAAAATGTAATTTTCTTATAAATAAAATCAAAAAGATGCTAAAAACCTATTCATCTGATTAATAGTATATTATTCAGTATTTATAAATGTTATGGAAATGCTGCAGTAATATTATATTTGCCTCAGATTATAACATAGTTTCATAATGCTTGGATGATTTAGATTTATTTCAATAATATTTTGAAAATCAATAATAAGATATTTCTGTTGAATAAGTGATTCAATAAATTTTGACTATTATTAGTAAAATTATGTAATTTTCAGAAAGAAAAGCTCGAATTTTGTAAAGCAATTAAAATAACATTATCAATCATCTTAAAGAATCAATCGCAACATCTTTAGCTAATGAAGGAGGTTTATAAAAAAGACTTTAAATTCATGATAATCAATTGAATAGATATAGGAATCCTTTTGAAAATGTTTAAAATAATATTCATCAATCTTTAAAAGAAGATTTTTAATCTAGATTTAAATCTGCAAATAGATAATCACTTTCACCCATTACAGAAACTAGTTTTGTTGAAAAAAGTAAAATTGGAAACTTAACTCCAAGAATAGAAGAATCCATGTAATTATCTTCAACAATGTTTCATAAAACAGAAGCTGAAAAAAAAAATTAATTCTTTAAAATAGCTGCTTTCTTAAAAAAGAAATTTCCCTAAAAATAATCAGTCTAATAAGCTTTAATAATTGCTTTATATGATACTGCAAATAAACTTAATATATAGTAAAGCTAATATGAAAATTACATCACTAATTTATATAAAAACATGTGATTAATTATTAAATTAATTTATTTTTATTTGCAGTTATAAAAATAATTTTAATTTTTTTACAATTTCAATTTAAATTTAATTAATTCAATCATCTCTCCCATCACTATAAATTTTCAATTTATTAAATAGTATAAATTTTAATTTTGTTGTTATATATATGTTTTTGATTAGAATTGATTTATTAATTTTAAGGTTTTTAATTATTTACTTTTAATCTGAAATTAAAATTTAAAAATTTATATTATATCTTAACTAATTTAATAAATAAAATATCTATTTAAGATATTTTCTATTATTAATTGTAAAATTAAAAAAATATTTAATTCTTGAAGTTGAAGAAGGTTTGTTTTTATTATTAAGTTTAAATTGGATTTTATTTTTAGAAAATGATGAGTACTAGACTTAATTTTTATTTTATTAATGTATTTGATATTTCTATGTGAATAAATTCAAAATAATATATTTAATTATGCTTTTTCACTAAATCTAGGTATCTTAAAGGTCTTTTCAATTTTTCAAGATCTTTTTAGGATGGAGTATATTATTTAATTTTTTATTAATCTTCTTATTCATTTATGAAAAGCACCCCTACAAATCTTTTGTTGAATTTGAAAGCATAAAAATTAGTAAATCCTCACACTGGAACCCAACTATCAATAAATCCGAAACATAATTCAACAGAGAATTTGATTTCTCATGGGGCTGGATGAAATAATCTTAAAACATGATTTGAATAAATTAAAAAATGTTTTATTTAAAAAAAAACTTTGGTTATAAAATGAATAAATATTTAAGTAAAATAAAACTATACAAAATTTAAATATGAACTAATAAAATCCTTTATTATTTTCCTAACCTTAGGATTCTATAGAGATTGAAACATTAAGTTTGTTTGTGTAATAATTTGAAAAAATATATAATAAATAATTCATTCCTTAAAAAGAACTCTACTTTTAATTTCCTTTATTACAAATATTTATTATTTATCTAAATCTACAACTTATTAACATATTTTGCAATTTAGGATAAAAGATTATTATTTCATCATGCTCTATGCATATTTATTGAAACATTATTAATGAAAAATATGTGAGCATGACAGTTTTACAATAATTTATTTATTTTTGATTTGAGAAATACATATTTTACAGTAAAACCTATTAATTTAAGAGGAAGGAATTAATAATTCTTGTTATTATTTCTCAACTTTTACAATTCTAAATTCTCCATTCTCGGGAGCTATGCTATTGATATTTATTGAAAATTATACTCAAAATCTCCTTCTACAATAATATTTTTCAATAAATTTTATTGTTGATTCGATAATAAGTATAGTGTTTTTCTAATTTTTAATGGAATATGCATCATAAGCATTTATCCTAAAATTATGATTACTGTAATGACAATTTCTATTTATTCGTCTGTTATACCAAAATAATGACAATCGTGTGTTGATTACTTATAAATTACATCAATAGCATATAGTATCATAAATACAAAATTTGTTATGTAAATCATGATTAAGCAAACAATTATTATGTTTAAGAATTATTATGATATAATAGACGAATATGTGAAACTGAAATTGTTTATTTTGACTTAATAAAAGTATCTCAATTCTAAGATTGCCAATAGAAATATCAAGAGACAAAAAATAATTTCTAGGATTGTGTAGGTAAGGTATTCTAATTGACTATCTATAAAAACGCATCTAATATCAAGCACAAGAATCAAAGCAATAAAACTAAATGTTAAAATTATCAATATTAAATGCCAATGATATTTTCTCCTAATAAAATCAATTTCTAAATCCATATTTTTTCGATGAATAATTTTCTTAATATTCGATTATATTAATAATAAATAATTAAAAATCAATTCAATTAGGTAACCAGATATATAAATATGCATCAAATTATTTATTTTCAATATGATTGTGATTTTTCTTTATTCTAACTTTATTGAAACCACTTTTTTAATAAAATCTATCAGCTTCATCATTCTAAACTGCCATGTCTAAATAAATGTAAGCTAGTGTTTTATTTGATTCTAAAACTCTCTTCTTTAACTATTCAATAATGTATTCTGCAATCCTTCAAATTCATTAACACTCCCAATAGTCATAATATAAAAAGCAATTTATGTTTAAAAGAATTAGTGAACAATTATTTACAGCTTAAATTTATTTTTATATTTTGTTTTCATCAATCTTGTTTAATAAATCTAAGCTCCTATTAAATATTTTTCTTTTCTTCCTGTAGGAAATTTAATTTCAATCTCTGCTAAAAGGGATGAAGTATAACTATTTAAAATAGAAGTATATAATTATTCTGTATAATTAATAGGTAACCATTCCTATTATAATAATTTAAGTTAAGCTATATCTCTATTTGTTTATACAGTTTTAAATTTAATATCTTTAAATTCTATATCATATAAATTAACATCAAATAATAATAAACTGAGAACTTCAACAATCTAATTAGTGTTATTTTAAGAATTTGGAGAGTAAATGCCTAACTCCATCTCTAATCTATTTGTTTCATGCTTTTTCTAATTATTTTAAATTTTTGATTAAATCGTAAATAAAATTATTTCTAAAATACAAAAAACTAAGATGCTATTATCTACATCTAAGTTGTCAACTTCAAAGTTAGGAAAATCCTAATTATAGAGTCCTTAAAGGTCTACTGTGAACTATCTTTAATAAGATCTTGATTCTCCATCGAGATAAAGAATTAAGTTATTATCTGATAAATGGAATCATATCTAAAATGGAATAGATAAAGATAAATTGGAAAAGAGAGAAGTTCTTGAGGAAAGAATTAAAATTATTGAAGATGTTCTCTCTTAAGAAAAACCTAAGGATGAATAAAGATTTAAAGTCCTTAAGGATTAAGTATTGAAACTTCAAGATTAAGCTCATAATTAAAAATCTGAAAGAGAAGTATTTCATTTTATTTAAACTCAAAGGCTTTTGATGGTAAAAAAGAAAAAGATTTTAGAACTCTCTCTGATAATGTAGCATTATCCTTTGATCAAGAAAGAAATATCAGAGGATAATCTGAAATAAAACTATAAANAAGCTAGTGTTTTATTTGATTCTAAAACTCTCTTCTTTAACTATTCAATAATGTATTCTGCAATCCTTCAAATTCATTAACACTCCCAATAGTCATAATATAAAAAGCAATTTATGTTTAAAAGAATTAGTGAACAATTATTTACAGCTTAAATTTATTTTTATATTTTGTTTTCATCAATCTTGTTTAATAAATCTAAGCTCCTATTAAATATTTTTCTTTTCTTCCTGTAGGAAATTTAATTTCAATCTCTGCTAAAAGGGATGAAGTATAACTATTTAAAATAGAAGTATATAATTATTCTGTATAATTAATAGGTAACCATTCCTATTATAATAATTTAAGTTAAGCTATATCTCTATTTGTTTATACAGTTTTAAATTTAATATCTTTAAATTCTATATCATATAAATTAACATCAAATAATAATAAACTGAGAACTTCAACAATCTAATTAGTGTTATTTTAAGAATTTGGAGAGTAAATGCCTAACTCCATCTCTAATCTATTTGTTTCATGCTTTTTCTAATTATTTTAAATTTTTGATTAAATCGTAAATAAAATTATTTCTAAAATACAAAAAACTAAGATGCTATTATCTACATCTAAGTTGTCAACTTCAAAGTTAGGAAAATCCTAATTATAGAGTCCTTAAAGGTCTACTGTGAACTATCTTTAATAAGATCTTGATTCTCCATCGAGATAAAGAATTAAGTTATTATCTGATAAATGGAATCATATCTAAAATGGAATAGATAAAGATAAATTGGAAAAGAGAGAAGTTCTTGAGGAAAGAATTAAAATTATTGAAGATGTTCTCTCTTAAGAAAAACCTAAGGATGAATAAAGATTTAAAGTCCTTAAGGATTAAGTATTGAAACTTCAAGATTAAGCTCATAATTAAAAATCTGAAAGAGAAGTATTTCATTTTATTTAAACTCAAAGGCTTTTGATGGTAAAAAAGAAAAAGATTTTAGAACTCTCTCTGATAATGTAGCATTATCCTTTGATCAAGAAAGAAATATCAGAGGATAATCTGAAATAAAACTATAAAAATAAATTGATGAAAGATTTTAATAAATTACTTTAACTATTACAAGGAACACACATTAATATGAGGATAGAAGTTAAGCTAAAATAGCAGAAGTCTTATAATAGGTTTAATTAGTGAAAAATTAACTGGATTAAGAAAGAAGATCAAGGTATTAATTAATTTTATTTAATAGAGAAGAATCATCTGAAGCCTTATCTGAATAAATTGATTCTGAAATTAATAAGTTTTCAGATTAACTTCTTATTGAAAAGAAAGTTAGAGAAGAAACTTAAGGAAAAATATTTAGAATGATAGAAGATGTTCAGGGTAAATTATAATAAGATATTAATTTTGAAAAAAGAGAAAGAGAAGCTACAACTGAAGCTTTGTTAAAATTATTGGAAGATGCATGCATCAAAATAGATAAAAATTTCAGATCCTACTGAGTTTTAATAAAAATCATTGTATCAAATAAACATAAAATAAATATTTAAAATTTTTAGTTAATAATAGAAAAAAAAAAATTATTATATTTTTTATTCAACATATTGGTTAATCATATACTAGTATAATTATTAATCTTCCAGACAGGACCTTTTCCTGTTTTGGCTAGAAAATTTAAATTTTTAATTTAAGTTTTATTTTGAGAAGAATTCAAATTTTAAGGACTGACTTATTTAGCTTTTGTGGTGTTTATTAATAATTAAGGAGGAAAATAACTTTTTGTTGTTATTGGTAGATCAAGAATAAGTTTTTATTTTGTGTTTAGATTTTTTATAGGTTTAGAAGACTTGGAAGGCTATTTCTGTAAATTTGGCATCAATTTCAACATTTTTAGAGCTATTTTCTCTCAACTTAAAGATGAAATTTACATCAAAATATTCTTAAGTTGTTTAAAAGGATGATCCATTGCATTTGGTATTACTATAAGATTTTGAAGCTTAAGGAATAAAAAAACCATAGTTTCTTTACTTTTTTTTCTTTTCTTTATTTTCATCTGTAAAGAACTCTTAAATAATTCTTTAGACTTGACGAGATTCATCATATTTTTATTTTTCAATAAATTAACTAGACTAATCAATTGATATTTTTCTGGTTTTTCTTCTTTTATTTGGAAAAGTAGTGTTTGCCATCCTGATCTACGAATTTTAGGTTTCTGGTCTATCAATTATTTCATTCGGCATCTAATTAGTTGAAGAAGTATAAGTTTTTCTAATCTAAGCAATTTGTTATTATATAGTATTGTTTTATTTATGCCAAGGTCCAAAAAAATCTAGATCTTATACTTAAATAGAATCTAGATATTGGTTATATATTATACCATCTTTATAATTTAAAGTATCAAAAATTTAAGAATCTCTGCTAACTGGCTGTGTTTTTTACATATTTAATTATAAATTATAGCTTAAGCAATTTTAATTTATTACAAAATACATATAAACAAATCATAAACACATATCATAAATTAAATGTTTCTAATTCTAATTTCTATGTCAACATTTAGTAAACAAATTGTCCTAATAAAAATATTTATGAATAATTTACCAAATTTATATTATTATATTTCTTATAATAGTTATTAGTTATTAGTAATTTTATAATAAAGTTCTTTTTGAATTTCTGAATCTGAAAATTTAAGAAAATTTTAGACAACATAATTACCATAAGCATTTGTGGATAATCTTACAAATAAAACTTATTAATTTTTTTAACTTAGTAAGAGCTCCATGATTTTAAGTTTAAATTAATTATTAGAGAATTTGATAGCACAATCAACTACATTGCTAAGATTAATTTAGAAATTTACCTTCCAAATTTATTTAGACTATAATCTTCTAGTTTTTCCATTATAATTTATTAAATTTAGTTTTTGATGTGAATAGGTCCATCCTTTAATAACTGTTGAATTATGTAATTACCATATTATGAAATACAAAGTTCATAAATTAGATTCATAATCTCAATATAAATTTGGTTTTATCTTTCTGGATAATTATTAGAAATTGAAACAGCTTTTTAAATAATTCTACAACCAAAAGAATTCAAAACAAGTTTATTGATTTATCCTTCAATTCCATCTAAAACCCATAAACTTATTTTGCTTTCCATTAATTAGATTAATTTCTAAACAACATGATTACCATGTTAATCAATTACCATCTCTCTAACTTTAGATTTTATAGAATCAAATAAAATAGGAAAATCAGGAGTATTATAAGCATTTTAGAATAATTTTTATAATACTCTACATCCATATTAATGAAAAGCTAATTATTAAGAGTGAGTTTACAAAATTATAAGTATTTTTTATTATTGTAATGGAGTTCCTATTATAATATTCTAAAATACCAAATTCAAGAAGATTTTATATAACATAATTCCCAAAGACATCTTTTGATAGAGATAATAGCCCTTTTTCAAGTTTATTAAAAATTTATTCTTTGATTGCCTAAGAACCTGCTTCAAAGGCTTATTGAATGTTTCTAGCCCCATTTTAATCTTTACATTTAGAAATCTGAAATAATAGTGAAGTTTAATACTAAATCTCCTTCTAAGGAAGTTTCATTATCTGGAATAAACTAAGTAAGACCAACATAGGATTTAGGCTTTAATGCTGAATTTGGAGCACTTTATTATACTGGAACTTTAGTAAGTCTAAGATCTAAATCATAAGAACTTAATTAGTAAAATTTAAAACTTTGATTTTTATTGTACTTATGGAGAATAGACTTTAGGACAATAAATTGGAGATTAATTTTATGTCTAATTAATTTGAATAGTAGAAGGTCTATTTGAAATATATGTTTTTTTGATTTTGGCTACATTTTCAAAACTATCTAAAATTTGAAGGGAAAATGAAGATACCATCTAAAAGATCTCCTATCATATCCTTTTCATTTGGATCTGGATTCATTATTGAATGAGAAGATTAAATATATAAAATAAATAAATATTAATTGTTTAAATGGATAAACAAAGAAATAATAGTAAATAAATTTAAAGTACATAGAAAATAAAACATTAATATTTATTAATAAAATTATATAATCTTGATTACATCATAAGACATATTATATAGCTATAAATAAAAAAGAAATCTAAGAAATAGAAAATGAATAAAAGTTAGCAAATTATTTATAAATATATTTATTAATGGGTATGTGTTAAAATAAGCCAGCTGAATATACATCAACAATACCAAGCTTTAAAGGAGATATGCCTGAAGCAGATGATGAAGATGATAATATAGGAGAGACTACACAATTACCAATAGAAGGGGAAAGTGTGACTATGAAACAAAAGTTATCATTAGAGGATTTTGAGTTAATTAAAGTTATTGGTAGAGGATCTTTTGGAAAAGTATTACTTGTAAGAAAGAATGATAATCGATAATTATTTGCTGTTAAAATATTAAGGAAAAAAATGTTGACTTAAAAGAAATAGCAGAATTAAGCAATTTAGGAAAGGAAAATCATGTCAATAATAAATAGTTCTTTTATGGTAAAGCTACATTATGCTTTCTAAAGTTCTTCACGTCTTTACATGGTTATGGATTTTATGCAAGGAGGAGAACTCTTTCTTCATTTAAGAAAAAGATTTAAGTTTCCTGAAGATTGGGTTTAATTCTATGCTGCTGAATTGTTGGTTGCAATAGATCTTCTTCATTAATAAAATATTATATATAGAGATTTAAAGCCTGAAAATATATTATTAGATAAGGATGGTCATATAGTATTAACAGATTTTGGATTATCTAAACTGGGTTTTGAGAAGAATGAAATGACATATTCATTTTGTGGAACACCAGAATATGTTGCCCCAGAAATTCTATATCGTAAAAATATTATTTATTTTTATAAAGAAAGGGGACACACATTTACAGTAGACTTTTATAGTTATGGAGCATTAATTTATGAAATGTTATCTGGTATGCCTCCTTATTATTCTAAGAATAAAAGAGAAATGCTTAAAAATAGATGTGAAAAACCTCTTGAATTAAAATCTTGTTTCTCATTTTAAGCAGCCTCATTATTAAAAGGATTATTAATAAAAGATGTATTAATTATAATCTATCAATAGCCAGGATTGAGATTAGGTCACAATGGAATTCAAGAAATAAAAAAACACAATTTTTTCAATGGTATTGATTGGAAATTGGTTGAATTACGTAAATTACAACCACCAATCATTCCTAAAATCTAAAATGCTCAAGATTTGTCTAATTTTGCTCCAGTCTTCTTGTAATAACCAATATTAGATACTCCAGAATCAAAAATAAATGAATATTTTGAAGGATTCACATACTAATAATTAATGTGAAAGTAATTGAAATAATTATAACAAATGTTGTTTATATATAATAATCTTTAATATGTAATAATATTAATATTCAAGCTTACTCTTAGCCTACCTATAATTCTAATTCAGCAATTCTCCTTTGTAGACCAAGTAATTATTATTAAAGTGCAGTCTTCTCACCTTTTAGAGCAGTGATTTATTATTACAATCTCGAATTCTCTGCTTTTTGATGTGCAAAATGTCTAAAAATTGAATATAAAAATACCTTTTCATTTCTTCTTCTATTCTCATGAGTTCATTAGTAAGTGTTTTTTTAACATCTTGTGTTTTCATACTTAACACAGATTCTAAAGTATCTTTTTCAGATTTAAGGATTTGTACTTCCTTCTTATGAAAATTCATTTCATCTTAGATTCCTTTAATTGTTTCCTTAAATAATTTAAACAATCTACCTCTAAACTCATAAGCTTTCCTTTTAATGATGCAGGGTTTTAAGATCCAGCAAAACTTTAGTTAGTTTAGCCAAGATCATTCTTTTATAATGTGTTTCCAGCTGCAGACTTAAATGCATTACTCATTAATAAAATTATTAAATATAATTTATATATAAAAATATAACAAATTGACATACATGTACTTTACATAATTATAATATATTTTATCACCAATCTTTATCAGCTTTTTCTGCATCACCTTATTGTTCTGGTTCTTCTCCATCACCTTCTTATTTAACTTAGTTATCTGCTACACCTAATTAATCATTAGTGATTTCCTTATGATAGAACAAATCAACTAAAACATCCCATTCCTCATCTATAAAATTATAGAATAATTTATACCTTATCTTAATTCACCTCTTAAGATCTTGACTTCTCTGGCCAATAACCAATAGATCATTGATATTGCTTTAGTTTCTCTATTTCCAACTGGAATTGGAATGTCAACATATTACAAAGGATTATCTGAATTACATAAAGCAATAACTGGAATATTAACATAAGATGCTTCTACAATAGCTTATTTATCCTAACAAATATTTATTTAAATATATACCAAATGTGGATCTGTTACTATCAACAATTAAGGTTCTTAGAATTTTCCACTAGCACTGTTTGATTGATTTGTCAATGTACCTGGTGTCCATCTCGATGATCTTGTTGAGCTAGCATGAGTATAGTGAGCAAATTTTATGACTGCTCTTTATCCAATTGGTCTTGATGAAACAACCTTTATTAATCATCATTTATTATACCATAACATCTTGAGGTTAATCAACTGCTGCTATTACTCTGGCAGCTAATTTTATGTGCTACCAGGTTTCCTCTAAATTCAGAATATATGCACCATTATCACTTCTGTGTGATACATATCTCTTCATATCAAAATGGAGTTGTTTTGTACCAATGTGACACTAGAAGAAATCATTTACATAACATTTTTACTTATGAAGCAATCAATCTCTTGATGTCTTATTCTTTTCTGCTCATGCAATCAAATATAAATATCTATTTTTTTAAATATTTTACAAATCTCAATTATTCCTTAATCAATTATTTCTAACAGCTTTTACCACATACCAACTCTTACTATCTACCCTTTACATTCAATATACTCCATTCTTGAATTAAACCAACAAATACTCAATACTTTTTCTTACAATAATTTAAACAAAATTTAAATCAAATTAAAAAAAAATTTCAATTTTTCTATTTTTTCTGTATTATCACTCTTCTCTCACTTCATTTTAGATGAATGGACTCTATAAATATTATCAATACAAAAATGTTTTTCTCATCTTCAACTAATTTCTATAAGGACATTGCAATATTTTTAAATAGAATTATTTACAAGGCAGGATAGTTTATTGAATATACAGTTGAATATATAATTATAGAGACGAATATAATTTATTGCTAAATTAATTTGAAGTTAGACATCACTATAATTAAAAATGAATGAAAATTAAAATATCTTATAAATTGTTTTATATTGTATAATATCATAATAAAAGGAGCAGGGAAAATGACACCAATTAAAACAATTCAATCCCATACATAAATTCTTCATAAATAGCGTATTGCGGGTTCTTAACAAAAGACTTACATTATTTACATTCATTAGTAGATTATTACCATTTGTAATGAAGCCAACCATATGAAAGACAATCCAAAGCATTATTGGATTTTTCAATCTCTTCAGTTTCAATTTCTTTACAAGAACCATCTGACCATTTGCATGAAAATATTTATAAAGATGGAAAATCTATCAGAGAAGATTAACATAATGATTCCTGAGTTATCTAATTACACTCTTTTGGAATGCAAGATTTTGATTTTATATCATAGTAACACACATGATTACAAAAAACTAATCTATCTTCGTAATCTGAACAAGAGGATGAAAATAGAGGATATTCTTTGCATTCTTAATTGTCATTTAGAAAACACGCTTTTCCATTTCCATCTGATATTGGGCACATTTCTGTAGTTCTTGACGAACAATCTAAATTATCAATTTTCGGACCACATTATCCTTTTTATGCAGAACATTTTAAGGAATTGCAATTATCATCCTATGAACAGTCTTATGGCTTGCATTAATCATCTTACCACATACAGTCTATTCCTAAATAAAATGATGAAAAGCATAATTTTTTTGTTAAATCACTACATTTATAAGTATGATCTTCACAAATTTTGCTTGATTCATTCCATTTACATTTTAATTATGTAAGAAAATGAGTGCAAAACTCTTCTGACTAATATTTGCACTCAAGATCTGTACAAGAAGATCCATTCCAACTACAATAAGGAAGACTTGTACAATATTCCTTTTCAAATTCATCGCAAGCACACATCTCGGTCAATGAAAATTTTACACAACCATTAAGGGCTAATAATAAAAAGAACACAATGATCTTCATCTGATTCTATTAATTAGAACAAAATGAATTCATTTGATTTTGATTTATAGTAGAAATAATGTGAAACTAAAGTTAAGAAAAAATATTCTACTTCTTAGATAATCTGATAAATTCGAAAAATTTATTAAATAATTAAAAATAATTTTTTGTTTTATTATTAATTATTAATATAAACATAAGAATTTAAGATAGAATTATATGTTATTCAGATTTATTAGATATGATAGTTTTTTTGATTTATAAATTAATTATTATTATAACTTAAAATTTAAGTTATATATTCAAAAAATCATATATTTTTAGAAAATGATTAATGCAAATAATGATTTGTGTTTCTAAAGCTATATAAATTTGGATCTTCATTAACTTAGCTTCTTGATAAATTATGTCCAAATATTATTTCATATTAAGCATCATAGATATTATGTCTTTTATCTGGACACATTAAATATAAATAAAAATAAATGCTTGGTAGAATCACCTATATAATTAATATTTAAATTACTTTAATACCAAGTAATATGTATGAGATGATTACTTCATACATTTAGAAACTGTGCTCTAATTAAAAAAATAGTACACTATTAGTTGTCCAAGGATTAGTAAAAATAACAAACCAAACAATATCTAAAATAATTGTTACAATAATCATAGCTGATATAATTTTAAAGTGTAACAAAGATTGTAACTTATTATTATTCATATAATAGAATAAACTATAAAATAATACTATTAACTATTATTAAAGTAGTATTTTACATCTACAAATTGTGTCTTAAATAAATTAGCAATTAAGACTAAAATGAAGTAAAGCAATGTAAAAGTTAATGCTAATTTAACCCAAAGTTGTGCTTAAGAAGTATCATAAAAATGGAAATCATGTATTTATTGTACAGTCGATTATTCAGTTACAATTGATTTATCATTTAATTGATTTTGATTCTTATCATCGAAAGGATAAAAGAGTTATAAGATGTCACTTTTGTATTCATTGATATCTTGAGAGAGATCCTCAATAACCTATTGATTATCTTTAATAGACTCTTTGAAATATTTTGTCTAAAATAAGTGATTATAGTACTTAAGAATGAATCCATTAAACTCTTAAATTCATTTTTGAATAGAGAACAACACCATATTTATCTTTCAATTACAATTAAATATCATGAGGCTTTTGATCATAAAATTCTTTTAAATTGAGTTTTGCTTATCCGCCAATTTCTTATTTTTCTATTAATTCTTCATCTAATATTACAATATATATTTCCTCTTCTCCAGTAATTATATTAAATTCAAATTTTTCATTCCATACAGGATTTTATCTATTTGCTGGTTTTGTTGAGTATTTTATATCATCACAACCTAAAATAATTGCCACTTGAGTATTTCCAGGAAATTAAATTTAAGCATCAAAAATTGTAATTCTTATTTTACTTCCTTTACATATTTTGTGAGAATTATATTCTTCCATTGTTTATAATTGCTATAAATGTAATTAATCTTCATCTAATTTTAGTTATTTTTATGCAACTTGCTATTCTAAAATGGATATTTTATTTTTTAATGATTATAATGCTTCCATTAAAATTGATATGAAATCATTAATAGTAATTTATCCGTTTTGATTCTTGTTCATTTTTGAATAAAGTTATTCAAATAAAACTCTGTCATACATTTTATTTGATTACTAATCCAAAAATCTAACAATACTTTCTTTACTGATAGGTTATTAATGATTTTAGGATAGCTTATTAAATACTTGTTAAACTTATTGAATTATTTGAGCTTGATTCATTTAACTGTATTAAAATTAATAATTTTAACGAATAATATAAAAAACTATGAGACCTCAATCTCCTAAAATGTTATAAACCTAAACTATAACAGCAACTCGTATAATTAGTTCACCTTCTAAAGATATACACTAAGATTCCTGTAGTAGACTTGCTAAAGTCACAACTTGTTAAACTAGACCTAAGGCTACTATTATTACAATATCAAATAAACCAGTCATTGAAACAAGAACTGTTATTCTTTGTAATGATAAAAAGTGTTAAGCACATGTAAATTTAATTAAAATTAAATCAGGAAAATCATATTGAACAATTAACATAAGATAATTATAAATTAAATTAACGAATACATGACTTAGAACTTTAAATTGATAAATATGATGGAGAATAATAAATCTGGATGAGCACAACAATTGAAATGGAGAGTTTCAAAAAATTACTTCAAGAAACTTAAAAAAATCATTCAAAAGAACTTTAAGCTCTTAATTCTGAACTTTATAATTTTAAATCTATATCTTAAACTTAAGATGATAAAATCCAATAACTTACCTTTTAAATTAAAGAAAAACAAAATTTAGAAGAAGATTATTCAACTATATCTTAAGAAATCGAAAAATATAAAATTATTAATCAAGATAAAGATGATTAATTATAATAATATGAAGCTAGAATCAAAGATTATGAAAAGTAGCTTTAAGTTGGAGAAAATGTAATTGAAGAAAGAAATTCATAAATATTGATTATGCTACAAAAAATTAAACAATATGAATTAGAATTCGAAACATCCAATAATGTTATTCACTAATTAAAATAAGAAATTTCATCAAAAGATATTCAAAATCACTAATTAATATTATAGAAAGATTCTTTAATTTCTAATTACAGAGAAAATCTTGATATATTAGAATAAAGAATATCTTAAGAATAATATCTTGATTCTCAAAAAAATCTTAAATTTATTCAATTGGAAAATGAAAAAAAAGATTTAAACAATATTATCCAAAATTTACAATTCTAAGTTAATGATCTTTAAGACTAAAATAATCATTTAAATCAATAACTATTTTTAAATGATTAATTTAATTCTGATCTCTAAGTTTCAGTCGAAAAATAGACAAAAAGTTTAGAATTATAAATGCAAACCAAATTAGAAGAGCTTGAATTAAGAAATTAAGAAAAATTGCATTTATAGGAAGAATTATATAAGACTTAATAAGAATCTAAAGCAAAGGAGAATTAAATAATTTCTTTAAATGACAATATCGTTGATCTCACTTCTTAAATAAAAGAGAAAGATGAAAAGATTGAAATACTTTATTAAGAATTAACTCAATAACTTGAACAAATTGTTTTATATAATAATAAATAATTATAAAATTATTTGATTATTAATGAAGATTTAAAAAATGAGTTAAAATTAAGAGTTATTGATGAAAAGTCAACTTAAATTTCTTTATAAAAAGAAATTGAAAATAGAAATCAATTATTAGAAATTGTAAACTAATTAAAATCTTAAATTGAAGAACTAAATAGCTCAAAAAATTCTTTAGAAAATATAGTAAATAATTAGAGATAATAATTAGAAGATTAAAATGAAAAATAGACTCAATAATTATCTGATTTAATTCAATCATTTTAGCAGCAAATATCTAAAATTTCAGAAGAAAAATAGCATTTAGAAAATAATTTTATTCAATTTAAAAATGAAACTTCATTAAAAATAAAATTATTAGAAGAAACTATAGATTTGTTTAAATAAAACGAAGATAAATTTGCTGAAGGAAACAGAGAATTACAGGAATAATTATTACTTCAGAGTTTAGAAGTATAAAGACTTTAAAGTGAAAATTAAAATTAAAAAGAGAAACTATAATATTAATCCTGTGAAATAGAAAAATTAAATGAATAATCTATTTAAATCAATGAAAATAAATTACTCTAATAAGTGGAATAGAATAAATAAACTGACTAATTATAAATTAAGATACAAGAGTTAAATATCTAATGTGAAGCATTGAAATCAGACTTAAAATAATAAAATGAATTAAATGAAGAGTTGAATAAGAAAAATAATTTAAATTAGACTCAGATATCTCATTTGCAAGAAGTAGAATCATAATTAAAATATTTAAATGAATAATCTAACTAATAATAAAAAAATATATAAAAGGAATTAGAAAGTAAAAATGAGACAGAAAATACACTTAAATTAAAACTTGAGACTTTATTAGAAGAGATAAAAGTGAAATAAATATAACTTTCTGAATTGGATCGATAATTATAACTAGTAGAGTAGACAAATTAGAGATAATAAATAAATTTAGAGGACAAAATAAATTATCTTTAGAATGAGGTGGAAATGTGGAAAGAAAAATTTGTAATTTTAAATAGAGACTATCACAGAGTTTAGGAAGATTTAATGATGGTTTAAGCAGAATTTGAAGCAATTAATAAGAGAGGATTGGAAATAAAGAATATTAAAGTATATATAATTGGATAATATTATAGGAATCAGCTTGTTTTGAAGTAAGAAAATCTTCATTGTATAAAGAAAATATTGATGTTAAAGCGAGTTAAACTTCGATTAGCAGACTTTTCAAAGAAAATCTTTGAATTGAAAATATATACATATAACTATATAAATAAATTGTATTTAAAGAATTAAATATTTAAACTATATATTTTGTAATATATTATAGAACAATTTTTCATCCTTATGCTAAAAACTGATCCATTTTTTAAGCATTGGTAAATATTTAATTGCTGGCATTCTTTTAGAAAACAGTTTTTGGTTAAGAGGAGCTGAATTTAGAGATAATATTACTATAATTCAGCATTACCAGGCATTTAATAGGCAGGCATTAAGGGATTTGTATATCTTTTACTTATAATTCCTTTTTTAAGTGATCCTGTTTGGACTCCTTCGATGTCTTAAATATTATTAATTTTTCTATAATCTTTTCTATCATTGGCTCTCAAAAAGTGTTGAGAATGAGATCCTGCTTATGCACCTACTATATCTTAGGTAGTTAAAGTAGATGATGCAAATTTATTAATTGCTATTGGATGCAATTATTTAGTTTTACTGCCTTCAACAAAACCGATTTCAATTTTCTTACTAAATTAAGAATTCTTAATACCCATCTTCATCTCTATGAGAATAGACTGGCTCTATTGGATTTGTATTTCTTATGTATTTATGCAGCATATCATTATTGATATCTTTTACTTCTAGAGAATTGATCCCATCTACAAACATATTTATTATAAATATTTACCTTTTTAAACATGTAATTATTTTGAATGTGAGCCTTCAATATCAGCTAAAGGGATAGGTTATTTTTTTAATTTTGGATTAATTATTGATGGTTGAGTTCCTTCAATATCAGTAATATTATAGCTATCTCTGATAAATTTATTATTATAGGGTTCTGCCTATTCATAAGAGGCAATTTTATAAATTGGTTCAAGTGGATTGATTGGTTATCGATTTGTCTAAAACTTACAGATTTATGGGCGTGTTCCTTTGATATCATCAATCATTAATTGGTTATCTGATCTGTTAGTATACCTCATTTAAGGTCGAGATTTTGTTCCTGGTATATCATCATTTCGATTGCAATATTATTCTTTATTGACATATTAATATGGTTTCAATAAAGGAGCTGCCCCATCTATTCCTTCTATTGACATAGTAGATTAAGCTCGATTATCGTAAACAAACTCTCTCTTTTAATTTTCTCATTTAGTGAATTATTCATACTTATAGTAGATAAATTCATTAAATCATTTCGATTTGGAAAAGGCCAATTGTAAGGATCCGACTGCATTAAGTTACAAGACAAATATTAAAATTATTATTATAAATGGAAAAAAGAAATATTTATTTTGCTTCATAAACTATTTTAAAGTGAGTCAGAATCAAGTTTGAAATCCTACTTAAAGAAAATAGAGTTAAGGGAGATTATTAGAAGTGTAAATTTAAACCGAAATAAAAATATGAATATAGAGAAAAGATATGAATAGATTAAATTTATGAATGTAATATAGAATAATTAATCAAAGCCCAATCTTTGATTTAACATATTATTCGAAACTTGGTTAAGTGAGTAAACCTAGAGCTTACTTACTGATTTCAATTTCTTTATTGTATTCAGTAACAGTTCTATTATACAAATCAGTTTCAGCAGCATAATTATCATTTTCTGCTTGTAATTAAGCAGTAAGAGTAGCTCTATCATCTTTTCTTTATCCAACATAGACAATAGTTTCTCCTAATTTTTCTAAATAAATAATTTAAAAATTTTACATTCATTAGCAGCCAATTCAGAATTCTTGATTAAGACTGCTCTTTAGAATTCAGCAAATTCTTTTTCTAATTAGGCAACTCTTTCAGCAAATTTAGTTTCTGCTGCATTTTCATCTGCTGTCTCTTAATTAAGTGAATCAACAAATTGAACTCTCAATTCATTGAAGATCTTAACAAGCTATAAATTAATTAATGAATATTTAAACTTATTAAAGTGATCCTTAATCAGCAAAGTTTTATTCTGTAGCTAATTCAAGAAGTGCTCTGATTATTGGAGCAAATGAGGAATGGTTTTAGAAAGATGATTAGATTCTATTAAGGTTTGTTTAAACTCTTTTGAATTGAACAAGGGATGGATTTGTAATTTATGATAATAATCCAAGTGATTCATCAACAGCACCAATAGCTTCATTGATTTCAGCAATATTTGATAGAAATTGTTCATGTTATTTCTTTCTATTAACAGTTTCTCCATCAAGAACTCTTCTATTTTCTTCAATATTTGTCTTCAATTATGCTAAAGCAGATTAAAATCTCTCTTTTTAAGGTATAAGAACATTATCAATAAAATCTTAACCATTGAAGATATCTATAAATATTAAATGATATTTTTATACCTCTATCAGCATCTTAGATTTCTTATTCTAATCTAGTCACATCTCTATTATGTTCATCTGTTCTTCTAGAATAAGCATGATGAATATCATCTAATTCCTCTTCTAATTAATCAATCAATTGATTAATAGCTTCAACTAATTCTGTCAGAGCTCCTCCACTTGATAATTCAACTTCAGCAAAATCAACTATAAATGATGCCCATTAAGATTCTTTCAATTTTTCAAGTGCTTATGTTGTAGCAACATTATTGAGAGATATCTCAACACTCAACACACTCAAGACAAGACAAGCAATTAAAGCGCTTTTCATTATTTATTTTATTAAATATTAAAAACGACTATTATTACTACAATAATTTATACAACATTTATAAATTCTTAATATTAAATTAATTATTCTTTCTCATTTTTCTATATTAACTCTTCTTTTCAATTATTCTCCTCCCTCCTAAATTAGTTTCTACTCCTATTATTTTCATTACACTCAAATTAATTAATTATTTTCTTATTTTATTACTTCTATTAGATTATTTAAATTCTACTTTCTGCCTCCTTTTCAATATTTCCTTATATTAGGATAGTTTAAGAGTAAAATTATCATCATTTTATTAATTTGAGTACAGATCTAAATTAATACGTTTAAACTCTCTAATACATTTATAAAGTAAATAATATAGCTTAAGTAATCTCAAATAGGGATTCTTTCTACTATCGCTATAAAAGAAGACAACCTATAAATTAATTCCTTGCAAGTATTTAAATTAGATATACTATTACTTAATTATTTTAATTAATAGTCTTATTATGTGAATTAGAATAATTTCAATTCTAATACAATTTATAATGGACCCAATAAGGATATTAAATTATAAGATAAATTAAGAAACCTAAAATATTGCAAACCTTCAAAGTTAATTATTTGATCCTATTTGATTACAAATTTAAGATTGGAGTTAATTTAAGGTTTTAAGATTCATGTTCTAAATCTAGTTTTATGATTGATTTATTTATATAAGTTATCAAAATTATTTAATTCCCAAATTTTAAGAAATTGTAATACTTGCATTGAGGTGAATGATAGACACTTAAAGTTTAAATTTTATTGAGTTCTTTTATAACTTAGATGTTCTAAAATTTAATGTTAAACATAGTTTTTTTAAGTATTTGAATCAAAATCATCATTATGTTCAATTTTTGAAAATTTAATTAAATGTAATTTGGAAATAATACAATCGGGACAATCGAAGAAATAGAATACTTGTAAAACGATATTTTTCCTACTCTTCATATGGCATTAGCTAAATTAGTGGAATATGTAGATAAGACTGAAGAAGTAAATAAACATAAGGAAAGGTTGGAATAAATAAAAGTTTGCGATAAACTAGAAAAAAGGAGAGTAGAAAGAAGTAGATTAAAAAAGGAATTAGGATCAGATTTTGGAAGTGATTCTGAAGGTTAAGCAGAAAACTAAGATAATAAAACAATAAACATTTCATAGGATGGAAAACAATTAGAATAACTCATTCCTATCTAAAATGAATTTCAATAACAATCAGCTAGTTTAATAGATGAACTTACAATGCAAGATATAAAAAAAGAAATTAATCATTTATTAGTGCAGATTGAAGAAGATTAAGGAGAAGAAGAGGCACCTTAAAAACATGAATTAGAGAAATTAAAACTGGAATTAAAAGTATAAAGAGAAGAAATGGATTTCAACCCTTTAATATACTTAGCTTCATAATTAAGACAATTAGCCAAATGATTAAAATAGTTAATGATGAATTGAATCTTATGTTTTTAATAAATATATATATTATCAAAAGGTAAAATAATTATTTTGGTTGGTATGTATGATGATCGTCAAATTAAAATATTTATATTAATATCAAATCTTAAAATTAGGAATCTCCTAGATTTCAGAATCACTGTCAGTTCCATTTATTTATTTCTGTGCTTTAGCATTTACTATATATTTGTTTCCCAAATCAACTGAAGAATCTCCGGAATCTTCACTAAAATCCTCGACTTATACTAAAGGTTTAGTTTATTTAAGAATTTGTTATTGTTGGAGTATAGTTTATTGATTCATTTACTATTAATGTTATTTTTATTCAGATAATGGTGTTAATGCTTATTTCTTAGGAGATAATGGTGCTGCCTATTTTTCTTAGTGAACTTATTACACAGATTATTACACCTATTATTAAACCTATTATTAAATCTATTAATTTAAACTTGAATTAGATGTAAATGGATCATAATAGTTACCTTTTCCAAATAACATTTTATATAACTATGAATCTTTGATAGGATCGTGTTTATTAGAATTCATGATATTTTTCATAAATTCTATTTTGGCTAATGTAGATAATAAATTGTCAAGGTATTAATGACTCTCATTTGATTGAGTACTTAAAAACTTCATAACTGCATCACTCATCACTGATCTTGTTAAACTTAAATAAGTTATTATAGTTATCAATTTTTAAAAGTCATTTCTAATTTGTTCAAATTCTTTAACTCCCTCTTCTCTAATTACTCTTACTATAGCAATCACTGTAGCATCAGAAATCCCTTTGATAATTTAAGAGTTCTTATTCCTATCTCCAGTTATTATACTATTAAGATGAAGGAAACCTGATTAGAATTATTTCATGAATTCATTTTTTAATAGAGATGGATCTATCTTTCTTTAATCACTTTTCATCCACATATTAATCATAGGTTATTTGGTACTTATTGCTTTTAAACCAACTAACCAACAAAATTCAGATTCCTTCTAAGTAAATTACATTATAGATGGATTGTTCATTTTAATATTTTGTAAGCATACAAATTTTAATTTTAATATTTATATATAGTCACATTAGTCATATAATATTTATCTCATTATTCTACTTAACGTAATAAGTCTTGTCTTTATTTTTTTAATAATTCATCATATTTTTCACATGCCAACTACTTCATTCTCAATTCTTCTTTTAACTACTTGATCTCATGATCTTTCTTCAATATTATCCTCTTAACATTTTCTTCTATTTCTTCCAAATTTTATGAATGTTTAATATCCAATTCTCTCACTACATGAATTCACATACATTTACATGTTTCCTCCAATATTTATTTTTAATTTGCCAACTCTAATTATAATTTATTATTCTATTCTGCAAGCCGATTCTTTTCTCGCTCATGTGATTCCTTTATTCCTTTTAATTCCAATTATTATTCTTCTTTAAATTATGTTAGTTTTTCCTTGTATCTAAAATATTAGCAAATTATACAAAAGCATTTCTTCCTTCAATTTTTTTTATTCCTTAAACTATTTCTGATTATCATATTCTTATTTCTCTATCAATCTTTATAAATCTTGATTTGTCTTTTAAACTGCCTAATATTCACTACCTTCTTTATTTTCTCTCTCTTCCAAAGCCTTAATTTACTTCTTCAATTACTTAATTTCTTCATCCTTGCTTCCCTATTAATCTCTTAATTTTTTATCATATTTAATTTAAACATTCTATTCATATTATTATTTCTCTTCAGCTAACTTCTATACTATCTTTTCAATTTTATCATTTCTATCTTATTCCATCTTTTTTTGAATCTTCTCAATTTATCTATTCATATCTGCTTCTGCTCTTATTGTAAATTACTATTTCCAAGCCTCTTAATCCCCTCTTAATGCTTCTTTTACTTCACTTTCCATATTGAAGTACTTTTCTTTATATTCATCTATTTCTTTTTAACAATCATTTTTAATTCTTCTGATTTCCTCAGCTTGAGAATCTGATAGTTATTTCATTCTCTTTACATACGTATCTGCTTCTTCTTTCCTTCTTCTTTCACAATCTTCAATATCCTATTACATTCTTTACTTATATGCATCTCTTTCTTTAGCAAATTATTCCTCATATGTCCTATATAATTCCTTTTATTTTATCAATTAAGCTTCTCTCTCTTTTTATTGAAGTAATTCATATTCAGCTGCCCACTTCTCTTTAAATATTTACATTTTCATTTCAGATTCTTCAATTACTTATATTTTATGAATTTCTTTTTCTTTCTAACATTTTTCTTCTATTCTTTTAATTTCTAATTTATTCTTTTCAATCATTCTATTTAATTCTGGTTCTAAACCCTTTATTGTTTATTCTTTTAATTCTGCTAATTTCTCCTTTTCCCATTTATCTCTTTTCTATTTTTCTTATATTTACCATTATTCATATTTTTATTTAATTTCTCTTGCAAAATTATTCTTTAATTCTTCCAATTACCTCTTCTATTATTTATCTATTCCTTTCAATTCACTAGTCAACTATTCTACCTAATTATTAAGTTCTTTTTTATCATTAATTAATTGATCTATAAATCCAAGATGTCTATTAATAACAACTTCTAATTCAGCCTTCTATTCATTTAATCTACGATTAATGGTTTCTTTAAAATTCTACTCTGATTCTTTCAATTTTAGTTATGATTTTTCAAGTAGTTGTTTTAAATTATCAATAGTTTTCTGTTATTCATCCAATTCAATTTTTTATGTTTAAACAATGCCTTACAATTATTAAATCTTTGACTAATATTCATGCTCCTTTTCAATAGCTTCAATACTTCTCATAGGTTGTTATTGAATTTACTAACTAACTTAAGATGAATCGGATTCTACATTCTCTAAAAATTAATATATATTTTTGATTTTAGTATTAGTGTATTATTGAAGAGAATCTTTAGGTTTTACTTATCCAATTTTCTTTTCGATTTTAATTTAAACATTAGCAGATTCATCTTTATTTATTGATCCTAATCTTCTTTCAATTTTTTTTTCAACTTTGACTTTAGTAGATTAATCTCTATCCTTAAATTCATCTTTAGTAAGCTCTTCAATTTAACTCAATGACAAATTGATATTATTTAACATATTAAAATTATATTGATTTATGTATAATGTTATATAAATTCTCATTATTGTAAACGAACATCAACCATGTCTAAGGCTTTTTTAATAAGTTCTTTAGGATTATTAACATCACTATTGACTAAAATCTATTTGCCTTCAAGTTTCTTAAAAGCATCAAGATATTCTTCAGCTAAATTAAATCTAGCAGCTAATTCTCCTTCTTCTGAATTCATAGCACTAGATATAGCTTCAATTCTTTAAACTGTTGCAGTAGATCTAATAACAATAGATTCAGCTAATCCTTCTGCTTTTAAAATCTTTGACAATCTCTATCCTTCAGCTAAGTTTATTTATGATTGTTATTTTGCTTCAGAATGTAAAATTTATGTTCGTTTGGTCCTCTCAGCTTCAGCTTCCATGTTCATTGCCTTCCTAATATTTTCAGTAACTTTTATATCTTTAATCTCATAACGTAAACATTTCAATCCCCATTCTTATACTGCCTCAGACAGTCCTGCCAAAATTAGAGCATTCATCTTTTCTCTTTCTTCAAATGTCTAATCAAGTGTCAGCTTACCTATTTCAGCTCTCATTACTGATTAAGCAAGAATCTATTCAAACTAAACACTAATATACTTAAGCATAATCAATTGGTTTTTATGCTCCATATGAACATTTAACAGGATCATCAACTTATATATACAATACACCATCTATCTATATGATTACATTATCCTTTGTAACTGCATTCTATGCATAGATCATGAAGGCTTATTCCTAATATCAGTGTCATTTTACTTTTAGTGAATGCTCATATGCAATCTCTTCAATAAAAGGAATTTTCCAATTCAAACCAGGAGTTAAAGTTCTTGTGTATTTTCCAAATCTCTACAATACGCATACTGTTTGATGAGGTACTGGAACAAAAAATGATCGCAATGCTGCTCCCATTGAATAATTTTTATGTTAATAATTATCCTCAAATAAAATATAGATTTTTTTCATTAATACTTAACTCCAGATGTCTTCCTTACTCTACATAATCCACAAAACAAACAAGTCTCTTAGTAATCAGTTTCATTGATATTATCATCATATGCACAAAATTTATTGCTAGAAATATTTTTAAATATATTTACTCAAATATTGTTTATTTTATTCAATCACTTTTCTTTAAATTCTATCTAAATCACATTAGAAATTTATTATTCTAATGTTTTTTCATACTCAATACTATACTATATATATTTAAATAAATAATTTCTATGACTTTTCAGTATTGTATTGTGTCTTAATAACTCAATTCATTGTTTAGCTATTTATTAACAAATAATAAAATTATTCTAATTATAATTTATGCTTAGTATTCTATGAACAGCCTATATATCAATTATTGTCGTTTTGCAAGTCATTTCTAAGACATTTGTATTCTTTTAAGAGAATAACAATTCTTTACTAATAGATAATTCTTACTAATATTAATTTATCTTTTAATGTCATAAATTTAATTTCTTTAAAATCTGTCAATATCGATTTTTATAAAACTTATTAGAAAACAATTGCTATAAATACTAGATAATTTTAAGCAACATATATGAATTTTTTTTATAGTGATTAGATAGAATAGCTTCATTCTGATTTTGTTCAATAAATTTATGTATAAGAATTAATATCTTTCTTCATAATAGCTATCAAAAATAAAAATTCTGAGAAATAAGTTTATTTTATTATTATTATTCGGCTTTAACTAGAACATATGTTTATTTAGTAACAAATATTTGATTTAGCTTTCGGTTGTATAAATAATAAAATTGTTGATCCAAATAAGCAATTTGATATAAATTCATTCTTGGACTATCATTTAATTTCTATAATTATTAAATAAAGATAGCGAGAGATAATTAATTTTATACAAACAAGTATGAATCTACATATTATATTTATTTTGCATTATAGTACTCAATAGAATACAACCCAGTATATTATTTTATTCAGCCATGTATAAAATATTTCTCATTAACTAGAAGAAGAAATATGAGATCTTTATGTAAGATGAATAACTATAAAATTGTAGCTGAACCACAAGCAAAGTAATAATTATATTAATGACAGGATAATATCCAATATCTATCAAAATTTTATTTTCATAAATTACAATTTATTTCCTTATACTTAAAGTATGATCTTTAGAATCTAAAATTATAACTTCTCTCCTTTTCTTTTGGATGAAATTCTAATCATAATTTTATGTTTTTCTCATCTACACTAGTTATTATAAATGGCTCTGCTTTATGAGCATTTATAAAATTAATCTTTATGTGCATCCATTATTGATATTAATTATACATCTCTGCTCCTGATAGTATTTATTCTTAATTCTTTTTTAAGCATATCATTATTTAAGTACATCATAATTCCATAAACATATGAAAATCAAATCCTTTTTAGGATAAAAATATCAAGACATTTAGAGATGAGTATGTCCTGTCAAAATCGCTATAGCTTATCTACTTTGATAAATTTAATAATCTTGCTTTTTAATTCTCTGAACCTAATAATACCCAAATTATTGCATGAAATGTTACACATCTAACATCCTTTTAATATGAATTGACATTATTTGAAATTCCATACTCTAATTATAAAATCATTACTTCCTGAACAAAATAAATTTAATTACACCTTAATGATCATCATATGTTTTTATTTTTTCCTTAATCTTATAATCAATCATTTTAATAATTCGTGAATGAAATGCACAAAACACCCAAGGACGATGAGGATGAAAAGAAACACTTTTCACTCGAACTGAATGTCTACCGAATTTTACGAACATTTTAATTATTTTTTACACGTATATCATAATAAGGAATTGTATATCTCAGGGCAAATCCAATAGCTCAGCACAGGAAATGCAATAGATCCAACACGTAAAGCTCCTATTGGATTTCTTTAAATTATTTAAGTTAGCATTAACAACCCAGTTGAACCGCCTAAAGCATACTTTCTATATCTTCCCTTAAAGCCCATAATATAATTGTCTTTAAACACTATTTTTTAAACATTTTTTTATACATGCTACATCATTTGCCCATATGTTTGTATAAATTTAAAATTATTCAACTCCTTCGTTTATAAATTACATTTTTAATAATCAAATCCATTATACTTTTTTATAAATCTCAATATTTATAATTCAAAATCATTCTTAGATTAACCAAGTACTCATCTATATTTCACAGATACTCATCTATATATTACCATATTTTATAATGAAAAGTTTACTCTCTAATAATAATATAAAATTGAATATTCTGTATATTATAATATTATTCCTTATAAAAATAAATAAATAATGATAAATTTAACATTCTTACTTAAAAAGAAGAATAGAATTTAAAAATTGATTTATATATTTATAAAATAAATTCAGTATTATATTGCAGTATGTAAATTTCTGCAGCTTGTTCTTAACTAAATACTAATTTAGTTTTTTAATTTAATTGCAGGATTCTTTGGAAACCTATTATACGAAGATTACATTCCACTCTGAATATTAGAATCATAGATTAATTCTAATGGTAATCTAGCTACTTATGGTACTGAATTGTATTGAATATAATTGGTTTATTGTATTTATTATTATTAGACTCTTTCCTTACACCATTAACAGATTTATTAAATAATTTCCAGAGATCGGGAATCATTATGTTCTCCATCGACTTTAATTAATTTTTTAATTCCTTTGTGTTATTTATACAATTTTAAACTATTTTTTGCCTTAATAAGGGAATCCTTATCGCTACAAATGTAAAGTGTAGGCATATTTGAATTGCATTAAACTTAGATATCATTTAATTGAAATCCTGCTTCTTCTTCTATAGTTCCTTTAGTTAAGAAGATAATTGCTTTAATGATAAATTTAGGTAATCGAGTTTATTTCTAAATTATGCTAATTGCTAATTTATTGAAATTAGTGAAACAACTATCTAATACCAATCCCTTAACATTTGGCTATTCTTTTAATTAAATAGTTGTTGCTCCTAGAGATCTACCCCATAATATGAATTATTTTTATTGAAATTGTATTTCTAATTCCTCTAATATTGAAGTTATATCATCCTTTTCTAAATGACTAATATTTTATTATATTTATTACCCAAAAGTAATAAAATCTCCTTCAGAATGACCACATGCTTAGAAATCAAATGTACAAAAATTGAACCCAAACTAAGCAACTATTGAAGCATATTTAATGCCTTCTATTCTACACCCATTATAACCATGACAATAAACTATACAATTAGGTGTTTTTGGATTCAACTCAAAATATGACATCTCTAATTTAGAATTTTAACGATTAATAATTATTCTTTCGTGTTTCCTAAGATAACCTTGATGTAGTTAAATGTATTCAGGGCCTAATCAATTAATAACGAATAAACAACCTAAATCAAAGTAACTATAATTATATCGAGGTGGTCTCACAAATTTCTACCATTCTCTTTATATTGACATTTTTTAATTATATTTCTTTTCACTATTGCAAACATATTTCAACACTATATATTAATAAATCTGTATTGTTTAAATAACAAAGTAAAAATACTGTTATATCAACTCTCAATCAGCATCAAATCTTTCCTAATATTGAAGATAACAAAAAATAGAACAAAATGATTTTGGTTGATTATCCAAAAAATCAAGAGAGAAACACCAAAAGCTATACTCTTAAGTTTTTATATTCTTAAAACATATATGAAACTACTAAATTTAGATATTTACAATACTCATTAACTTGTGAATATTGTTATCATGAATATAATTAGAGATTGTGTTAATGTGTTCATTTATTTATTAAAGTATTTGATAGTTAATTTGAAATCAGAACTAAGAAGTAAATCGATATTTTTAAGTTGCATCTTTATGAAAATGTCTAACCCTTTAATTGTTTTTATAACGAATTAAAATTAGTAGTAATGATTTAATGGTTGCTTTTCTCTTTGTGTTCTTAACTCATTATACTGATGTATTTTAATTAGAGGAAAATCAAAGAAGACTTTAAATATTTAGAAAGAGTTCAAAATTTTAGTTACCCATATATATCTTAAATATAAAGACGTAGTTTTTTCATCATTTATCAATCTACATGTAATGAAGATTAAATTTATAATTATAATAGATAAAATAGTTTCTGTTGAATCTTAATTTTAACAATTTAGTCAATTGATTTTCAATATAAAAATTAATGTTATTTTTAGATAGAGGGTCAGAAAAAAAATTTATGTTTCTGGCAGATTTATGCCAAAAATTTTATGTAAATCTAATATGATGATAATCATATAACAATATAGTTCACAAAACTGATTAGCTTAATATGAGTTTTTTATAAGAATAGGAATTTTTGATTAATTCTGATTGTATACCTATATAAATATTTAATCTTTGTTTTTTTAAATACACAAACTCTTAAGATGTAAAAACCAGAATACATATATAATCATCAAAGTTAAGCATTAGATATTCTATCAATTGGAACAGCTACTTGTAGATTTAAATCCATTCTTTATTTGAATAATAACATTATTTTACCAATAGCAACATCTATTGCTGTTTATGACAATATGTAAAATATAAACTTATTTTATAGAACATTTAATAAAGTTGTATAATTTCAAACAAATCAAAGTACAATATATAGTTTAATTAATAACACTAATTTTATTTATGCAATTGGTCATGATGGAGATATATGTTAGTTGGATATCAAAACTTACTAAAAAGTGAATTACATAAATCAGTAATTAATGAAATATATTTAATAGTCGAATAGGTTCATAATGTAGATGGTCATCAATTGAAGGTGAAACATTAATGATAAGTGCTGAACACTCAAAAAATAAAGGAACTATATAAGTTTTAAATGCAACGACACTTAAATAGATTAAAGTATATGAAGGCTGTTATTTTTATGGTTGTGTTTAAAATTCAGTTTATTATTTATTAAAATCCAAAAGATTTGGAAAATTAAGTAAAAATGAAAAAGCTGCTTTAAAATATAAAGATTTAAAAAAATACAAGAACAATAAATAATTTTTATTTGATCTTGAAATTCATAGTCAATAAGGATTAGAAAGGGTTTTACCATTTGAAACTGAACCAGGAGATATTTTAGTTATTGCTTAAAGTCCTAAATATATAGCTTATTTTTATTATGATAGAAGAATACTTATTTATGATATAGAAAAGTGTTAAATTCATATTCATAGAGTTGATGGAAATGGAGTATTATAAGCAGCTTGTTTTTAGAATGATTTTGAATTAGTATTTTAAAATAAGATTAAAGAAATTACTATCTTAAACTTATAAACTATGGAAAAGATTGTTTAGTAATATAAATAAGGATTAAATACATAAGTGTAAGCGATCTATAAATAGAATGAAATTTTAATAACTGCATCAGAAGAAAATGTAACAATTTATAAAAGTACTCATGTATTACACAAAGAATTTGGAGGATTAACAAAATGTGGTATAGATTTTTATAAAAATGATTATGTTGTTAGTGGTGATTTTTTGGGAAATATTACAATTAATTAATTAGATACTGGAAAAGTCAAAAGTGAATATTTTATAGGATCACCAATACGTTCTATTGCATGCAAAGATAATATCATTTATATTGGTACAATGGAAGGATAATTATATAAATATCAAGATGATGAATGTTATTAATTTGATTAAATTGAAGGATCAATTACTTGTATTAGAGTTAAAAAGGATGATTTGCTAATTTCTTCAACTCATGGATTAGTGAGATTGTATAAAAATGAATAACCCTTATTCACATTTTTAGCTCATCCTCCTAAAGAGAAATCTGAATTATTTGGATCACTTAACATACATGCAGATATTTGGACCTGTATATTCAATCCAGAATAAGATATATTTGCTACAGGTTCTGAAGATTAATGTGTTAAAGTTTTTGATTATAGTTAAAAGTAAATTGTTGAATTGACTGGACATAAATTAGCTGTTACTTGTTTAGATTGGAAACACTCATAAAATTAATTAATATTGTATTCTTGTAGTGATGATAGAACAATAAGATTGTATGATTAATCATATAATCTCATCAAAGTAATTAATACATTTTTTATTAACGAATGGTTTACATTGACTTATATGAGTGTCTTTTAGAACCTTCTAGCTATTGGTTGTTAAAATGGATATTTCTTTTTATATGATTAGTAACAAGGAGATTTTATTGTTGCATAAAAAACACATATGGGTGGAATTGAAGGATTAGTTATGAATTCTAAATATATTGCAACCTGTTCAAGTGATGATTGTGTAAATGTTATAAAAATTAATTGATATTTTATTTTTATTTAAGTTTTATTATGTTATAATAAAGTAAACAATTGAGATAACAATATGAACAAGAACTAGAATAGCAACTTTCTATTGATAGAAAGGCAAAGTTCCAGTATTATTAAAATCAATTACATCCAAAGCCTAAATTCTTTAAATGTATTAAAACACCAAACAGATCCTTTTTATAATAATCTATCAAAATACCAAAAGTGGAATAAAGTTATAGAGATTTTTAAGACATGAAAAACTCTTTGTTTTAAGAATAAATTTCAGTTATTTAATCTTTCTGTCATTGCAAATTAGAAAAGTTGGCATAACTATTATAAAATCGGAAATTTTAAATAATAATGAGAGACACAAAATAGATAGCCAATATTATTCTTTTTTGTAAGACTAGAATACAGAATCTAAAAAGGCATGTTTGGTGTGAATTTATTAAGAACTATAATAAATAAGTTTAAAAGTAATAATATTAACAAATTGCCATTGATTTAAAAGTGCATATACAGCATCTTTTATTAAAATCAATTTTATTTTAGTGGAGCATTATTACAAAGAAGAAAAAAAGAGCAAATAAAGCTGTTATTATTTGGTTTTTTAAAATTTGGAAGTAATATGTTTAAGAGAAAAAAGGAAAGAAATTATATGCTTATTAAAGAATTAGAAAATTATTTTAATTTTGGAAATTGAGAACTTCGTTAAAAAAAGTGAGAGTCAGATAAGAAATAATAGCAAAGCATCATTATAATAAAACACTTGCACTTTGTGTTTTTGGATTACTTTAATAAAACATCTTGCTTAATAGAGGAAATTAATCATAATACTCAAATGAATTTCTTAAATCAGATTCCTAGATTTAGACTATAAAATTACAATTATGAGAATATTTATTTTTTAATTAATTTTTTTTATATGAGTTAATACAACAATAATCAAGATATTTAGAATCCTAACCAATAATAATATTCAGATAGAGTAAAGAACATAAGTATAAAAATTTATGGAAATGGTTGAAAACACTCCTAACGATAAATTCATAAATAGACCATTTTTAGGAAAGATATGCAATAAATTTTAATAGTATTCTTTAAAGGAATATGAAGATGTGTCAAACATTGAAATATTACACAAAATAATTTAAGAACAATATGCAAAAAGAAAATTTGAATAAAAATAAAAATTATCTTAATCTCTTAACATTTTTTCTGATTGGAATGATAAATTAATAATGTCACAATTTAATTAAATTATGAAGATTCTTAATAGTTCTAATAAAAGCATTTACTTAAGAAAAGACATTAGAGTCTTTAAATAATTAAAATGAATTTTAAGATTCAATTAAGATTTCTCCAATTTAAGTTTTAAAGAAATAATTGAATTAAATAAAAAAAAAAGAATTTCAAAATGATGATCATGTAAATTATTGTTTTAAATATAATAGATTTTATGTTTTGAAATATATAAAATCATGTTATTTCCTCACTTAATTTTTAAACAATTTTAAAGATATGATATAGAAAGTTAGAGTGTATATTTTTAGCTTCAAAAGAATCTATAAATTGAAATTAGAAGTAATGAATAAGAATAAATAAATTCTTTAAATATAAATTCAATAATGAAATGGATTCCATCTAGTTTCTTTAAGATTAATATTCTCCCATTTTTAGGTATATTGGAAATTTTCAAATTAAGAGCAGTTTGTAGATAATTTAAAATTATGTAATGAGTATTATTAATATTTTAGAGTGGAATAATATTGGTATATACCTTTTAAGAGAGAGATGATAGAATAAGAACTAACAAGAGAATTAGCTTTTAGCATTGAATATATAAAAAACTTTTAGATTGCTGCTTAAGCCCTTCAAAATAAATTAAGATTTTGCATAGAGAATATAATGGATATTATTGATTGGCAAATTTTGGAAGAATAAATATAAAGTGATTAAATATAATTATTTGTTAACAGACCTCTTATAATGATGCTTAGATTACTTGATAAATAATAAGAAATGAGTTTTCCTTATTAAATTGATGGATAATTTTGTATTAGAGAATTGTCAAAAAATATTAAATAATAAATTTTAGATTATCTAAATTTGGAATTATTATTAATTTTAACCTTGTAATCAATCCTGAAATAGGTTTGAATCACTTACTTACATTTTTAGTATAAGCTCTATATTTTCATGGTTGGATGCTTTAGATAAATAACATTTATAAGGAATCATTAAAACAAAAAAATAGTAATATTTTTCATTTAAGTTTTAAGTTAACTTAAAATTCTTGATGAAAAATAAAATTATAACAGAGACTTTATGAATAAGCTTGTTAAAAGATTTATAAAGTGATTGATTATTCACCTACCAAGGATATTGAAGAACAATAAGAAATAATGAGCAAATTAGTATATTTAGAGATAAAATATTTAGGACTAAAAATTAAAAGAAAGTTTAAGAGAAATAAATTTCTCTGTTGATGCAAACCCTAATTCTAATTCTTCTATAATAATAGAGCAAAATAATGCTCTTACTAATATTCATTTAGATATATACTGTTAAATTGAACTATTAACTTATGTTTGTGCTGGATAAAATTATTACTTTTAAGATATAGTTGATTAACAGAAAGATTTACAATAAAATTAAGTTGATAATTTAAATAAAATAGATGGATATTATAATAATAATGAATAAAAGTCTTAAAAAAATTAAGATTAAAACTATTCTGAAGAGAAAAGGTTTATTTAAAATAATGAAAAGTATGACTTATCAACAAATTTAAATAATTAATAAAACTAACTTGATTGATATTAATTTAATTAAAGATTTATAAAAATAAACAAATATACATTTATTATTTTTAATAAATAAACAAACTAAAATAATTTTAAATAATTGAATTTCCATATTATCAAATCAAGATTTATGATATAATTCATTTTTTAGAAAAAATCTTTTAGTAAGCATAAGCTTCTGATAAGCAAAGACTTAAATCTGATTCTGACCATTCCCTCGTTGGTATTTTTTCTAGAAGAATCATAATTTCATCATATTATAATTTCTAAATTTTAAGAGAGAATTTCATCAAAATAGAAATAATAATGAAGAGGCACAATTCAAAATAATCTATACTGAATATAAATCTTACTTTTTTCTTCAGCTAATAAAGTGTCAAATAATCTGAGACCAACTTCGAATTAAAACATTCTTAATAACATACAAGTACTCCATTTAAATACAAATGCATATAATTCCATAGCTATAATGAAAATAGATTGTTACATAATGAAGTATTAAGATGTTCATAAAGTTTCTTATCTAATGCTTATAATATTTCTTTAAATTTGTTATAGAATCGAACTAATCCAGGTTACGAATTTGTATAGTTATCAAGAACACTTTCTAATAATTTACATAAACACCAATAAGAATCTGCTTCTACTTATCTAATTAATCTTTAATCTAAATGATCTAATTGTTTTTCATTAGTGAATTTTAATTTAGTAGTTTCAATATCAACATAATCAGACAAAAATACAACTAGGAAAGGAGCTACTATGTCATTCATTCCTTAGACATATCCACATGCAGGATTTCTTATATTCCATATAAACAGTATTCTTTCAAGCAAAGTTTAGATTTAAGGATTTCTAAACATTTAAGAGTCTGGTATTGTACGTTTAACATCTTCAGAAATTTATTTTAAAATCTTTTTTTCTCTTTCATCATATTGTTAATTTTGAGCAAAATAAATATCACACATCTCAAAGTACATACTTCTTTTTCTCTCTATAATTGAAAACTAAAATGTCTATTATCCAAAATACATTTGCATCTCTATTTGGAGATTAATATTTTAATAAAAGTCTCCATACAACACTTCTAAGTTCACTAGGCACTCCTGACCAAGATAAATGAATTAGTTCATTTATAGGTATTATATTTTAATGTAATAAATCTTTAAACTTTTCTATCATTACTACAAAAAGATATACAAATTTTTGAACCATCTTCTCTATCAGTTTCTCTATTGCATGATTTGTATTCTTCATTTCTGTTATAAAGAGTGGCAATATTTACTTTCTAAATTGATAACATAATAATATTTAATATAAGTATTTTCATATTTTTTCATTTCTTAGTAGCACTTAATTGTAAATTACGGTTTCCAACATCCTTAAAGTCGATTACTCTAATTACATGTTTTCAAATAATATTTCATATTCTCTCTTATGTGGTCTTTATAACTGTCTTGCTTATTATTAAATCATTATTTCTCTTAATTCATCACCTAATTATTCAAATTACTAATTTAATTCCTAATCATTCAAGTTTTATATTTATTCTTTTGTTATTTTGATTATTATCATATTTGTAATATTAGTCTTTTAAATCATTTCAAATAGTTTTTGGACTTTCATTAATCTTTCCATTGTAACATTATCTGTCTTTATTAATTCCAACATAATTTTCAATAGTAAATAAACTAATTTGAATTTTATATCAAATATCTTTACTTTACCTTCCNTAATTGTTTTTCATTAGTGAATTTTAATTTAGTAGTTTCAATATCAACATAATCAGACAAAAATACAACTAGGAAAGGAGCTACTATGTCATTCATTCCTTAGACATATCCACATGCAGGATTTCTTATATTCCATATAAACAGTATTCTTTCAAGCAAAGTTTAGATTTAAGGATTTCTAAACATTTAAGAGTCTGGTATTGTACGTTTAACATCTTCAGAAATTTATTTTAAAATCTTTTTTTCTCTTTCATCATATTGTTAATTTTGAGCAAAATAAATATCACACATCTCAAAGTACATACTTCTTTTTCTCTCTATAATTGAAAACTAAAATGTCTATTATCCAAAATACATTTGCATCTCTATTTGGAGATTAATATTTTAATAAAAGTCTCCATACAACACTTCTAAGTTCACTAGGCACTCCTGACCAAGATAAATGAATTAGTTCATTTATAGGTATTATATTTTAATGTAATAAATCTTTAAACTTTTCTATCATTACTACAAAAAGATATACAAATTTTTGAACCATCTTCTCTATCAGTTTCTCTATTGCATGATTTGTATTCTTCATTTCTGTTATAAAGAGTGGCAATATTTACTTTCTAAATTGATAACATAATAATATTTAATATAAGTATTTTCATATTTTTTCATTTCTTAGTAGCACTTAATTGTAAATTACGGTTTCCAACATCCTTAAAGTCGATTACTCTAATTACATGTTTTCAAATAATATTTCATATTCTCTCTTATGTGGTCTTTATAACTGTCTTGCTTATTATTAAATCATTATTTCTCTTAATTCATCACCTAATTATTCAAATTACTAATTTAATTCCTAATCATTCAAGTTTTATATTTATTCTTTTGTTATTTTGATTATTATCATATTTGTAATATTAGTCTTTTAAATCATTTCAAATAGTTTTTGGACTTTCATTAATCTTTCCATTGTAACATTATCTGTCTTTATTAATTCCAACATAATTTTCAATAGTAAATAAACTAATTTGAATTTTATATCAAATATCTTTACTTTACCTTCCTAAAAAACTCTACTTTAATCTTTCAATATTAATGTTATTTAGTAATTATTTTATGAAAACCTTAGTTTCTTTAAGAATTTTTCACAAAGTTTTATAACATTATCAATATTTTAACACACATTTAACATATCTCTAATATTTTCTATAATTTCGTTTCTCTCTATCCAAAATTAACCAAACTAATAACTTAATTATTCATTTATTGTTAATGATAAAGGAATCCTAATATCACTTATTTCTCCTGAATTCATTCTCTTAGATATAAATCGTATACTCTTTTTAAAACTATCATTTTTCCCTTCATTAATCCAAATATGTTCAAATAATTCTTAATAACTTATTCTCTTTTTAGAATCTACTTAAAGCATCTTTGAAAATAAATCTCTCAATTCTTAAGAAATCTATATCTTAGCTGGATATATAACCTTTTATTTTAATTATTATATATACTTCTTATTTTTATACTATCTCTGAAAATTATTTAAGTGATGTTTTTTATGTAATAAATTATTACAAATAGCTATTACCAAAAGTCATGATATATAAAATCATTCCTAAAGACCAAATATCACATTTTTCATCATATTCTCCCTTTCCACATATTATTTCAGGAGCCATTGTAATCGGAGTCCCACAATATGATTACATTTAATTATCAAAATCTCTTGCAAAACCAAAATCACCTAATTTTATTATCCACTCCTAATTTATATAAATATTTGCAAGTTTAATATCTCTGTGTACTACTTTCTATTGATATAAATATTTTATTCCTCCAATTATTTATTAAAATATTGCTTTTACCTCTTCTTCTGAAAATTTATTTTTTTTAAATAATATTTCTAAATCACCATTACTACAATACTCAAAAATAATATAAATATATTTGTCAGCCTTAAAACTATCATACAATTCAACTATATTTTTATCTTTCAACCTCTTGCAAATTTCTATTTCTTTTTCAATCATTTAATATTATCTCTTATCTTATATAAAATCAAGGTCAAACTTTGAAATGTTGATTTCCTTAATCGCTACTTATCTTTTAAAGTTATCATCCCATCCTAAATACACTATTCCAAAAGCCCCCTTAAAATATCTAAATATAACTTACACTTCCTATTACTTTTTAAAAGTAGTATTGATTTATTTTCTTAAAATGCTATTCTTACATATAAATTTAATTAATATTAATAATTATGTTAAATTTATATAAGGGCTAGAGATTTTAGATGTTATGCAAATATTTTAATTAATGTATGTGTTAAAAAACTAAATAATATCTATTTATTTTCTGGATTGTATATTTTTCAATTTATATATACTTATATATATTATTATTCTTATTTAATTCTAATATTTTTATTATAAAAGATACTTAAAATAGAAATCATATTGTATATCCTTCTAAGTTGAAAATAAAGTAATAATCTATTGATTTACATATATGTGATAAGATTTTATTCTTGATCAAGAATTTTACATGATCATATTAAAAAATGAGATATTGTTAAAATATTTAATACAATCTTTTAAGCAAAATATCATCAGATTCTGAGCATAATCATTTATTAAACTTTAAATATTTTGTTATCTTTAAAGAAAAAGTAAAAAAAAAGAAAAGAACCTGAAAAAAATTTTTGAAAATTAAAAACAATCATATTGTATTTTTTCATAAAATATAAAATAGTGAATGAATAAAATTTAAAGATCTTTATGTCTAAGATAATTACTTTGATTATTTGTTAAAATTTAGTCAATATGATATTTGATTGGATTGTAATTCAAATTTGAATTCTATGATGTAATGTTTTTGAATAATATGAAGAAATAGTATTGAAATGAAGAAAAAAGAGTAGCAGCATATTTTTGATAAATTTGGTTGTAAAATTTGAATAATATATATGAATAATACTTCATATATTTATATATTTAAATAAATTTAGATTTATTGAAATATATTGTATTTTGCTATATTTAAGTGTGATCATTGATTTGGGAAACAAATAAGAATTTAAATTTTTAAATATCTAAATGAGCACAAGAGAAGAACTTATCTATATGACTAAATTGACAGAATAGACAGAGAGATTTGAAGATATGGTGAATTACATCAAATAAGTGGTTCAAAATGGCTAAGAGTTGTCTATTGAAGAGAGAAACCTTCTTTCTGTTGCTTACAAAAATAGTATCGGTGGAAGAAGAACAGCTTGGAGAGTCTTATCCAGCATTGAAAACAAAGAAGAAGGAAAAGTAAGAAATAAAATTTAAATTTTAGGCTCAATCCCAACCTGCCTCATAAAAGAATCTTGTGTTGATTAGAAGCTATAAGAAAAAGATTGAAGAAGAGCTTAATCAATATTGTCATGATATCTTGAATTTGATCGACAGCCATTTGATCAAAACAGCTTCAACTCCTGAAGCCAAAGTTTTCTTCCACAAGATGAAGGGAGACTATCACAGATACATTTCTGAATATGCTTCTGGTGATTAACATAAGAAGGCTGCTGATGGTGCTCTTGCCGCTTATTAAGCTGCTTCAAATGTTGCTAATTCAGAATTAAAAACTACAAATCCAATCAGATTAGGACTCGCTTTGAATTTTTCAGTTTTCTACTATGAAGTCTTAAACGATGCTGCCAAGGCATGTTAATTAGCTAAATCAGTAATTCAATCTTATTAATCTCTTATAGGCTTTTGATGATGCTATTGCTGATATTGAATAAATTTAAGAAGATCAATACAAAGATGCAACTACCATCATGTAATTAATTAGAGATAATTTAACATTATGGACCTCAGAACTTGATGATGAAGGTGGTAACGTTGAAAACCTTTGAGAAGGTTATCATTTATGATATATATATATATATATAATTATATATAAAAGAAACATATAAAATAAAATATTGTTATTGCATATAATTAATTTTAAAAAATAATAAAAAACAAGAGGTCAACAATTACATTACTATTATTTTTCATTTTCATCTACTTTTTTTGAAGTTAAGAATTTAGGTTTGATCATCTCTCCATCTATTCCTCCTTACTATAACAGATCCAAAACTTTTAAAGTGATTTGAAAAAATGCATCGTTAACTTAATGACCAGTTGTTGCACTTGTCTCTATATATTAAACATCATTCTCCTAACAAAATTATATCGCAGATTATTAGGAAATCACTCTTATGTGATAAATTTAATTTTACCTTTCTTTTTCTAGATCTATTTTATTTCCTATAATAATAATTTAAATAGATGGTTTAGAAAAATCTCTGGCATGTTTTATCCACTCTTTAAGAGCCTCAAAAGAGTCTGAACTATTGTACTGTATATTTGTACTTAGTAACATCAAATACAATTAATGCTCCTAATGCTCCTCTATAGTAACCCTTTGTTAAAGCTCGATATCTCTCTTAGCCAGCGGTATCCCATAATTACATTTTAATTCTCTTTTATTTCACTTAAATTATCTTGGCAGAAAATTCAACTCCTAATGTTTGCTTAACATTTTAAATTTCTTAATTCATCTAATTAATTACATGTCCCATGAATATAATGATGAAGGAGACTTGTTTTACCACAATTACCATTTCCAATAATGATGAATTTGAACACATAATCACATTATTCTTCAGTCATTTTTACAAAAAATATATTATTAGATAAATTATTACAAAAACAACCAATAAAATAAGATATTCATCCATAAAATAATATATAAACATTTTTATTCATACATTAAAATGATTTCTTCTAATCTAAAACCTTTTAAAAAATGATATATTTTCTATAAAATGAGTAATGATTATTTTCAAGAAATATAAAATATAATTCATTTATATTTATTTTTATAACCTCATTTCACATTTTATTATTCATAAGTGGTTAGATCTTGAATAATTTAGTTTTAGGAGAAAAAAATAATTAAATCAGACATTAGATAAATTATATGAATAATAATTTGAGTTTTAAATTTATATTGATATTTAATTATTCCTTAAATATGAACGAGTAAGATGATGAAATACTTGTTGAAGAGATCTTATGCTGTTAAAACGATGATGATATAAAAAGTCTTGTTGATTCTCAGTGTTTAGATATAATTGGAAACTCTTTGTAAGATTAATTAAAATTGGCACATAAACAACTTTTTCGAGTTATTAGAATATTTAGAGAATTTTTGAATTCAAGTCCAAATTAATTTATGGAGTTAAAAATAAAGAAAGAACAGAATTAAGTTTTGTAATAGAATTACTTAATAATTCATCATGAGTTGTAAAGAAACAAAAATAGAGTAAAGCAAATTGAAGAAATAAATAGTGAACTTAAACTTTAAATAAAATTATACGAAGGAGATTTTGAGACAATTAGATAATCAAGTTTTGAAGATATAAAAAAAGTGGAAGATTAATTAGTTAAAACAACTAACTAAATTTCTCTTTATAAAAATTCACTGATTTAAAAGTTTTGTGTAATATGTCTCTAAAAGGAATATTGTATATTACTGAAACCTTGTGGACATATTTGTGTTTGTGAAGAGTGTTCAAAAAAGATTGAGCATTGTCCTATTGATAGACTCAAAATTTTTAAAATGAAGAAAATTTACTTATCATGATTTATAAGAATTTATTATGCTCATATAGATTTTCATTAGTTTATTAATATTTATTATCATCTATCGCAGGTTATTTGTTAAAAATATGAAAATCCTATTTTTTTAACTTTTTAGAAGAAATAACATTATAATTAGTTACTTATATAATATAAAGATAAAGTCAAAACTTTTGCTTAATAAAATAAATAATAAATTAAGATGAATAATATCAGCAAGAGAAAGATTTAAATTTAATCTAAAATTAGTTGTATATTTTTAAATCTATAATATAAAAATAAAAATTTTAAATAGATAGCAAGAAAAAGATAAGAAGAGAAGTGCTGCAATTTAATATATTTAAATTCTATATGTATATCTTTTATTTTTCTCAATATATTTATGATTTTCAAATTTATCTAAATATTAATTTAATTTAATTTTATTAAATATCAATTTCAGAAAACAAATAAAATTATGGATTTCAGTGTTTATTCTAAATATATTAAATTAACGACATGAATATATAATTGATTATTTATTCTTCTCAATGAAACTTCTTCTTTCTAGTACAGAAATCATTCAAAAAACAATTATTTTAAAAATAAGTATTTAAATAATATTTGATAAATTAGTTTTAAGAAAGTTAGCTAAGATTAATCTAAAATAGATTGTCTAATCCTAAGTCGATTATTAAAGTGATTAATTCAATGGTTATAAATATATTGGATTATAAATAAGAAGTTTAATCATAAATCACTGTTTCGATGATCAAGATTATGATTCCAAGTGAATTGATCCTCATAAATATCATTCACTTTTTAAGGAATAGGTGTGAATTATGAAAATTTCATAGAGAGTCTTTATTTACTGGTAATTGACTCAAATAAGAAAGCTTCAAACTTTTTTACTTCTGGTGATGACATCATTTATTCAATTTCCTATGATTGATTTCTTTAATTAGACCTATCAGATTTTGAGTTTAAATCTTTCGTGGATTAAGTGAGTTTTAGCTTCATTTTATTCATTAGTAATTTATTTTGCCTATATTTATTCTAAAAATAAAATTAATTAGACAAAATTTTGCACTGGAAGTAATAAAATCAACCTAAATTAATAAAGGTGATGTAAATCAAAATCAAGTGTTCTCTAAAGTATTTTGTGTTACCATAATAATCAAAAATATATTACTTTCTGTTTATATTTTTGATTAATTTAAATAAATCTGTTATGAAGCAATACAATAATTATGTTCCATTTTTGAGACTAACAGATTGATTATTAGATAATTCAACTCCTATCGGAAATTAAACTTGAGACAATGATTAAAATGAAAGCCAAAGCTATTATATAATTCAAATATTCTAAATGGGTTTAAAATAAAAATAGATAATCATATAAAATACTCTGCTCTACTTTAAAAGTGTTTTACTTTAATACATCAAGAAATACGCAAAACTTCAAAAATAAGTTTGAGGCCAGTGAAAGAAGGAGATAAAAATAAGCAAAATCTTAAAAAACCATTAATTCAAGCCTAATCACCTCAGTAATCAAAAATCAGCAAATTATTGGTAACAATGTAAATTTAGGGTGTACCTACAAAGAATCCAAACGTTAAGTAAGGTAATGAATATTTATTATAAATAGTTCTTGTACATAAAAATTATAGGGTTTTCTATCATAGAATTAGTTTACTTATTGATAATATTAAAATTATTGAAAATTTCAGATGTAATTTAATGATGATAATATGAATTTCATAAATCTGCAAAATATCTAAATCTTAGGATTTTTATCTATATATAGAGTAAAATGATATAAAATGATTGAAAAAAAACAGAATAATTTAAGTTTTAAATTTACACTGAAAGCACAAAAATAAATGATTATGATGATAGTTTTTGCCATTTATTAACTAATTATTAAAAAGCAAAATAAATAAAAATGATTGGAATAATAGTATCAATAAAGATGGATCAAATTTATGAGTAAAATAAAATAGTAGAGCCATAAGCTTTAAAAGGATATAAAAAGATTTTATTAATAAAGTGAAAATGAGTAAAATGTAATTATTTGTAAATTACAATTTATATCAAATAATATAAGGAGCTTAGTTCTATAATCAATAGAAATCAACTTTTAAGATATATTGAAATTCTCTCATTCATTTCTCATCAACTAATAAATTACATGTTAATTTTCCATATGAATATAAAGAATAAATTATATATATATGAAAAGTTCATCACCAAAAAATTAATTAGTAATTGAGAAAAGAGGTCTTAGTGAACATGTTTAAGCTACAAGTATAAACTCAGGAAGTAGAAAATCATCCATTATGACGAAGGATGGCAGTATTTTAAAGGGAAATCTATTAGGCATTTAAAAATAAACAGAGATTAATAACTCTTAACTCAAGAAGATTTCAAGTGCTGGAAAATTACTGATACCCAAAAGTTAATATTTTATGTAAATTTTTAGATGATTAACAATAATAAAAATAAAAACGATTTTCATCAAAAGAAGGAGATGGATAAAATGTAATTAGATCAGGTTATTTATATAAATAAATTTCTCCAAAAGTAACTATGTAAGAAGATAAAATGAACGTTGTATTTGTTCAGGAACTTAATAAATATTAAATAAATAATGAACCGACATCACCAAAATCACCAAAATTAACAGATACTCATTTATTTATGCATGAAATGACATAAAATGGATTTTAATTAAAAGGACCATAATCACCTCCTTCTCATGATATTCTTGCAAATGGTTAATTAAAAAATAAGATACCCAAAAGTGTTTTAAGTCATCATCCAAACCCAATAACAGCTTCTGGAAAGAAGGTTAATGAATCAAAAATTACCAAGCAACATCAAAATACAGTAACCTACTATTGAAAATGATTTGTAAATAGATTAAACAACTTTTTTCTATTATTATGCTTTCTTATTTTAATTTATTTTTATTGATTCAATTAATATTTACTACAATTATTAATTGAATTGTTTACTTTTTACATTCAATTATAAAATATATTATTATTTATGTTATTCGTTTCTGCAGTGTAAAATGCATTGAGCTCTCCTAAATATAAATCAGCAGAAAAATAATCAAAGAAATAAAAATCATTTATTGATAGTGAATAATTAACTACTCTATTGTAATTAGAAGCTGTTTTTCACGAAAGAATTTATAGTATTGATCATGTTACAAAACTGCTTGAAATTTATAATTATTTAGTAGAATAATTAGAACCTAATTTATAATCCTTAAAAGATTACTTCATAGAAAAAATGGAATTTTTATTGAGCAGACCCGAAACTATTTAATTAATGATGGATAATGATGAAAGATCAACAGATCTTTAAAATAGATTTACTACCTTGATAAATACTTAAGCTCTTGATTAACTTAAAATTGATGAAGAATAAAGATTTAATCGGCCTTTTTTACAATAAAATTCTGATTCCAATTCTAAAATGAGATTTAGTGTGTTTAAAAAGCATTAAGCTAAAGAAAAGGAAATTTGTATGGAGGTTTAAGAAAGAAAATAAGATTAAAAAGTTGATATGAATTATCTTTTATAAGAGTATGATTAGATTTCAAAAGAATATGATTCTGTAATTAAAAAATAACTTCAAGATTAAAATAATACTATCAATCAAAGAATGGCTAATAGAAAAAATAAGAAAAAACGAACAAAATAATCTAATTCATAAGATAACAGAAAAACATCTATAATGAATCCTGTTAGAACCACTCTTTCAAAATGGAAGTTAATGACAGAAATTTAAGAGAGTGCTCAATTTTGGCGTCAATCAATAAATAAGATAAAGAAATGATATGACTTAATTTTATAAATTTCTATAAATTATATATTCAGCAAGTTAATTTGATTTAAGATTCCATTATTATTAATTTTTATCCTACTTTTGTTCTCCTAGAAGTCTTACTTCTGCTCAAATTTCCTTATTCTACATAAAATCATAAATACCTTTCTATTTAACTTATTAACTATTTTCTTATGAACTATTTTTTGAAATACTTTAACTAACTAAACCTCTTTTTCTATCTTACACAGAGATATTTTATATTATATCTTGTATATTTGAAAGAGAGTTATTTTTGCTTTTTGATTGTTTTACATAGCTTCTATTGCCATCCTTTTATTAAATTACTTTTAATAGATCCTTATTTGCTGAATTACCATAATTAATGATGTTATAGTAATTTTATTTCAAGGATTATTAAGATTTTATAGGAATCTCATTATCATCAGTTTTTGTACCTTTGTATTATTATTTTTAATTTCCTTTATATTCTGAAAAAGATTTTTCAATCTTTTAGTCTAATTTTATAAGTATCATCTACTTTATAATTGAAATAATTAAGTGATTGGCTGTTAAGGTACTTTAGAATTTGGTTTTAATTAGTCTCTTTGACTAACATCTGAAGATTTTTTTATGTTCTCCTTTTCTAGACCATTTATTATTTATTTTAAACATATAACTTCATTTTTTAGTTTCTATTAGACTTCATGATATGTTTAATTTTCTCTTTTTAAATTCTATCTAATTTTGAATATTTTACACTAATTAACTATTTGGTTGTATTGAATAATTCAACTCTATTAGCTTCACTTTCATCTAATTTAGTTTAAATTGATTCAGCATATAATTTAAGTTATTATTCAATCTAAAATAAAAGTTATTTTTACTCTTATGTGATTTCGTATTTCTACTTCATACTTTATCATTGTTTATTCCAATTTTTCATATTCTTCTTCTGTTCTGATATTATATGTTTATGATAAGTTAGGATCTACTTGATTTTCTAATTTGCTTAATAAGAAATTAATTTAACTACTTACGATATTTTTTTTTCTAATTTTATCATCATATTAGTAAATACTGCCTTTATTATTCCTATTAGATGGGACAAATTTTCATAATCTTTCAGTTCTTCTTGTATTTAATTAAGTTCTTCCCTAGTATTAATAAATTTTTCAGCATTTAGTAATATTCTCTCTAAAAGGTCTTTGAGATTATTTTCTAGTTGTCTTTCATTAATGCTTTCCTAAAATAAATTAGATTCCTAATTCATTAACAGTAATTTAATAAAAATATTATATTCAAAATTTTTAAGGTTAGCTTACCCAAGATTAATTGAGTAAAATTCTATTTTATAATATTGTTTGATCGGTAAAAACTATTAAATATATAAATTTGTTATCTTTTTAAATAAAAATTAGAGTTGCTGATATAATTTTTAATTCTAGAAGAAAATAACAACTTTAATTTATTTATATGAAATTTAATAAGTTTTAAAGGAAAATTTCAAATAATAATATAAATATATTTTGAAAATATCTTTTCATACTGCATACTGCAATAAATAAGTGAAACAAAAATATAGATAGAAATAATCTGAATTGATAGATAAATATTTGATTAATTTCATTATTGTGATGACTTTCTTTTTGCTTATTATTAGGGAATAGAAAGTGAATGTTATGAACTTCCTTTTCTGATTGAAAAATTAATATTGTTTTTAAATTTTTCAACAATAGTATTAATTTTTTATGCTTCTTCTTCGAATGACACTGCTAAGATTGGAAAAGCTGATTAGAAATCTTCATCAGGTTTAAGGTCAGTTAAAATAACATTAGATAATTTCGACATTAATTAGTTGATTGTCGCAGCAAATTTTCGATCATTATAAATAAGATAATAATCTGATTCATCAATTCTTTTAATGATCTGTTATTCTCTCATAACTCTCTTAACATTATTTTGAATGATAATAGAAATATTTTATTTGATTACAATACATGTATTAATTTTATCTCTTGTTAATTATGGAAGTTAATCTAGATTACCAACAAGATCAAGAAACATTGAGAATCTTTTAAAGAGCTTCATAAGATCTTATACCATTTATTCTAAGTTAGAATCATTTTTGATTTCTAAAGGAAGAGATTATCCTGCTAAAGATGTGGCTTCGAGACATGGTTAATTATTTGTTTTAAATTCTTCTTTTTATTTTTGAGTTTTTGAATTAGGTTTTCTGGCAGAACAGACTGGACCCATTTTAATATATTATTCAACTTAAATTTAATAATTTAAGAATAAAAGTGGAAATTAATTTTAGTAGGAAAGAGTGTCAGCTTAAAATGCATGAAAATATAATTGATATTTATATAAATTTATTAAAAATAAAGAAGGATGTCCATCGTAACTAGATTTGCTTCTTATTTTATTAAGAGTAGAGTCATTAATTATTCATGTATGTATTAGTAGAGATCAATTATTCAATAGTATAAGTGGATAGAATAATGACTGAGATGTGTAAGGCTGGATTTTAAGACCCTGAAGAAGGATTCTTAGAAAGAGATCCTATGACATACTATGAATGCAGATTTTATTCTCATATTGCTAGAAATTGGACACCTAGATTAGAATCATTGTAATTAGATATATCATTTAGTTAGTGAAGTGAACTAATATGAATTGGCAAAATAGAAATTTATTCAATTTGAGAATTTATACTCATTCATTCTTTAATTGCATAGATTAACATGGGAATATAGATCTCTATATTTGGAATTGACTAAAGAAATTGCCACTCATAACACTTGGTTTAGAAGTGAAAATACAACGCTTACATATGAACATCATTTAGAAGAAGCTATTAATAAATATATTAATCTCTTAGATCAATTAAAAGAGTATCCTTTATGGTAAGAGAGAATTAAAGAAGAAATTGGATATTATTTACATCTTATTTACAACTCTACAACACATTCAAGTTAAAGTAAAGAATTATTTGCTAAATTTGTATATCTTTCATTTTATTTTTAGGATAAATTATATTTCTTCAAATGATAGCAATCCAATGAAATATATGTTAGTATTTACACACATATATATATTTGTTCTACCATTTTTATTATTATTATTTTATAAACATTTTTTTTAATGTTGTCATCGTAATTAAGATCATCTCAATACTAAAAATCAAACTTTTTATCTTCTACAATGATGAATTATTAATTTAAGTTATAATATCTTTAAAACTATATAAGCTTAAATTCTCTAAGATATCCTTCTACATATTAGACATTAAATTAATAAAAAAATGATTGAGGATGATGAATCTGATGGCTTCTTTTAATTCAAACTTTAGAAAAAGATTAAGAAGCATAGAAGCATACCTTTAAGAATATAAAAACATTATGAATCCTTAAACTTAATGCAGATCAAGGCAACCGATTAAGAATCCTCTATTCTCTCTTTGATCAATAAGCGGATTGAATGTAATATTTAGCAGTATATTCTCTAGTCTATTCCAAAAATAAATAAATCATTTAATGGAAAGAAAATATTTCTCAATTTCATTAAGCCAATTTTGTAAATCTAATCAAAAGTGAATCAGAAACTTTTGAAGATAGTGAATATTATTATCAATAACCTATTGAAGATTGTCCGCTTGGAAATTATTCACACTGAGTTCAATAACAACAAAATGAAATATTTATTTCTTTTTTTCCAAATAATCATATCACTCTACTTAACCTAACTAAATGTTTTCTCTGAAACTATATTTATTAAGATTATTTTTCTCTTTGTGTTTGCTGGCTCACAATCAAAGATAATTTGAGAATTACTTTTTATTTTATCGTGTCTATGAAAGAGCAGAAATTCTTAAATATCTAATTCATCTCTTTTAATTTAATAGACTATATTATAAAGAAAAAAGTATCTAACTCTCACTGCATTTCAAAGATATTCGTGTTATAGAAAGTCTTCACAAGTAAAAATTAAATAATGAATAATCAAACTTATTACTGATGAAACTTATTTGGGTATTGAAATCTTTCAAGATTTTTTATGCTTATCATTAAGTTATTTATTTTAATCTCTCATATTAGCTATTTCATTAAATATAAAAAGTTCTTAATTATCAATAAATTACAAATTATTGATACTAAAAAATGTAAAAATGAAGTAAATTAACTCATATAACAATAAAATTTATTTTAAAGTGGTATTATGATTTTTAGTACTTTTTGTAAAAATAAATTGAGCCATGAAAAATGAATAGATTTGTTAAAAGATATTTATAATAAATTATGCAGATTATATAAATGAATTGATTTTATTTTTCAATAAATTATTTATTATGGCAGATTTTAATCCTCAAGAGAGAGTAAAAAAGATGGTTAATGCTATAAAGGCTGAGGTGAATATTTAAATAATGAATTTAGGCTACAGAGAAGTCTGAATAAATTAAAGATATGGCTGCTTAATAATTCAGAATAGAAAAAAACAAGCTTCTTAATCAATAAAAAGAAAGGATCATCGAAGAATACAAAAAGAAAATTGAATCATACACAATTGAAAAAAGAATGTAAAAATATTGAGTATTTTTTGTTTAGACAACGATCATCAAAAATTAACTAATCAAGATTATCAAAGATGTAAGCACGTTTTGAGTTAATTCAGAGACTTAAAGAAGAAGTTCGTTAAAAGATGGCTTAATTGATCTAAAATTAAAGTGTATATAAAGAATTATTGAAAAATTTGATTGTACAAGGAATGATAAAGTTATTGGAACCTCGTATTGAATTGACATGCTTGGAATAGGATGTATAACTTGTGAACTCAATTTTGGGAGAGTGTTAATTAGAATTTCAATAGATTATCAAAAGAGAAACTACAAAAGACTTTAAAACAACACTTAGCATCAACCAAAGTCAATATTTAACAGAGAAAAGTGGGAAACCTATGTATAAAATAGATTAATATTAGATTGGGTGGAGTTGTACTTAGTTGTGCAAATAGTAGAATTGTATGTTCAAATACTCTTGATGATAGATTAGAGCTTTCATTGTAAGAGTTCTTGCCAGACATTAGAAATGGTTTATTTAGAAAATGATGGGAAAGCATATAGAATATATAAAATATATAATATATAAACATCAATATGGCAAGTAGTAGCATTAATCAACAAACATTTCACAATAATTTAATCTAATTAACTATTGTTGCAATTCTTAATGTAGTTAAGACAAATTGTTATTGTGATCACATTTGAAATTTCTAAGTTTTTCAATTATATCTTTGTTTCTATTCAAGATGTCATTAAGTAAAATGTCCATTTATTTTGAATTTTCTATCTTCAAAGAGGATCGATCAGAGATTTCCTTTTTTTTAAATTTGATGTCATCATATTTATCATGATTAAGTTTTAATGTATCAATAAAATAAACTTATTATAACAATTTTTGTTTAATTTATCTAAAATATGAAGCTTAATTAATGCATTTGATTCTATTTTGACTTTTATTAAGAAATTGTATAAAATTAGCTTCACTCTATAAAGCAAGTGTGAATTATTCAATAAAATAATTGATCTATATAAATCCATTACTTTATTCTTCATTTTTAAATAAACTTTGCATGGACAAATTCGGTAATGCTAATAGTCTATATTAATTTGGATGAATAGATTTGGTATATGGTATAAAGAATCTCTATCCATAATAATCATAATAAGGGATTTTGGTATGGTTAGGAATGAAAGATTATTAATTATTTAGTAATTTGAAAGGTTGAATAAAAATCAATAATTGAGGATTTTTAATTTTAAGATTAATCAAGACATTTGAAATATCAACTACAAAAGTATCAATTTTATAATCAAGGATTTAAAAAATACCATTAATTTTGAGTTTTTTTTCATTTATAAGATCTTTGAGAATTTGTGAATAATTAAGAGTGTAAAGTCCTACTTAATAAACTCTGCATATGGAATTAAAAAGTTCTTTAATATTTTTGTGTATATAAAAGGAAGAATTGGATGTGGCTCTTTAAAAATAATGATCTCTTAGAACTAAATATTCTTCATGTTATTTACTACCAATGAAGTCTGGTTACAATCCAAAAAAACTGGATTCATCATATCCTAATACATTTTCAAATTGAATCATTACTAGGTTACTAATATTATTTGGACAAGGTTTAATTAATAAACATTCAAGTTTCATTCCTTCAATTTTTTCATCAACAATATTTTAAGTAACTTTTTTAAAAGAAGTTGTAGAATTTGTATTATTCAAAGTAGACCTTCTAATCATTAATTATTATTTAAGATCTTTGTAAGGTGTAACAACTTGATCTGTATTTGAAATTTATTTATGTTTTTATCTTAACTATTCTGAACTATGGTCTTTTTTAGTACTTTTAGGACTTATGGATGAGAATCCAAATTCCTTTTTTGAATCCAAAATGTAAGACTTTTCATTATAATTAGTAGAGTTTTCAAAATTTTTGAGAAGTGTTCCTTTATAAAGTCTTCCTGGAACTTTATGAGTCTCATGATTATGAACTTTAGAATGTAATGGTGATGGAGTGGTAATTTTATATTTTTATTTTTAGACAAATCTATCTGTTTTTGTTTATCTATTGGGGATATTTTCAAAACAATTACTAACATTTAAAATTGATTCTGCCAATCGAGTAAATGATTATTTGATACCTTTATGTTTTGCTGAATGAGATTACATTTCTTTAGATTCCAAATTCATTGTTCTTTATTTAATAAATTATTTATAATCCTTCTTCCAATATCCCATAATAAGTTTTCTAGGTGAATAAGATGTATTAACTCTACTAATTTCTGTTTTAGTTATCTGAGAAATATATTAATCATTCGGATAATAGTACTCAACTGGATTGTACATAATTGTATAATTTATTATATAATTGATTATTTCATTATTATTACTGTTTTATTCCTAAGACATGAAATTCAATTGCTTCCTTAAGTTTAGTGTACTTATCAATTAAATCATCAGGAATCAGAGTAAGCATTCTCATTGATTATTAAATTCCTGCTTAGACTTTAGCAATATATGAGATCCACAAAAATAAAAAGATTAATATTAAAAATCCTACAAATCCAACAAAATTGTAAATCTACACTTAATTACGAATATCTAAAAAACTAATAAATAGTAAATTATTTTTACTTGTAAAAGCATTTTTAAAAAATATTATTATTTTCCCAAAAAGTTGGTAAAATGTATTTACGTAATAGTTCTTATATTTAGAAGGCCTCCAAACTATCTTTTAGATTTGAAAACGTAGCTAACAATTCATTATTACCTAAAGAAACAAGGAAAATCGCATCTCTTAATCCTTTAGTTAAGAGTCCTCCTTTAACAGAATTACACTCTTAATCAAGTTCTGTTGAAGAGAAAGTATAATTCGTAAAGTTATCCGTTGTATCAATAAATATAAATGATTATGTAATAAGATTTAATGTCTTCAGCCATGTGATATGTTCACAAACATTTAAGAAATTAACATTCTTAAAGAAATCAAAATATGTATCAAATGATGTAGGATAAGTATATGTTAAAGTTTTAAATAAATCCTATTCGTTTGAATAGACTTTCTCATTGTAATATTTGGATAGATCATTTTCCATAAAAACTCTAGGTTTTCCTTCATTAACTAAAGCTTCCAATGTAAAAAGGATGTTGTATTTTATAATGCTTGCTCTACGAGAAATGAATAAATAATGGTCCATAATTAATTTAGCATCACTTATTGATTGATCTTCTAAAACATACATTACTATATATTCAACCATCAAAAGGGAACCTATTAATATAAATGAAAATATTAAGAAATAATGGGTGCCACCCTTACTTTCATAGATTCTCTAGTGTTTTTCTTTCGTTTAATCAAATAGCGATTTTCTCTAGTCTATTTCAACTTTTTATTTTGGACTATCAACAACATCTTGACTATGATCTTGATTTAAAGAGCTTTCTATAATGTGTTATTATTGAGGTTAATCAATTTGGTTAATATCATCAGAACTCTTAAATTTTGTGATATGATCTAATATAAATTTATCACCTTGATCTATTAAATTCTTGATATCCTCATTAGTAATCATGCCAAAATAACTAATTAATCGTTTTCGTTCACTAAAAATGCTCATGAAAATTGGTATATAAACAATTTCACAAATAACAATAATTACTAAAGCAGCAATTAGAATAATTATAGCATTAATGGTTTGACCATCTACTTGATCAAAATAAAAATTATAGAATTTATCAGCTATTCTTTCAGATCCATTTCTAAGAACATCTAGTCCATTTTCGACAACATAAAATAAATTTTTAGAAACACTACTTGAATTGGAAGTATCATTAAATTATGAGAGAGTTGCTTTTTTGAATGAAGAAGCTGAAGTAATATAAGCAAAGACAGCATCATTAAAAATATTACCATAAGTTTTAGTTTCATTGTTGGAAAGTAGAAATACAACTTCATATTGATCATCATCTATCTATAAACCACTTCTGCTTTCTACTTTAATTCTAAATTCGATCATATCAAATTATATAATTTATAATTTATCAACCAGAACACTTATATTAGCTTTAAATGCTCCTTCTAAAGATTAATCATAATGTCCAAAAGATGTTAAGTACAAATAACGACTATATAAATTAATATCTGCCATCAAAGAATGTCTTCGATGTGCTTAACGTACTGCACTTACACCTTCATCTACCAAAATCGATTATTATAATGCCAAAACTAATTTACTTATAGATAAGGCTAAAGTAGATAGAAACAAAATCAAAGTTAAATATCTAAGATAAATGATCTACCTAGGTGTTTTCGATTATTCTAAAGCACTTCTAATATCTTTAGTTTATTTATTCTCTTCTTAATCATCAACTGATGATTAAAAATTCTTTTATTTATCTTCATCTTCATCAATTGATTATTATTGAATAATATTATGCTTACTCTCATCCAACTTTTATTTAATTAATGATTTTCCATGATTCGCCCTATCTTAATCAATGTCTTCTCGAATAACTATTGTATGATATATACTACCACCAGCTGGCTATCCATCATCTGTTAAAGGCAATCTTTCCTCTATAAGTTCTAATTTAACTTTCACCTTTTTATAATCTCCACTATAATTCATAACTGCTGAATCCTTTACTGATCCTCCCATTTTCTTATTATCTGAATCATGGATATTTGATTATAATAACTATTTAAATAATTGAACGTCTATTGTAGTTTCAGCAGAATATACATCACCATCTAACTTATACACTTAATTCTTTAGTGGTTAATCATTTTAATTTAGAGTGTTATTTAAAACATCTCCTAATTCCTTAAATAAATTTCCAAATGTATAAATTGGCTATTCCTATGCACTAGTTGTTGCGATATCTTCAACTCTTATTCCTAAATCTTTCATTGATTCGCTAACATTTAATATTTATTATGAAATTCCATCATATATCATATAATGAGTACCATGTAATTTTTCCAAAGGCTTTAAAAAACCAACCAAAAGAATTCCTTTTTCTAAGTTTGGTAGAACTTTTACCATTAACTTACAAGGTACCAAATATTATTAACTATTTTATGCCAGTACAAATCTTTCTAATCCAATAATATTTGAATTGTTTGTTTTCATATAATTTTCAACTAATTAGTTATGTTGATCACCAATAATTTTAGGCATGATTTTACTCACATTTTATTCAAATAATTCAGATGCAGGATAACCCAATGATTTTTAAATCTCATTATTACAACTAGCCACTATTCCTATACTACCTACATTACCACTCATTGTAATTATAATTGTCTCTTATGATTCAGTTATCTTGGATTCTTAACCTCCTCCTTACTTTCTTTAATAAATTGATTTCTTTATTTAACTTATCTATTAAGATAATTGCTCCTATTATTCCTTATCATGTACAACCATTTGTAAATAAGCATTGTAAAATTCTAATAAATTAAGATTGTTATTATTTATCTCAGCTAATTCTTGATACCCCTCATCACAAAGATCTATTTAATGCAACACTTTCAATCCTATATTTTGCAATTTTAATATATTAGGATGATCTTCTTATAATTCCCTCCAGAATTCTAAATGAGATTCGGCACTTTTCTAAATCATATTAGTTAACACCACTAATTGATTTTAAAAGAAAACTATTGAATTCACATCAATATCTTATGCTTTCTCTGAGTCTTCCTACATTTCACTCTCAATATGTTATTTAAATCGAAACAAACAGAACTCATCTCTTAAAGTATGATTTTTTGTATCTTCAGCCTTCATCATATAATGTAAAGCATTATATTTATTTTTTAATTCATCATTGCATAAATAAGAATAAAATATTTTGAAACGAGCATTTTCCTTAAATTTTTCATCTGCTATAATATCATCAAAAATTGAACTCAAAAACCTCATCCAAGTCTCATGTTCTTTTACACCTTCTTCCTTTTTGTGATCCTATGAAATCAACTATTTACAAGAACAATCTGTTTTTGTACAAACCACATAATGTAATTTTAAAACACCCATTAATTTTATTTTAGTATTCGGAGATTGTCTATCTAATATCAATTAAATCAAAGTATTTAAATAATTATCTGCTTCCTCTTCATTTTTAAGGTTTTTTATGGAAAATGTCATTGATTCTTTGAGGATATTTTTAAATGCATACAATCCTCCAAATACTACAAATGGTATCAAAACAAATAAATATAATAAACCCATATCATCAGGAGAACTTGAATCTAAAAAGTCAGTAATAATCACACAAATGTTGATCCATAAAACTATTAATTCCAGAGTTATTTTATAAAAATGTCTATTTATATAAATGATTTATAAAATACATGAAATTGTTATATCCTTTTGGATAATTATATCTTGAAAATAGTAGGATGAGATCTCCTACACCAAATAATACAACCATTTCACTGTTGTAGGTTCCTGGAGCATTAAAGATAATAAGAAAAGGAATAACGAATTTGAAAAGCATTCGAGCATATTCAGCATCAGATTAATATCCATTGAAAGGAAATTTTGATTTTGGACTTTTATCAATAATATCTTTACTTCAAATCAAAGTACAATAATGTTGTTGAGAAATGAAAAAAGATAAGTAAAACTATTCCAATTATGGCTATAATCATATGTAATATGTGTATTCCCTCATAACATCCTAAATCAGCCCCAGCTGCTGAATCTGATCTACAATAGATAGTAGCCAAAAAGATGTTATAAAATGGTAGTGACAATACAGTATTCAAAATAATAAGTAATAAGGATAACAACTTGAAGCTAAACACAAGTAAGCCTGATTGTTATTCTTGATATTTAAGTTGACTTAATTAATATTAGCTAATAAAGAATATTAAACCAATAATGACCATCACTCCAAAAGAAATGTACAACAATATTAAGAATATGGTAACACCTTAATCAATCAGATAATTAAATTGAAAATAGCGAAGGGCAATCCTAAAGTAATTGAGACCTTAATTATCCCATAAAAAATCTATAACTGGATGAATGGGATAGTACATCATCTATATATTTTCAATACTTAGCAAAACACAATAAATTAGAGTGTTGCATAAATTATTCTTTATGATATTATGCATGATGTTAAATAGTGATATTTTGAACTTGTATTCCATTTCTTAAGAAGTTCCTTTTTCTAATTAGGACTTCTTGTGATTCATAATTGACATTTTTTAATTATATGTATTAAACTATTGATTTTCTAAAGCAGGCCTATACATAAATCAAAAGCTCAATTAGATGGTAAACGAAGTTGGATGAATTTGATATCTTATTATTAGGAGTCTTCATTACAATAATTTTACATTTTATACTAAATCGTCTTAGATTGCCAAGAAGAGAGTACAATCAAAGTAAACTATCATAATAAATGGAGGTTATTGGTCATTTATAAAATCTTAAGTATTTTTGGGGTTGATAAATTATTGCCCTGGAGTATCATCATTTTTGGAAAAAAAGAAAGAAGAAGCCTTAAAATCTTTATCACATTCTTTTGAAAAACACACTGTCAATAAAACATATAAAATCCCAGAAAATGGTATGGGATATGATAAAATAAATGAGAGATTAAAGAATTGGATTGATCGTGATAGTAAGAATTATAACAGTGGTAAAGTATCCGGTTCACTTTACGTTTAAAATGATGAAAAATTTATAGAAGAATGTTAAGAATTTACTAAGAATTTTATATATTCGAATCCAATGCATGCAGATTTATGGCCAGCTTCAAGATAATTGGAAGCTGAAGTAATTAAGATGACAGGAGAATTATTTGGATAGGAAAAAGATTCAATTGGAATGTTAACTACAGGTGGGACTGAATCAATATTATTAGCAATTCTTGCTTATAGAAATTGGGCAGAAAATGAAAAAGGCATCACTTCACCTAATATGTAAATAAATTATTTATTTAAGTGTGATTCCAGAAACTGCACATGCAGCATTTTATAGGGCAGCAGAATATTTTAAGATTCAAGTAAGAGCTGCTAAAATTAATTAAAAAACTTTTACAGTTGATTTAAAAGATCTTAAAAGTCATATCGATTCGAATACAATATGTATAGTTGGATCAATACCAAATTTCCCCTATGGAACTTAAGATCCAATTGAAGAATTAGCAACTATTGCTAAAAAGAAAAAGATTGGATTTCATGTAGATGCCTGTTTAGGTGGATTCATAGTAGCATTTGCCAAAGAGAAAGGAATGAATTATGGAAAGTTTGATTTCACTCTTGATGGTGTTACCAGTATATCATGTGATTAACATAAACATGGATTAGCTCCAAAAGGAGTATCAACTATTCTATTTAAAACTCGTTAATTGAGATAATATGCTTTCTTTTCTACAGCTACATGGTCTGGTGGTGCATATGCTGTACCTACAACTTAAGGTTCTAAATCAGGAATTGGAGCAGCTGGAGCTTGGTTTACAATGTTAGCTATTGGTAGAAAAAAATATACTGAATTAAGTAAATCAATTATTAATGCTACTATTCAATTGGCTAAATAAATTAATGAAATACCAGAATTAGAAGTTTGTGGTTAACCAAATATTAATTGTGTATGTTTTAAAAGTAAAACTAATATCAATGTATATTCAATTCATTAAATCCTTACAGAAAAAGGATGGAACATTAATACAACTTAAAATCCACCTGGAATACATATAAGTGTTACACATTAGAATATTCCTAATCTGAAATTATTTGTTTAGGATATTAAATAAGCTATCCAAGAAGTAAATTTATATTTGGATTATTAATCTTAGATCAAAGCTAATCCATCTAAATATAAAAAAGGAGGTGAAATGGGAGCATTGTATGGTACTACTCAAAAAATACCTGATTCTAAATTTGCTGGAAATGCCCTTAAATTGTATTTGGATTCCGTACTCAAATTATGAGAGAGCAATCTGAGTTTAAAATTATTACATATAAAAAACAAAAGAATTTATCAATTGCATCTTTGTTGTCATGACTTTTTAAAAAAATTTTATATTTCTCTTATACATATATTCTCTTATTCAACTTTTGAAAAATACTTAAGAATGCTATTATGAGAAAATTAATACTTACATTAATATTCTTATCTTTATAGTTTTACTTAACAATTATAAATACAGAATATAAATAATAAAATTAATAATACTCATTGATTTTAAATATATAAAGCTCTATCTGCTTACAATTTTTGATATTATTCTTCGGGAATCAAATTAATTGCATTAGTTACACTGAAAAAGCTTTTTAAAAGTTCAGGAGTAAATTTCTGGTTTCTTTATATATATTTAATAAATAATACCTATAAACATATGGATAATTTTAAATTCCTTTTTTACATACCATAAATACTGGAGTGTAAGGGAAATCTTGAATACATGATGGTTTATTATGATCATTGTTCATTCGCCCATAAATCATTGTAGGGTTTTCTTATTTATATGATTCCAATGCTAGATTCTCATAATATTAACCATATTCTCCACAAGCATGACAATTTTTGGAATATTAAAATATTGCATAATCTTTCTTGCTTTCCATTACTTCCTTTTAAAATGTCTTACCAACTAATTTGATAGAATACTTTTTATATTTTGGTTATTCTTAAGTTTGAAAATACTCATTAGCATGTCCATTCTTTACAGCCATAAAAAATGATATCAATGAGTCCTTACTTACCTATATTTATTCATCTAATCTAAAAATGTAGCTATGAGCTTATCCAAATTCATTAAATACACTTAACTTTTTCATCATATCCATATTAGTTTCTTAATGTTATCTCAAACGATCTCCGTATTTTTCATCATCCCTTATATATACTTAATAACCCAAATGATTATCTTTTGGAGTTTTATTCAAATAAATAAACTCAGTCTTATTTAATATTTCAGGATTAGTCTCTTTAAGGTACTTTTTCAATTCTCCAAAAGCCTTTACTAATCTAGTTTCTTCATGTTTTGGTATTTTATTTAAATCTAATTCCAACACAATCGAGTATTTTGTGGCTTATTTACCAAAGCTTCTGTTTGAAAATACATTTACATCATTGTATGCCTAAGTCAAATCTTCCATCACATTGTCCATTGATTTACCACCTAAAGTACCTGCTGATGTAATAAGTAGCTTTTTATTATTTATAGTTATTGATGATTAAAAATTATTTAATTTACTACTTTTTTATAAAATAAATAATTGTCCATTTTGAATATTTTAAATGCCTAATCTATCAGCAACAGCTTTATCAATAAGAATCCAATGTAATTTTTCATTTTTTTGATAGTTATCATTTTATTACATAATACAAAATCTTGTTTATACATTTTTATATTATGGAGATGTTTTATCAGCGTAAACTAAAACTGCAGATTCTGTAGATGGTAAATATGATAATATTTATTCGAATTCATTTAACTTTTTATGGGTTAATTTATTTATCTTCTTAAAATAATTGATCAAAAGAATTCTATTCTCGAAATAATCATTTGCATTGAAATTATATATCCTTTAAATATATTTATTCTTTAAAAGCATTATAGTATCCTATTCAATTGTAATTTTGTATTTCTACTCAAAATCCCTTACTAATTTTTCAGTGATGGGTTCATTTAAAGTTAAAACTTTTAAAGGTCTCTTGGACCTCACCTTTTAAACTTTTATTACCTAATCAACCACTTAAAGTAGTTCATCCAAAAAATGCTCTACAAATCTATCTGGATCTACTACAATGATGATATCATGAGTCTTAATTATACTGATTAATTACTTACTTAATGAATTTGTTCATAAATTTAATCAGAGAATTTTTCATATTTATTGAAACCATTATTCGAGGCTTCTGGATTAGGAGTGGTAGATGCATTAACTCTTTTTGAATATAAAACTAAGTGAGATGTTAATAAGGAAAGTGCCACAAGTCTTGGAGTAGCAATTTTAGGTACCTATCTCAAAAAGGGGATGCAAACTCGTCTGAATAGGTTCATTTTATTTTAATTTATGGTTATTTATATTTTTAATTTATGACAGAAGCAGAATAAACATTTTATGTCTCTCCTATTGCCAATCCAATTGCCAACAGTAAATTATAAAAAGGGCTTCTTAGATTTATTGCTAGATGTAATACTTCATTGATCATTTAGAAATAACTATTAAGCATATTAAGAGAGGAGTTAAGGAAGTAGGTAAAGCATTAAGAAAGAAGACTCCTGGAATTGTTATCTTTGCAGCTGATATCAGTCCAGTTGATGTATTGTCACATTTACCAATTTAATGCGAAGAATTAGGAATACCCTACATTTATGTGAGAAGTAGATTAGAATTAGGTAATTTTTAATTTTTATCCATTTAGGAGCTGCTGCATAAACTAAAAAGCCTACAAGTGTTGTCTTAGTCTAAGTACCAACCAAAGATGATGTGAAAGGATTAGAAAAATATCATGAGTTATTTGAAAAAGTTAAAGAAAGCAATCCATTCATCTGATAGTTTATTCATTTATCAATTCTAATTTATCATTAAGTCTATAAAATTTAATTCCTTACTTTATTCAATATATTTTTTTTTGTCAAGATTTCTTTAGATTTCATACTCTGCTAAAATTTTATGAAACATTTTATAAACTTTTAAAGTATTCTAAATTTTTAGCAAAATCTTCAAATTACTCTCAAACGGTCTTTGCACAAATTAATTAATAATAAATAAAATTTCATTTACTCTCAATAATTTATGTTAAACTAATACTTCAACCACAGTAATTCAAATAAGAAGATTGCTCTCTAAATAAATGAAAATAGAATTCTATTGCGAATCCAAACTATGAAAAGAACTTTAAAAAAATTAGAAAAGATTAGAAAATTAAAAATAATTCATTCAAGGACAAATACAAATGAATTAATATGTGAAAATTCTAAAAAATTAGTTGTTTGACTTTAAATTATTATTATATTGCAGGAATATGTAAATAAATCTTCAAATAATTACAGCAAATTAGCAGAAATAAGTTTTATTCATTAGAATTAAACTAATGCTTCAATTCAAAATTTTAGATATAATCTAATATTACAAAAGTTATTATTTCTTTAGATCTGAAAAATGTAAATTTAAAAGAGAAATTAAATCTTATTTAAATTGATAATAGGATTGAAGAATATTAGACTCATTTTAAATTGTCCAAATTATAGAATAAATGATATAAATAATTTAATTTATAATTTTCAAAGCTATCCTTTATAAAATGAGAACATTAATCAATTTATATCAATAAGTTTGAGTTCTAACAGTTTGATAACAGATGGTTAAGTACCAAATAATATTATTAGTTCAAACCTATTTTCATCCCATAATCTAAGAGATCTCCATTCTTTTATATCCATATAAGAAACATCATATTTCTTAGCAACTGATGTTGTATCTTCATAAAACATTTACACAAATCCACTAAATAGTATCCTAAAGTCATCTCTATCTTTAAAAGTTATATCACATAAAAATAGATTTTCAACAACTTCTTTCATTCCTAATTTGTTGTCTAAATAAAATTTATATGAAAGATTTATGTGTTCTTTCATTTTATATGTAAAATATAAACAATCTTCATCTAATTTTGGCATAGCTTTTGTGTCTACAAAATAAAATAAATTTTATCCTTTTATTCCTGTATGAATATTAATCATCAACTCAAAATCTTATTAATCTTACATATAATGTTTCATTGAATCATATTAAATCTTATTTTAAATAACTTTTGTTTTCAGGAATGCTGAAACCTTTTTCTTTGGTTTAGGAGGAAGTTATTATTATTATTGTTATTATTAAGGGGATTTTATGGAAGGCAATGTTAATGCTGCTTATTTTTATTATTAAAATGATATATACTCATCATCATCGCTATCTTCATTTACTTATTATTTTTATTTTGATTCAGAAAGTGCTCTTGAATTTTAAAGATTTTATTTGGATCTTTATTCAATTATTATTTTATATTATTTTTAAATTGTTCCTTTATTCATCCAAAAATACTTTTTTTTAAGCTATTTCCAAAAATAATACATTAATTCTACAGTTGAATTTTCCCATAAAATATAAAGCATTTGTTTATCATTCTCAAAATATGTGAATAAATAATGACCATCTGTCATATAAGTAAAAGCTTTTTGTTTTATTGATTTTTTTAGAATCTCTTAACATTCATATTTTTTAATAAATTCTTTCTATAAATTCAGATACTTTGATTCTATTTTAAAATAAACTTGAATGCTATCATATGTATCATTCTTCATGTTTAATGGAATTCCCTCTGTTAAAATTTTAAAATATAAGTGAGAGGCAAAATTTAGTTTCCTAAATAACAATTAAGGAGTAAATTATTTTTTATTCACTCTTGCACTAGATATATGGAGTTAAAGAGATTCAACCAACTTATCAGGCAAATTTAATTTAGTAGCACCATATTAAAACATAGAATTCATTTTTTCATGAAAAGTAGTATAACGATTGATTTATTAGTTAAAATAAATTACTTTCAACTATTCGACAACCTCTTTTATATCCTTTGATTATGTAGGATTTAAATATTAGAAATTATGTATATTGGAATCCAATTCATAATAAAACCTTTAACATACTTGCTTTAAATTGATATAATCTTCAAAATTGGAAATACTAAATCTAATTACTATTCTTAGAAGATTTTATGATATTGCAGATAATTTTCCTGAACTGTTAGTTGGATCGTAAGGTGTTGCACCAGGAATTTTTTTTGGTTCTTTGTACTTTGATTTTACATTTTAAAATTTTTGATTTTATTTGAAAGAAGTTTAAGTACTAATTTTGGATGTTTAAGTAGATTGTTTTGTTAAAGAGGATGCTCGTTTCATTTATTTAATTATTAATTTCTTTTTTAAATAATTTTATTGAATAATATTTATAAATATATATTAAAAAAGTTTAATTGTTAATAAAAATATTATCTCTTATAAACATTTATCATAGTTTTTTTTAGATGACCAAACCTAATTATTTACTCAAGTATCTTTTAGGAGATACAAGTAATACAGCTGTTAAGCATGTATCTATTGAATCTTTTTACATCTTAAGCAAATATTTTCCTAATAAAGAAATAATTATCAATCCAAATAAGCCAACGCTTAATGTAAAAATGAGCGACAATCTTTTATATAAGTCTAAAAGTTAATTAAATAAATCTTTTTCAATGCTTAAAAGTTGTTAATAAGCTTTGATTAATATTTCACTTCCATAATCAATAAAAAGAATATGCTATTAATTATTGTAAAAATCTATTAAGCTTTATTCAGTATTTACAATTGGATGAGCATCAAAAAATTATGGATTTTGGGCTATAATAGTACTGATTTGGGTTAGAAGAGATTTCATACCTTATTCATAATGAGGAATAATTCCAGGATTTAATTAAATTGCATCAGTTAATGAACAATCGATTCCTATTTGCTAATTACAAATGTTCTCTTCATGTAAAATTTTAAAGTTATTATACAATGATTAGTCAATGAAAGTTGATAGCAATTGGTTTTGATAGTTTTCAAAAAAGAAATAAGTTGAATTATCATTAAGAACTGCAGAATAGGTTTAAAATTAAGAGATATTCATAATATTTTGATAAATACTATTTTATAGGGTCGAATAAGCTAATAAATCGACATTATTAATTAAATTGATTATTGAAGACTGAGCTAACTTGGATTAAAATAAGGCATCAATATTGGAAATAATGTCTTTTGATAGCATAAAAATTATAAGAAAGACAATAAGGAAATATGCTAGGATAACAAGGAGTCCAACCATTAATATTGTGATATATTTATTTTGATTCATTTTAGATTTTTTTAATTTTTCCATTAATTTATTTTTACTTTTTTTATTAGAATTAGTAGCAATTCCAAGATTAGAACTATTTATTTTTTATAATCCAGGAGTCTGAGCAATAGATCTTCGTTGTTTATTTATTTCAAAAATTTATGTTTCTTATACAAAATCTATTAACATCCACTCATAAATAGATTTTTTAAATATATTGACTACAGCATCGTAGATTTCAATTTCATCGTTGACCTCTGAAGGTTGTAGATTAATTATTTCTTTATAAAGAGTTCTATGATTTCTTCTTAATTTTCCAATAAGAGGAATTTAAGTAAACTATAAAACCATTACCAAAATAAATGTAACAACCATATAAACAATTAAAATAGTTTCAGAATATTTTTGATCATTGAGATTTCTTTAATAACAAAAATCATATGCTTTTTAAGGAAGTTATCCAACTTCTTTGAGATTAGCAATTGATGCAAATGTAAGAGAGGAATCAATTTAGAATAAACCTTTGCTATTATCACGTCTGAGTTTATAGTATTATCCAAGACTTAATTATATTACTACTTATAAGGATGTACTTTTTTAAATATTGTTTTCAATATCATAAAATTTATCAACATTTTAATTAGCTTGATTTATTTCTATTGAATAATTACTTTATAAGTTGATTAAATCTTAGAGTTAACCAAAAAATTATTTACTATAAAAAATTTTTAAATTTTCCATATCTTGAATTGATAATTGATTTGAAATTTCAATTCTAAAGAGACTATGTGTAATTTATGAAAATGAAGTTTAAGTAGTAATCATTAATTCAATTAAATTAAGGCATGAATTTAAATTATACTATCCTTGAGTGAATATTGAAATAAGTATGATATAAGAAACTATCAAAATAAAAGTAGCTGAAAATAAATATTTTTATAATCGATATGAATATGGATTGCTTATCAAATCTAGTTAAGTTTAAACTAAATTATATTAAGTTTCAAACAATTTTAAATTTTCAGTATATTTAACTTAATATTCTTCAAATATTTATTATTAGGAATGTTTGCTTTCTTAAGGTAATTTAGATTCATTTTCATTATAAAATTCTTATTATTTTTTTCTTTAACTAAATTTAATAAATACACTTTGAGCTATTTCTTTTTCTGTAATATTAAGTTTAGAACTTTTTAATTAAGCATCTCCAACACTATGTTCTGATTATATTGAAGCTTAACTTTTTCTATTTATGTCTTTACTGTTTCTGCCATTAATTTCTAATAAAGGTTTACTCTGTTTAGATCTGTTACTTAATAAAAATAATTCACCTTTTTCGACTTACTTAGGACTGTAAATTTAATCAGTAATTAAAACTTCTTTATTATCAACTTGATATGCATCATCAATATAATGAGAAGGATGAGAAGGAAATTAATATTTTACAATTTCTTAATCTTGAAAACTCTTTTACTCACTAAAATTAGCTTAGACACTTATTGAATCTTCTTCATCAGTTTATTATTCTAAAAGTTATTTTTTTTATTAATGATTTTAGTAAATTTACTTGATTGTATCTCTCAATTGTCTTCTATAACCTTTTTCTGTATTTAATAATTATTATTCATTAACTACTAATTCAACAACAAATATTTATTATTTCTAATCAGCTTCATTTTTTCGATAACGAAATTCTTCATAACTAACTGAATACATAACTGGAATAGGATGAAAATCTTGTGGTGAAAATCTTTCAATGTATCTTGAATATCTATCTTAATAGATTCTTTCTGCTCTTGTTTTTAATTACTCACTATCCTCTTAACTTTCATCATTAGATGATTACTTTTCTTATATTGATGATCTAGAGGATGGTTTGGCTTAAGTTTTTAACATTTCAGATTATCTTGTTTAAGCAAAACTAAAAGTTTAATGTCTTTTGAGATGTTCATCAAAAAAAAATACACATAATCTCTCATTGAAGATAGTAATTGCATTAAATTGCTCAATTTCTTGATAATCACTTTTTTAGGCTTTATAAGCACTTCCTGATGAAAAATTATTTGATTAAACTCTTACATCATCAATAATTTTTTAAAGTATTTTATCGTATTATTAAATAAATAAATTAATATCTTCAGGAATAAATAAAAATGTTTCTTTATTTTGAACTAAGATATTACTAATTTCTAAATCCATCAAATTTTGATAACGATTTTTCGGAGGAATTTATCCATTCATCAAGAATTCTATTCCAGTTGATTCTATTTCTCTAGATATAAATGGTAAAATCATCCAAATTAAAACTTTACTATAAAAATCATCAATTAATAATTCAATATTTGACCATTTTTAATCAAATGCATTATAACTAATAATATTACTTATATTTACCTCTCAGATTCACAAGATGAATTATCAGATTTTGATGTTTTACTACTTTATTTCTATTCATCTATTTCATGATATGTTCCTTTATTAACAACTAATCTCTACATTTTCTCAATCATCTTATATAAACCTCTAGTTATTCCCAAAATGTTTCCATTTACATCAAATAAAATATGTTAATACCCTTTGAATGCAACATTTTTCAATCTTTTACCATCTTCACCTATAAATTTTGGTTATTCTTCTTCTAATGATTTTAAACATCCAATCATTGTAAAATCATCTTCTAATTCTTAACTGAAATTATGAGCTAAATAAACTTGACACTTTATTAATGTTTTATCATAAAGCTTAGCAAATGTCTGAAAATACTTACCAATTCTAGCAGTTACTCCTCTTCTAATATAATTTTACATCATTTCATCATGAACTGGTTCTAACCAAGCTGGCATTAATTAATTAATATTTCCTTTTGTATAATCTATAAAAGAATTTAGAGGATGCTGGAAATGACCAAATCCAAAGAATTTTGGAATCAATGGTGAAATCACCTTATTCATCACTTTTCCAATATTTGGTCCAAATGCTATACAGACTTTCACAGAGATGGCTTCTCCCTTAAAAAAATTAATATTTGTTATTTCAAATGAATTCATGCTTTTTTCAAACTATAAGATTTCCTTTCGTTCTATTAAATTTTAAATTCATTATTTACCTTTTTCCATTTCAAAATACTTTCTTAAATTATTAAATAACAGGAGATTAATTAAAGCATTAAACTTTAAAAATTAAACATTGTAGGTTCTACCGTTATGATAAAATATTGGCTAATATACATTAAACTAAAGTATCACTTCATCTCGCAATTATTATAATTTTCTAATTTCTTATTCAATTTAAGAATATTCTGAAAATTTGCCCTCCTTAAAAGATTTCCAAAATTATTATTTAAATTGACTTATTTACAATAATAATGGAATAATATTGTTCTTAACTTATTCCATTTAATATAAATCTTATACTATACTATGTTCACTCTTGCTTACTTATAATTTCACATTAGATACTCTTGTGTCCTTATTCATATTATAATCCTCATCTTTTCGTAATTCAGCCTGTAAAATTTATTGCAGAACAAGACACATTTAAATAAAATAAAATGAGTAATCTCTTTTTTTTTAAAATAAAATCTTTAACTCTTAATAACTTTTTGGAGCATTATGCTTGTATTTATTAATAAATGTAAGAAATTTAAGGCTAAAAGTTTCAAATACTCTTAAATTTAATTAAGTTTGCTTATATTTTTCAAAACTACCTTTAAATAAACAAGAAATCATCAATATTACTTAATTAAATTACAAAATTTTTTAAGCTCCTATCTTATGACATTAACATTTAGTTGAATTACATCTATTCATATGCAAAGCTAATTTTTAAATAAACTCAATTTCTTTTTATTTGTTTTTCTAAGCTAACTAGCTTAATTCAAAAAAATCTTCTATATAAAGTAAGTCATAATATTAATTTCTATTTATATTGCTAGATATATAGACATTTGATCTCTTACTCTCAAAAAGAATTTAAAACAAATATTAGACTATAGGTTGCATAATCAACATAATTGTGGCTAAGCTATAAGGACTAACAGTATTAAGAGCTTTAATTGATGAGAATGTAAAAATTACAGTATGTGTCATCAAGGCTCGGTTTAATGTGAAACCTGATGAGGAGAATCTAAAGATTAATTTAATTTTACCCTAAGGGCAATGAAAAATAAGCATCATAGATCTAAATGATTAAAATTAAGCCATGCAAGGTCCTACTAATAAGTTGGGTTGTTTGATCATTATTTACATATAAGAGAGCCATTGGTATCATTAATAATTATGCCATTAAATCACTATAAGAGAAATGCTTTCTTAAATGTTGTTCATTAAATTCAAAATTAACAAAATACACATTTGAAATGATTAGACTAAAAATTGTGAGTATTAGCACTACCGAAGCTAGAATTACTGGAGTAGCACTAGAATAGATGTAATTCCAACCAACGTAGGAAAGTTAAGGTAAATACAAAAACCATGGAAAATAAAGAAAATAATAATTGACAATCTTTGTTGAGATCTTTGATATTATTTTATATTATTACTTGTAAAAGGCTTTTAGAAATGTTATGATTTCTATTGGTTATTTTTCTGTATATTATTATGATATAAGGTACGATATTAAACATAATTATGATTGCTCCAATCAGTAAGTTTATAGAATATGAATCTATAAATAAAGGAGTAATTAAACTGATCTTTGATAAAGTATTAATCAAACGATAAACATATTCTTGATTTTCACTAACTAAAAAGTAAGTTAATTGTAGGTAATAAAATGTAATTTGAAAACTAGTAAAATACTAATTATTAAGGGAAGTTGATAAGTTTGTTTGGATAATTAAACAAATAAAGTCCCCTAAAATTTTCCAATTCATTTTATTGAAATAATTTTATAACAAAAATTGTCTTATTTGTTTTTAATGTATATTAAATAAAAAATGTAATAAAAGAGTTAAATCTTTGAGGATTGGTATCCTTTTGTATGTTTATTTGACAAAATTTAGTAATGATTACTATATATAATATTTGATGTAATTTTGGAATTGAATTTCAAAACTTATAAAAATAAGAAATTTAATTATAAAATATAGAATATATATATAGACAAATGGATGACAATGTTGTGCCTTAAAACATTATTAAATTACTGTATGATAAAAGTCAGGATAAAAAATAATAAGGATGTTAATAATTAAGATCATTAGTTTGTTCATGCGCAGCAAGTGGAAAGGAATTACTAATAAAATAAATAATAGAAACTTTAAAAATAAAATTTACATCATCGTCTTAATTGTATCTAAAAAGATAAGGAATGTTTGCCATATAAACAGTGGCAGAAATACTAGTGAAAGAAGTAATTTAAAATATTAATTTAATAGTATCCATAATTAGCTGAGAGATGTGTTAAAGATTTAACTTAACCAATTTTGGAATGCTTAAATGATAAAGAAGATAAAGCTAGATAATATGCTGTTGAATGTTTGTTATAATTAACAAAAATAATGAAAACAATGATTCTTCTTAATTTTAATGAAATATTTGAATATTAATTGGGTAGATCAGCAGAATAAGATAATTAAATTGTATAAGCAATGCTTTTGTTGGATGCTCAATTAAAGACTCAGGTTTAAATAGCTGTTTAGGAGAAACTTTATGAACCAGGAAAACCATGTTATTTTAATTTAAACTCTTTTATGACTTAATTATAAAGTAAATTGAAGACAAGAGTTACTTATGTTAGATAATTTCTACTTGGATGGATAAAAGTATTAAATCAATGTCATAATAATGATTTATACATTTATTTTCCAATGATTTTAGAAGGTATATTTATGATGTTAGGAGAATCAAATAAGTAAAATAAAACAATAAAATTAGGGAAGTTCGAAATGGTGCTGATGTTTAAGCAAATGAATTCATGAAACAAGTAGAAATCAAAGTGAATATGGATTAAAAAGTTAATGAATAAATTATTGAGATTTTACTTAAAATTTGTTAAATGAAAGGAAATCAAAATAATTATGCTAAATTAAATTCGTTATTATGGATATTTGAATATTTAAGAGTTTTTTAATAAGAATTAGAGGAAGAGCAAAAAGGAAAGTTGGGCTTACAACATTCACCCTCTAATGTATTAAAACAAGAAGAATATATGAGAAGCAATACATCTCCTATTTCTAAAAATTAAATACAATCATATTTTGGAGGATTCGAATCACCATTAAGAAAAACAATATTAAATAGTTTAAGTTAAATATTAGGTCCAATTCTTATTTTACTATCACATGAAGAAGAAGAAATTAGAAAAGCTGCTTAAAAAACAAACGAATTGCTATTAAAAGTTATGGATAGAGTAAAAAATTAATCAGTTGAATTTATGAACATTGTACCAACAATTAAAGAGATGTTAACTGATAAAAAAAGCAATACAGCTGAATCTGCATTAATATGGATGAAACATTTATTAGAAATATATTCTGAATCACTATTCCCAACAATTGAAGACATATTAACAAAAGTAATTATAATAAAATAATTAGTTAATTGATAAATTGGCAGATTCAGAATCTGCAATTGTTTAAAATATTATGGATGTATTAGCAAACATTTCAATGCATAATTAATATTTTGAAATAGTGATTGATAAAATATTGATGATGCTTCATAAAAATTAAGATTAATAGGAAAAGAAAGGTGATTAAATATTTAAAAAATTATGCTCACTTCTAAATCCATAGTAAGTTTATTTCACAATAACTGCTAAATTATTAGAAATATATTCAGATAATGATGTTTTATTTATAAGCAATACTGTTTAAGCGTTAACTAATTTATTAATTTCAGAAAAAGAATTATAAAGTCTTAGAAATATACTTAGAAATCTAAAACATGAGAAAGATGAGAAATAAAGGTAGCATAATTAAGAAATTTTTGAGACACTTTATAGAACATTCTGTTATAATTCAATGAGTGTGATTACTCTCTGTTTATTATCTGAAGAATATGAATTGGCATATAATATAATTATTAGTTTTTCAGAAGTGGAAGTTAATTAATACATTTTATTAGAGATAGCCCAATTAATTAATGTTTTGGAAACACCAGTATTCATTTGTAATATCAATAAATATTTAAGTTTTAAGATTATAATTATTGGAGTATGATTCTCACCCATTTTTGATGAAGTGCTTGTTTGGATTAATGATGCTTTTGCCTTAAGGACCAGCTTTTAATACACTTAGACATAGACTGAAGAATGTCTCTAATGCATAAATTTAGTCATTATAATAAGATAAAAAAATGGAAACAGAAGAATTCTTGGATATTTAAAAATTACTAACATAATTTAGAGATATTCGTCTTTAATGTATAAACTAGGAATCAAAATAAAAAGATTTAAATTGATTATTTTTTATAATTTCATTCATTAAATAATTATATATTTTAATACTTAATTCCTTTATTATAGAATATAATTTTTAGTGATTTCTAAAATAATTGAAATAAAAAACATATAATTGATAATAATGATTAAAATAAACAAATTTTCATTAGCAGTAATAAAGCATCAAATTGAATGCATTTTCTTAAGGTCATCCTTAAAATTTTGATTTATGAATAACTACATCATATTTTATGATAAAAGGTTATTCTTAAATTACTCCATTTATTAATATGATTTTACATTTCATTGAAAAATAAAAAATTTACAATAGATCTCAAACAAATAGTAAAATTATTATATTTTATAATAAAAAATTTTAATTGAATGAATTAAAAATATATCATTTGTTGGTAATAAGATATTTTTTTAATTACTCTTCTGTTTTTTAGTTACCATATTAAATCGTAGGTTGTATTATAATTGTCAAATAATATAAATGATGAAATTAATAAAATTACCAAAAATGTTGTGAAAGTAATTAAATATATCATTTATTTAATTGCTTTAATTTAAAATTTTCATCTTTATAAAATAAGACTTTTCTTAGAGATAGTAATGTTACTGAATACTTTTAGATTAATTGCTAGTTTTTTTATTTTTTAAGATATTTTAGTAATTTATAATAATTTTTTTTTTAGGGAGTTCTTCAATTTCTTCAATGAATTGTATATATTTGGTTCCCAAAAAGCATTTTCTAATAAATTCTCAAACTGTGTAAGTTGAGGTTATAATTCTCCTATTTTGCTTTATCTTTTTACATCAAATAATTTTAAATAACCATATAGGTCCATAAAATTTTGTACTGATTCCTCAATTTAATGCTTATAATTTTGATAATATAGAAAAAACTCAGAAATTGTTTGTATGCTTAATCTGTTAAAGATTTTCGCGTAATATTTCTAAGTGAATCACTAAATTGCATTAGAAATATTTAAAATATACTTAATATAGTTCAATGTATAAATGATTAAAGGAGTTACTTGATTTTCAACAATAAAAGATGAGAATTTTTTAATATAGAAATCGGTTTGATGAGGAGTAAATAAAAATATTATTTAAACATATTTAAATAAGGAAATCAAATAATTCTAGTTTTAGTATAAACCTTAAGATAATTGCCTTAATCATTTTAATCAATTTCATATATTTCTATGACTATTTATCGACATAGAAAGCATTCTTTACTTTTTTGTGCATTTGCATATGCACATTCAAAACATATTCCACCATGGCCACATTTCATTAAAACAGCATTAGCTTACTTTTCGCAACATATTATACATTAATTATGGGCGGTTTGAGTTTTTTATGTTTCAAGAATAATATCAGTTTTTTACTTTGGTTTTTTGATTCTTTTAATTTCCTAATTATCATCTCTGATAATGTTTTATGATAGATTATTAGCTCTTTCTGTAAAGAGTTCTTCTTTATTAGTATTAGCATACATTAAGAATTCTTAACAAGTAACTAAACGAAAATACGAGGAAGATAATTTTTTTAACAATATTGGAGATTTTGAATTTAATCTGATTCTGATTTCATCCATTCTAGGACTGGATGGTAATTCTCTTTGCTGGAATTCTGCATTAATTAGATGAGTAAAAAATAAAGAAATGTCTTAAAAAAGAAAATGAGTTCCTGCAAATACAACTAGATTAAATGCAATAATAATGCTAAAAATAATAATTCCAATTTCAATTTGTAGATTCATTCCAAGAAGATTGAAAGTATTAATTATCCATATTCCAGATAAAATACTAGTAATTGAAAATAAATAAAAAGACCAAAACAAAGTTTTATCTAAATAATAAAATTGATTATTTACATTCATTTGAATGGAGAGATATTCTATGGTAGTAGAATTAATTAATTAATTTAGAAATTAGGATCATTAATATAGTAAAGGCACTTCCTATAAGTGCACTTAGATACATCCAATACCACCAGAATGTTTAAGACCAAGTCCAATTAACTAATTCATTCAATTTAATGGTGATACATAATGAAGCAATCAATATTGATATACTAAAGAATCCTTAAAGCTATAAATTTGATATATTTATTATTTTTACATATCTAAAGATAGTTGAATATTCATGTTATTAATCTTATTAACAACTCCATTTGATTCCAAGGAATGTTGTAAATACAACAAATAAATTAACAAAAATATAGTAATACAGATCTATATAATAGAGAATTAATATGAAAATAGCAGCCAAAATTTGAAGCATATGTTACATTGATAAAATAAGATTCCTTTTAGAATGGCAAATCCAACAAATAAGTTCTTGAATAATTAATAATCCAATAGGTAGAGCAAATGGAAGCAAATCATATTGAAATAATGAGAATGCCAAAGTAAATATATTGTAGTAGGTATACTTGAAACAGAAATATTTTAATGCCTGATCTATTTCCTCTCTTAATTATAATGACAAATTTACTTTTGCATATATTGAATAATTTAAAATTTAGAATATTACCTTCTAATCAATGTTTATAATTATTTATATATGAATAAAATTGATGATGAACATTAGATGATCATAAGATAGATTTAAGGAGTATCTTTCGCATCTGAAATGCATGATAGAGATGAAAAGCAAATTCATAAAGATTTGGTTAGAATTATAGTAAAGGAAGATAAAAAGCTGAAAGCCAAAAAAACATTATTTAGTCTAGCTAATACAATTTTAATTGTATTATTATTATAAGATATATCAAGGTATTATCAATATACAACATGATATCACTTGTAAACATAGAAGCCTATCATTCTTTTATATATTATGAAGAATTACAATAGAATCCAAATAATTTTGGAATTCTTTATTACTTAGTGATATTGGATATTATTCATTTCCTAAGAATAGTTAACTGTTGTAATGGAATATTTGGAGCAGAGTTGAAATCTCAAAAGATTGTAACTTTTTATTTGATATTTTCATCATTTCTTTTTGTATCTCGTAGTGTACTAACAATAATTACGATAATAAGTTATTCATAGATTCACACTTTATGTTCTTAATTCTTTACAGAACAAGATGCAGATGTTTTAGCTCTTAATTATTGTTTAGTGATGGCATCATTTCTATTTCTGGATGCACTATTCACCATGATTTGCATTGTATAAGGATCTAATAATAGAGAAAACCAGTAAAGTAATTAATAAATACATTTTAGTTTCTAATGAACTGAAACAAAAGATACAAAAGAAATACTTCATATGTTATGAAAATGCTTTAAATTCATTTTTTTGAATTTATTTATAGTGTATATACAAAAGTTTAATAATAAATTTAATGAATCACAAATTAATTGACTCTTCCTTCTTTAACTTTTCTAATAAAAAAAAATATCTTCAATTAAAAATAAGAATTATTTTATGATTTTTATTATACTATACATACTCAAAAGTTATGCTTGGGTCTTAGTTTTCTAAGATTTACAAAATATAGATACTATTACTTAAAGTCTTTCATGGTACATCAAAGGGTAAGATGTATAAGCAATTTAATTGTACGAATGTGAAAGATAATTAATTGTTTCCATTTCTTAATAAGAAATTTACAGATCTTTTTTGGTTAATCAATAGGATGTCACTCAAATAAAATTTGAAGCTGATCTCTATTTTAGTTCTTTTGATGATAGTGAAGTTATTATTACAGTAAATGGTAATATAATATATCAAAATTTGTTTTATAAGTCACAATTAGAATAATATAGTAATCTTTGTGTTACTCTTGCTGGAGACAATTATTTTACTACTATTGAAACAATATTTAATTTTTAAGTTGAAGATGAAAACTTTATTTCAATTAAGTTTAATTCATTAAATGAAAATCGAAATTCGTATTTCGGAATTAGAAATATTAATTTATATACAGATGGTATATAAATGAGTTGTCCATCAAATACTCCAATAATAAGCACATCACTTACTTGTGTCAGCACTTGTGATTCTTCAGCTTAATAATTGCAATCTCCTTTATTAATAAATTGCTTGAGNATCTCAAAAGATTGTAACTTTTTATTTGATATTTTCATCATTTCTTTTTGTATCTCGTAGTGTACTAACAATAATTACGATAATAAGTTATTCATAGATTCACACTTTATGTTCTTAATTCTTTACAGAACAAGATGCAGATGTTTTAGCTCTTAATTATTGTTTAGTGATGGCATCATTTCTATTTCTGGATGCACTATTCACCATGATTTGCATTGTATAAGGATCTAATAATAGAGAAAACCAGTAAAGTAATTAATAAATACATTTTAGTTTCTAATGAACTGAAACAAAAGATACAAAAGAAATACTTCATATGTTATGAAAATGCTTTAAATTCATTTTTTTGAATTTATTTATAGTGTATATACAAAAGTTTAATAATAAATTTAATGAATCACAAATTAATTGACTCTTCCTTCTTTAACTTTTCTAATAAAAAAAAATATCTTCAATTAAAAATAAGAATTATTTTATGATTTTTATTATACTATACATACTCAAAAGTTATGCTTGGGTCTTAGTTTTCTAAGATTTACAAAATATAGATACTATTACTTAAAGTCTTTCATGGTACATCAAAGGGTAAGATGTATAAGCAATTTAATTGTACGAATGTGAAAGATAATTAATTGTTTCCATTTCTTAATAAGAAATTTACAGATCTTTTTTGGTTAATCAATAGGATGTCACTCAAATAAAATTTGAAGCTGATCTCTATTTTAGTTCTTTTGATGATAGTGAAGTTATTATTACAGTAAATGGTAATATAATATATCAAAATTTGTTTTATAAGTCACAATTAGAATAATATAGTAATCTTTGTGTTACTCTTGCTGGAGACAATTATTTTACTACTATTGAAACAATATTTAATTTTTAAGTTGAAGATGAAAACTTTATTTCAATTAAGTTTAATTCATTAAATGAAAATCGAAATTCGTATTTCGGAATTAGAAATATTAATTTATATACAGATGGTATATAAATGAGTTGTCCATCAAATACTCCAATAATAAGCACATCACTTACTTGTGTCAGCACTTGTGATTCTTCAGCTTAATAATTGCAATCTCCTTTATTAATAAATTGCTTGAGACCAACCAATACATTAAGTATGAATATTCATTTATTTAGATGTATTTTCAAGAACATTTCCAACTTCAACTTCCAATCTTATCACATACCAAATAGCTGAAGGAGTATGGTTAAGTAATGATTTTAAGCAAACGAACAATGAATAGCAAAAATAAATAATAATAAATACTTTCACACATTCCATTTAACTTGCAAAAATGTAATTGTAAGGTATTTTGTATTTGATTGGAGATTGGAAAGACGGTTCTTACTTAAGACTTAAATTTAATTCTACTTATAATACAACCAATAGTAAGGATGTTATTACTTAAGAAGAAAGCTAAATATTCACTTCTGTTATTGTTAATCAATATAAATACACTTATTTAAATGAATCTACAATTACCGTCACATGTACTACAGCTGGTTGTAAATAAAAGACTTATAATATATCATATTTTTAGTATGAACTTATAACAATCAATAAAACAAATAACAGATTTCTTATCAATCCATCAAATCTTTTTGATGTGTATAAAACTTAATTAACATTACTAAATGGAACAATTATTCCTGTTTATAAAGTTATACTTAATACAGAAAACTTAATACCAGGTACTCCTTAATTTTTAACATTCAGTATTGAATAAAATCTTATTGGACCTGATGCTATATATGCATTCCAAAATTAAATTTACATTTATTCCTCATCAAAATTAGATATAGCGTGTTCAACATTATCTTAATAATCATGTATCAGATGCAAGAATCCTTATTATGTTTATTTAAGTCAATGTGTTGAGAAATGTCCAATCCATAGTAGAGTTTTAGAAACAGTAAGAAATTGTACAGATTATATAAATACTGAAACGTTGCAATATACTTCAGGAATTACCTAAAATTCTAGTGGAGTATATTTATTAAAAGATTTTTATACTTCAGACTTTGATTCAAAAATGATCTAAAGCATTTTTACAATTTAACCAAAAGAAGATAGTAGTTTCATAAAATTATTATTTTCAAATTTAGCTACTGCTAAAATTATAGGAGGGTTTGCCACTTGGGGTTATGGAAGTTATGAAAAATAATTTAATGATTTGCCTTATCATTATTAAATAAGATTATATTGCACATTATACTTTATAGATAGTTGGACTTTAGATGATTCATTCATTATAACAATTGAAGAAAAAGAATACAAATATACGATAAATAATTTAGAACCGTAATAGTTGGCTGGAAAATCAGTTTCTGATTATAGTTTAGATGTTTTGATTCGACATGAACATGATGATGAATAATTAAAAATTAAATTTACTTGTTTAGGTGAGCATTACAATGATTCTAGAGAGAAATCATGTGGTATGAATAAGATCTTCATTCTTTATGATAGAAATGTTAATTATTTATGCCCATAGTAAAATGAGTTTTATAATTAAGCATCTCAAACTTGCTCATCTTGTGGTGCTAATACCAAAGGAATAGGATGTATAGAATACTTATCATAAATATTTAAAAAATGCAATTATCGTTGTTTTACTTGTACTAGTGATATAAATTACTGTTTGACTTGTGATCCAGCATTAAGAAGAGTATTTAATAATTATTAATGTTTATGTAAAGATGGATTTTATGAATTAAATGATGATCCATAATGTAAAAGATGCCCTTTCCCATGTTAGAATTGTGAAAAAGATAAATGTTTGTCTTGTATTGGAGAAAATAGAGTATTAGAAGATGGAAAATGCAATTGCATATAAGGTTATGAATAGATTAATAAAGAATGTTAACCAATATGTCATTCAACATGTTTAACATGTGATGGAATTTCTAATTTTGATTGTTTAACTTGTGATTAACAATTACACCGTGAAATTGTTGATAAATAATGTAATTGTAAAATTGGATATTTTGAAGATCAAAATTAAAATTGTCTTAAAACATGTTTAAATTAAAAATATTGTTATGCTTGTGATGAATAAGATCAATGTTTAGAATGTCTACCAAATTATTTAAGAATCTTATCAGATAAACAATGTATTTGCTAATAGGATTACTAAGAAAATTCATCTACATAACTTTGTGAAATGATTTGTCATTATTCTTGTTTGACTTGCTCTTAACCCTTATCTTCTAATAGTTGTAATTCATGTTTATCGAAAGATATGAGCTTTAGAGAATTAAACAACGAATCTAATTGTGTTTGTATTGATGGATATATAGATGAAGGAAATGCAATTTGTATTAAAATCTCTAATTGTCATTATTCTTGTAATCTATGTTATGAATCAAACAGTTAAAATTAATGTATTAGTTGTTAAGAAAATAGATAAATTAATTAAAATAATGAATGTATTTGTACATAAGGATATACTGAAATTAATTAAAAATGTACTTCTGATAATAATTAGAATAATAATACAAATGATACAAATAATAATGATAATGATTCAAATAATAACAATAATAATGATAATAATTCAAATGATAACAATAGTAATGATAATAATTCAAATAATAATAATGACAATAATTCAAATAATAACAATAATACTAATACAAATGAAACTAATAATAACAACAACAATAATAACAATAATAATAATTCTAATAATGATTTAGAATGTGATGATGGCAATCATTTACCAAGAGATGGGTGCTTTAATAATTATATTGAATAAAATTGGTTTTGCACTCGTAGAACTTAATCCTAATATTCATTATGTTCACGATGTCATACAAATTGTATCTTTTGTAAATCAAATTTGGATTGTGAATAATGTGATTATGGATATTACAATAATAATGGCTATTGCCTATAATGTTAATCATAATGTAAAACTTGTATACAAACTTCATCTTATTGTCTTACATGTTCAGATAAATCTCAATATCCTATTAATGGAAAATGTTTAAAATGTTAATTAGGATATTACTTAATAAATGAAAAATGTTAATCAATATGTGGAGATGGTTTTGTTGTCGGAGAAGAAGAATGTGATGATAGCAATAATAAAAATTTAGATGGCTGTGATTCAAACTGCAAAATTGAACCTGATTATAAATGCTAAGGTTCGTCTTGCGTGCCTCTCCCTGAAATTAAAAAAGAAGCAAATTTATAAACAAACAATCAAATTATACTAACTCTTCAAAATATTGTATCGAATTGCTCTTTTGTCACTATATGGATAGAATAATATTCTCCTGATTATTATTAATATAATGTTTCCTAAATTGAATCCAATAACAATACAGGAATGAAATGTTCAATTGATTTTACTTTTTCAAAAGATGTCAAACCATTTAATTTGATTCATGTTCTAGTTTAAAAATAAAAAAAAAGGACTCTATCAGATTCTAATCTAGTTGAATTACTTATCCAACCAAAAAAATAATATTATTATTCATCCAAACAATTTGAATATGCAGATATTGTTTATCAAGTTTATTGTGTTTTATTGTATTTTGTTTTAGCAATGATACCTATATCTATTGTATTTAATTAGTTTCACAATTTAAGTTTAGATTTTGCAATTGCTATATCTTATCTTTATTATTTCAATGTTGATTATAGTATTTATTTAGAATCATTACTTTCAATTTAAATTTGGCAATTACTTTACCTTGATTATCCATTTTATATATATGATATTGGAGATATTTATAATAATAAATTACAAAATAGATATTTAGACTATTATTTTATCTCAAACATATGGATTACTTTCATATTAATTAGCTTGATTTATCTATTAAAATTAGTAGTATTTAAATTTAAAAGTCATTATGAAATTAATTTGAAATCATAAGTTAGACAAGGATAATAAAAGAATAATATTTTTTAAGTTTTTACTTTTAGAAATCAAAAAAAATAGATTGATGGTATCAAAACAACTGTCGAATAAAAATTAATTATTACTTAAAAAATCTAAATTTTAATAAATCAAATATTTTATAAGACCTTACATATTTAATAATTTGATTTTGCATTTTCAATACTTCTACACATTTTTTTCAATAATTTATTAAGTTACACATCTGAATATGAAATAATAAATTTAGTGTGCGTCATAATTGGATGCATATTTTAAATATTTTAAACATATATACTATATTAATATACTGTAGTAAGAAAGCCATTATTAATTTATTATTTCAATCAACATATAACAAAAACATTTTTTATACTAATTCAACTCATATTTAGAAATAACTAATTATAAGCTGTGTTACTCAGCTTTTTATTATATTTAGCATCAATATTATGCTATTATATTAAATGCTAGAGCTATAAAATCAATGATATTTTATTTTTATTGATTTTATTGGGAATAACACTAGTGTCATATTTTGACAGTGTGAATGAGTATATAGATTTTGCCATTATCGGAGCAATTTTTATATATATATTTGGAAATATAATATTTGTAATACAGAAAATTATACGTCATTATATTTGATGATTATTATCTTCATTTAACTAATTAAAAACTAATTATAAAGTCTATAATTATATAAATTATTTTTACAATTGTACATTAAGGGTTGTCCTCTTGTGTTAGATGTTTTTGACTATATAAATACAACATATAAATAGCTTCTGAAGTTTATCCATATAAAGACATAAACAAGCTTGTAATACTATAAGAAATCACGAAGCAATATAATGATAGTATTATTGAATATGGATGATCTTAGATGATAGCCATACAAATTGATTGACAACATAATCCCAAACTCAATCTTGAAATCTCTAAGAATGCCTATCCTAATTCTCCTATCTTGTTATAAGTATCTATCTCTTTTATTATTAATTCTCTAGATACAATGCCACTATCTAAAAAATGATTTGGTTGAATATGCATAATGACATAGTTATGTTTAGAGATTGCTAAAATTATACGGTTATAAAATCCTTAACATATTTTTGTCGCTTTTAATATCCATTTAATATATTAAAAAATTGAAATTAATATTGATCCAAGAGCAATAGACCCTAAATGATATTGAACAAGATCTAATAAAATGTTTTTCTTCTAAAAGTTTACTCTATTTCCTTGTTAAAAGTACCATTCACATACCATTCCACTAATAAAGTATTCAGTTAGTCCTATGATAAACATTATTGTCCATATGTATATAATTGTATTGATAATAATAAATGCTTGATCTTATGACATTAAATTTATTTGAAGATATGGATATTTGCTATTTTAAACTGTTAAATTAGATAATAAATAGAGTTGTTATTAAATCCAAATAAATGAATATAAAAGAATTATGCATGCTCCTACACATGGAGCAATAATACTTGTAATATTTGATTTAATGAAATCCCCACCTACTTTTAGAAATAAATTTAATAATTTTGTGTATTGTTTTAAATATATAGCATAAATAATACATAATATTACTGCTATGATTGATATAATGATGAAAACTTAGTATAATTCTTCAGATATCTGTAGAGAATTTGCAAATGCAATTATTTAATTAACTTAAAGCTATTTATCCATTTCTAAGAGATATTCTGTCTTATAATATAGTTATAAACTAAAAAGGCACAAAGAGAACAAACTTAATACTATAATTGCAAAATAACCCCAGAATATTTGTGTGCTATACTTTTCAATGAATAATAGTACTATTACACTAATTCAAGTCATTATGAATTAATACCTAATTATTATTGAAATTAAAGAAACTCCTAGTATAATCCATTTCAAGTCTCTTAGACCTGAACCTATATTTTAGTTAGTACTAGGAACAATCAATTCTTTTATTTCATTTAAATAATCTGGATTATTTGGTAAGCATATTTAACTATTATCTAAATGATAAAATTATTTACATATTTCTGAAGGATAGGAAAGAACAGATTCACTAATATTTGTAACACTTGGATTAATTTGACATGATTTTACTATTGAATTTGGAGAACATTATAGTTTAGCTATATTTTATGTAATAGATTCTACATATTTATTAATTTTTTGGACATTCACTCAAACAGACAGTTCTAAATAGAAAATTATTAGATGGAGTAGTAAAGTATATATATTTGAATTCTTCTAAGTCAAAGCCACAAGATAAATCTAAAAAAAAATTTGAATTAATTGCTTACGATCAGGATCATAAGGTAATCCTAATTTTGCTGGATTACCATTTAAAATTTCATAGATTGTAATACAGAAGAAAAATGCTTAAAATATACTAAAACACCAGAAACAAATGAGGTCAGTTGATTTTCTTTATTCTTGTTATTAATCTTGCATATATTTAAATTTAAGTTAAAATATTAACTAATTGTTAATTATTGATAAATTAAAAAAAAATAACAAACATATTAAATTATAGAAGTGATAATTAAAATATCATTATTATTGCTCTAAATTTATACTCAATAATAAAATTTCAGTTATGGGATTTTAAAAACTTACATATTGCTTTTAAAATACTTATCCATCATTTATTTAGTACACCCACATCTAAAGTTACTTAAAATACTTACCCAATCATTGAAATCGTGAATTCTATCAATTTTTTACTCTTAAGTAGAAATTCTAATAGCTTTTAGAGAACATTTTCATTAATTTAAATACTATAATATAAAAAAAACCTTTTTACTTATTTATCATAAAATCAACTGTTTTTAAATTTTCAGTGTTTATAACTGATAAAATTTCTAAAAATTGTTCTATTTTTGCTTGTTATAATTCAACTTTTAAGTTGACTAATTAGTTATTTTAAAAAAGATAAATTAAACTATCGAATTTGTTTTCATTTAGAGAAAATACAGCTGTTAAGTTTTCTAATTATAATGTATTATAAAGGATTATGTCAAGTTGAGTTAAATTTAAAGTGCTGAATTCTAATGTTTTAAAGTAATGAGCATTGGTTTATTTATTAATATAGATTTCATCAATAATATTACAACTTTTATCTATAATACAGAATTAATATACTTTTCAAGTTATAAGTTTAAGTTTGTAATTTAAGTATTAATTAAAGTGTTAAATACATCTATAATAAATTAGTGTTTAATTAATCCAGAAATTTCTAAATAAAATGTTTTTATATTGAAACTTAATTAAAGACTTTCACATAATTCAGTCAAACTTTCTTCTTAGTATAATTAGCTAATTTAATATAAAATTATTACAAATCTGCAATGTTCAAAAAACATTATAAGTATAATTTTTTCATAGATAAATGATTATTCTTAACCATCTAAGCTACAAATCTCATTAAAAACATATTAAAAATTGATTATTTATTAGTATTTTTAATACTTAATTTCTTTAATGATAATAATCTAAACAACAGATTTAGCCATGATATTAAGTCTTCTTTAGTATTTTTCTATTTTAAAATTAAAATATACTTGATTAAAGTCTAGTTGAATTTTATTATTATTGAACGAAGTGAGATTAATAAAATCAGTTAGAATTTGAGAATGATCGTTTAATTTAATTTATGTTTTCCTTACATCTAAAAATTGTAATTAATGATTTAATTTATCTCCTAATAATTTTAAGCCTTTTATAGTAATTTGTTTACAACCTAAATGATTATTAATTTTACCTTTAATTTAAATATATGACAATTATGAAAATATGGTTTCAGAGTATTTTCCTACTAATGCTAGATCTTTATCCCTTAACATATCTTACTTGATTAATACTAAGTTTCTAATTTAAGAAACATTAATTTTTTCTTTCTCAATTGGATCTAAATAATTAATTTAAATAATAGAAATCTAATTTTCTTAAGAATTCTTTTCTTCAACATCACATATTTTAGCTGAAGCTTTTGTTATTGATTATAAAACATATGATAAAATACAAAGATTGTTAACAAATAATTGATTATCATTAGTCAGTAATTAGTCTAAGAGATTATTCTATTCAATAAAATTAGTTAAGTATTAAGCAATTAAATCTTCATCAGTATATTGAACTTTTAGAACAACTTTAATTTTTTTAATGAAAATTATTTAATCTATTATTGAATACATATGTGTCTCAAAAAATGATTTATAATATGGATCTAATTGAGATAATTTAAAATGTAATTGTTATGATTTTTAAAATTAAAGTTATTATTTTCCTACATGTTAATAATAGCATCCTTAATCTAAAAAAAGCTCAATATAAAGAGTTTTAAGATTGAAATCTTTCCAAATAATTTATTCTTATGAAAACATTCCAACAATTTAGCTTTTTGAAGAGTAAGATCCAGATACTTCTAAAGAAGTCAATGTCTTACCAAATTTAGAATCCATTAATGACTTTATTGCATCATGTTAAATATCATCACACATAGCCAATCCAAGATGAGCTAATTTAAGTGATTTGCTCTTCATTATTTTATCTAATCCATCATATGTTATATTCAAACCCAATAATTCTAAGTCTACTAATCTTTAAACAGATGCACCAGCTTCAGATAAATAATAACATATTTTATCTGTTAATAATTTACAATGCCCAATATTTAATATTTTTATCGAACTCATAAATACAACATTTCTACATAACATTTTTATGAATTTGTTAGTAAGTAATTCGCATTTATAAAGTGTTAAGGTTTATATTTATGTACTTTTTAGACTTAATTGATAAAAGAAGCTAAAATTATATTTTATTATAATTTACGTATGATCTTCCTTCATTAATCTATTAAAAAATGTATTCATTATTGTTTAAGCTTTTGTCATTTATAATTAATCAGGTTATACAAAAGAATTACCAATACTAAGATTTAACAAACTCTTATTGAGATTGGTTTAAGATAGTATTTCAAACAGTTTGTATGAAAAGCCTTGCTGCCCTTTTTTCTATATTATATAACTAAACAATTAAATACAATATCGTTTAAAATAATCTATGCCAAGGATTTCATTTTATTTGGTTATAGTACAAATTTTAAACAAACATCAGATAATTGATTACCTGATAAATCAAGAACTTCAATATTCACTATTGTATCTGAGTTTAATAAATTGACTATTGCTCCCTCAGTAAAATTTACACAATAACTTAAATTCAAAAACTTCAAAGATTTTGCATTTAAGAAACTCAATTATAAAAGGGAGGCATCTGATAACAACGTATGTGATAAATTTAATGATTGCATTTGTTAAGCTTGAGGTGATTTTAAATAAGTTATGAATTCATTGTCCTATAAAAACACACAGTATGACAAATCCAATTCTTTGGGATTTTACTAAGCTTTCCAAGATAGTTGATTAGTTTATTATTCCATAATAATAAAATATAAACTTTAATTATTAATTATATATAAATTATAATTATTTTAATGAAATTATATTGACGATTAAAATTCTGATTTTTTATGTTTAAATTTGTTAAAGAAGAAATCTAAATAAAAATAATTCAAATATATTTATTAATCATTTTCTTATTACAGTTATAATAAATTTAGAGAATGATAACATATTTATATTTAATTTATTTTATTTTAAACCCAAAACTCATTTTTATATATATTTGTATGCACAAAAATAATTCAAATTAAAAATCTCAGATAATGACTTGTATAATTTAATGTAAAAATTATAATTTTATAGATTAATTATTAATTATTCCAAACATCTTATTCGAACAAATAATTAGTACAATAACTTTAATTCATATAATTAAAATTTTTGTTTTTAATTTACTAGAAACGAATTTTATTTTAATTTTAAACCAAAGTTGAGATAAAACATAGTTTTATAACTTACTTTTTTCTATAAAATTATTCTCAATAATTCTGAGAACTTCATTTTTATATTTTTTTAATTATTTTATTATTATGATATTCTTTCATTATTTACAATTAAATTCTTAAAGATTAATAAAACTCAAATTAAGACTCTTATTTCTTATAACTCTGATTATGTAAATATAAGAATCTAAAGCTAACCATCATTAATCTAAAACTTGATTAATCGAGGGATTACAAAGCTGAATTCAAAATAACTTTTTTTTTAAATAAAATCTTAGAATTATACAACATTAATATCACAAATATAAGAATTCAAAAGAAAAGCCTAAAATCTATAGATTTTATATCTTAGTCTAAGATCTTTTATCTAACTTTATTTGATTAAGCCATATTAATAGTAAGATGAATAATTATTTAGCCCATTTTTCTTTATATTTAAACTTAAAAGGAATATTTATTATGTAAGAATGTTTCATGTCTTATTTATAATGATTGATTAATGTAAAGCTAGTTTAAATCAAAAATATTTATTAAATATCCATCCAAATTTTTATTGAACTTCTATTGAATAAAAATATTTAAAGCTGTTGAAGTA